AAACCTGAGATCATTTTTGTTGCATATAAGAAGCCAACTTAAACACCTACTGATCAATTGATACAGACAAAATATTTATGTTTGGAACTTAATAAAACTTAGACACTTTCATCAATTTAGGTGAATGCGAAGGCTGGGGAGATCCTCACTATATTACATTTGATGGGCTATACTACAGTTACCAAGGACAGTGTTCCTATTATTTGATGAGAGAAATCATCCCCAAGCATGGCTTGGAAATATATATTGACAATGTCCATTGTGATCCAACTGAAGATGTTTCCTGTCCTCGATCCTTAACTGTAAATTATGGAGGACAAAATATCAAACTGATCAATTTTAATCTCAACGGACGACCAGATTTGAAGGTAACAAAAGACTATGCCTTCTCAAAATAGGTTTTGAAGTTAAATGTTATATGTAAACCTCTCTCTCACTCTCTCTCATTCTCTAGGCATTTAGAAACGAAGTAAGTCTAAGGCTACCTTATTGGGAACAAGGTGTTAAGGTGATGAGTACTGGGATCAACATAGTTTTAGAGATCATTCGTCTAAGAGTGGTTGTTAAATTTGGAAGAACTGGCTTTAGTGTCAACCTTCCATATCAATACTTTGGGCAAAACACACAAGGTCATTGCGGTAAGAATCCCCCTCTCGAGACACCATCTGTGTGGACCTATTGGTTTGAATATAAATCATAACGTTTGCTAATTTCAAAAAGGAACTTGCTCCAACAACCAGACGGATGACTGCAGGTTGCCGGGAGGCAAAGAAGTGGATTGTGCTGTAATGGCTGATTACTGGCTTTTGGAGAAAGACAAGGAAAAACCTGAGTGCATAAGGACACCTGCCAAAGTAGAAACTACTCAACAAACTCCATGCGATTCAAATTCCATATGTGATCTCCTTAAAAGCAGGTAGTTTACTAATTCTCTTAGTTTCTGCTATTTTATACAGAGAATATTGTTTAGCAAAACCTTTTACATCATTTTATTAAGTTCAGTTTCCATATTCCACAATAGTCTCTTCGCTGAATGCCATCAACGGATCCGTCCAGACAATTTTTACACGGGATGTATTTTTGATAGTTGCAATGTTCACAACCGGGCAGTAGAGTGCACAAGTTTGGAAATTTATGCCGCTGCCTGCGCTGAGATTGGCATTTGCATTCACTGGAGAAACCACACTGAATTATGCGGTACAATTTTCTTTCTTAGTACAGAACCAATGAATTTGAAAAAAGACTTGTGTTTTTATTATCTATATTTTTAATTGTGACTGCAACTTTAATAGTCGAATAAAAAATTATGTTCTTTGCCAACAGCCAGCGACTGCCCATCAGACAGAATTTATAGACCTTGTGGACCTGCAGATCAACCATCTTGTAATGACAAGTAAGTTCTGAAACAGATATTTTCTATAGGCTTTGAGGCATAAAGGTTTATCCTGCAATTATTTTCTTAGGAAATAGGGCAGGTCATCGAACACTAAAAAGACTTAGAAACATCCTTGAAAAACACCCTTAATAACATGTAATTCACTTGAATTTATCAGGTGAATTGATAAAAAAAAAACACTTTTCAATATTTCCCAAAGAGATATTTCTTTGATTTGCTTTTAAACAATAATGTACAATTATTACAACTAATTTGCTGGCTTTGTAGTTTCATAATTTATTCCTTATTTACATTTAAGCCAATCAACTGCACCTTTTCACTTTAAAGACCCTGCTTCAGGCATAATACACTTTTTAAAAGCTTTAACTATGTTACAAGGCAAATCCTTTATCAAAGTATTGCACAAAAGGGTACATGCACCCATGTTCTCCCACTTTTTCCATGAGGTAGTTGCCTATCTCCGGAAGTCATTGAGCGAGAGGCAGGGTACACCCTGGACAGGTCACCAGTCTATTGCACAAAAACACAGGGATGGCATACAACCATGTACACCAAACACTTACACCTAAGGGCAATGTAGAGATGGTCACAGAAAGACCCCAGGCAGGGAATCAAAACCGGCACCTTCTTGGTGCAAGGCAACCCAGTGCTCCACCGTGCAGCCCCACATCCTTATGAATTATGTTCTCTAGACAGCAGCCCCTACCTGTGCCAGAAAAAAAAGGTTAGAAATGTCTCTGAAGAGCTGATATTACCTGCAAGTGTCTTCCTTCTGTTTTGGAATATAGAACAAGTAATGATCAGAACAGAAGGACCAGAATTCAAACCAGACAACCAATTTGAAAGCTTAACACAGTTTATTGAAACAAAACTGCTGCAAGTAGCGTCAGCGACTAGGGCAGGAACCTCTGGAAACGGTTAGCGTTATGATGTGCATCAACAAAACATAATTGTCCACTAACCTTCTCTTAGTCCTCAGTCTGGGAAGACCCACGAAGACAACCGTGAAGACAATAGTAGGCAGGAGGAACAGGAGGACAAACCAGAATCGGTAGTCTGGGGCGAAATCCAGGTTCAGAGCCAGGTGATCAGAAGTCCAATGAAGCAACAGAGGGAAATCCAGGATGAGGTCAAGAAACAGTTCCAGGTTAGGGAATGGGCAGGCAGACAACCAGATATGGGTCAGGCAGAACAGGTAGTCAGTCAGGTCAGACAGGGATCAGGCAGGCTCAGAAACAGGGAGAGATCAGTTCAGGCAAAAAAGCAACTTGAACCCCAGTGGGCCTCGGCAGATGGCCGCTCACACTGAGCCTGGTTCTGCTGGAGGTTTCTTCCTGTTAAAAGGGAGTTTTTCCTCTCCACTATCGCTACAAGCATGCTTAGGGTGAGGCATTGCATTTGAGTCAATGAGTCGATGCAATCAACTGGTTTTCCTTAGATAGAAAACTTTGAATCAATCTGACTGTTTGATCTGGTTGAGCTGTAAAGTGCCTTGAGATGACTTGTGTTGTGAATTGGCGCTATAGAAATAAACTGAATAGAATTGAACTAGTAATCCACCATTTGCAGGACTGAAGGCTAGGCAAGCTCATTTATGCAGCATTTTTAAGTAGTAACACAATTCAAAGTGCTTTACATGAATGAAACATAATGGGAAATCATACAGAGAAAAGTACATTGAAGTGGCATGTAGGAAAAACTGGAATTTCAAAGAAATATGAACTGATCCCAGCCCGTCTCAGTGAGTCGTTCAATATAAACATGAACACTAAAATAGCAGCCACCTAAGGAACATTTAAGGTACTTTAAGGAATATAACATGTTTTTCCTTTTTTAAATTTTGCAGCCCTAATGATCCAATCTTGAACTTCACTACGGAGGGCTGCTTTTGTCCAGAGGGAATGAAACTGTTCAGCAGAGAATCGCAAATCTGTGTTAAAAGTTGTGGTAAGTATTAAACCATCTACTGAGGTCTACTGGGGTTCAAGTAGAAAGAAGGAGACATAGAAAAAGAATCATAGATACAAAAGGCAACTTTCAACCAGCTCCACAGGCGGCCCCGTCCAGGAAACACAGCCAGACAGACGAGCTCCGAGCCATGGAAACTATGAGAAAAAGCAGAACGTTAGAGATTGAACTAACTAGAATGATGAAAAAGGGGTCCCTATGTCCTCCAGCCGTCTAAGCCTATAGCAGCAGAACTATAGAGATAGTTCAGGATAACCTTAGCCACTCTAACTAGAAGCTTTATCTAAAAGGAGAGTTTTAAGCCCCAACTTACTTTTAAGGGTAGCCCCTTTAGTTAAGGGTAGGAATGTTAGACAAAATAAGAGTAATTCCAAGGTTTCAAGCTCTAACACAACCTAGTTTGGCTGAGAATAAATCGAGGAGCTTCTGACACAATATAACTTGAACACATCCAAATTGTGTGCAAGCATTAAGCAGGCTTGCTCAACCAAATTTTATTTTCTTCCCCTCTCCTCTTGACATTTCTAGTTTATTATTTACATGCAGTATAGATTTTAGTTATCAGTGCAGGAGGATATGTCTATGCAATTTTGATCCCCCTTAACACAATCTAATAAGAGGAAGTATAAATGGAAAAAGCAAATATTAGGATTGTGTTGTTTCTATGTTGTGTGTGTTATGCAGCAAAGGAAACACTGGTCCCTGAAGTTCATAAGCAATTTGTGGCGTAACCTGGTGAAACCCAAACTATGCCTGTTAGAACACACTAATTTAGGATTTATGCAAATCAGACTAATAATTGTAAAGCAGAATTTAAACTAAAAATTGTCTGATTATCTCTTCTACAAAGTGAAATGATATTCAGTCGCTGTCTCAATTTTAACATCTTTAAAATAATGGAACTAGAGGTACCGTATGTCTTTTTTAAATGCTTTTTTAGGATTGTAGGAATTGAAAAGACTACAAAGTTTCTTTATTCACAACTTAACGTGACTAATTTCATTAAGCTGCAAAGGTATTAGTATATAGAATTTAAAAAATATATAATGTTGTTTATGCAATGTTTTAACAGGATGCCTTGATCCTGATGGGACACCCCGTGAGGTGAGCTTAACCTGATTTTCGTGTAAAGTCTATTTTTGGTTTCCTGACATATTTAAGTCATCTCTTCATTGCTGTTCCTCTAGTTCAATGAGACATTTGAATACAAATGTCAAAACTGTGTCTGTGATGAGTCCACCAAGACTGTGATCTGCAAGCCTAAGCCGTGCCCAACACCAGCTGAACAACAGTGCTCTGGTCCAGGATACGTTCTAGTCAATCAAACTGATCCATCCGATCCCTGCTGTACTCTCCATGTTTGTCGTAAGACATCTAACTATAATGATCTTTATTACTTACAGCTGGTCACTCCTAACATTTGTAATAACTTGAGCTCTTCGTCTTTGTCAAACAGAATGTGAAAGCCGTGCGTGTCCAGAGATCAACGTGAACTGTCAGGTTGGTTTTAGGTCAAACATCCGCGTTCCTGAGGGAAAATGCTGTCCAGAAAATAGATGTGGTGAGCTTAAAAAAAATTATTAAATAATCAAATATTTTCTATCTTATTTATTAACTTGTTCATTTTCTTTCCTAGAGCGCAAACAAGTCTGTGTCCAAAATCAAACTGAATACAGGGTAGGGAACAAAACTGTAGATTAGATAAATGTGTTCTGTTGAATCATTTCTTTTTTTATTATTTAAAGAGCAACAATTAATGTATTTATATTTCTCAGCCTGGTTCCTCAGTTCCTGGCAAAAAATGTGAGAACTGCATCTGTTCCGCTGCAAACATTTCATCTGGAGATCTGGTGAAAATAGAGTGTCGACCTCAAAAGTGTGATGAAACATGCGGAGAGGTGAGGAAGATGAAGTGATTCTCATACTTGAAGCAGACACTATTTTAAGTTGTATTTGTGGAGAAGCAGCAGTGATCCAAAGCTCAGGTGGGATAATGTGTTGAAATGACAATTCTGAGTCTAGGTAATAAAGAAATAACTATAATTATACCAGCTTTGCTGAAATCTTCACATTTACATATAAATGTTGATTACTATGCTTCAGTAAGCAGACAAACATGGGTAACCCTATGAAACACTACAACCCATTTAGGGAATCATTAGATATTTTTGTCCTGTTAGATTCGACAGCAGCCTTTGACCCTGTGGACCAAAACAATCTACAGCAGGAGTAACCAATCAGCGGGTCTGAATAAAGAACATCAACAACCAGTAAACGTCCAGAGACATTTCCAGTTATAATCTGTTACTTTAAACAGAATTTTACACGGAAATAAAATTAAGTGTTTATGCATCCATGTAATGCATTGACTTTTTAAAAAAAAAAAATAATAATAATATATATATATATAAAATGGAAAAAAAAAAGTTTAATTCTAAAGTGTTTTTTGAAGTAGAGAACAAAAAAATCATTCATTTTGTTATATGGTTATATTATATAGTTGTTATATAATTTCCTGATTCCCATATTTTCTCAAACCCCTGAACTGATCGTTCTTTTCTTTCTTTTTTCTGTCTTAATGTTGGCAGTGGGCTTTAGGCTGCCCTGCAAGGCTTTAAACCTGGGTTTAACCGGAGACTAAGCCATTCTCAAGCACATATCAAGGAGCTCATTTTGAGCCTGGATCCAGATTTATTGTTGATTCTGTTCATGGTGGAGAATCCTGCTTCACAGCAGCAGGTTGAGCCAAACATCCTCTAAATGTGCAGGGTCATCTTTGAGCACGCCATTTCACTTTTCTTTCACCAGTTCACCGCAGTTCTTCCAGCAGTCCACACTTTCTCTGCTCTCTTTTTCTCATGGTCTTCTCCTTCTTTCCCATCACCCGGCTTGCCACAGGTTTGCCTGCTGTGTCTAAAAACAGTTAGTCCATAAGTGGGCTGGTGTAGATGGAAAAACACCAGGGCTGAAAATCGTTTCCAGTCCGTTCCCATCTTTATCCTTTGTTTTTAACACAGCATGAGACTCTCTCTGTTTTTTTGTTTTTGGATATTATTGTTATATTATTGTTTTTGTTTTATTATTGTTTTTTCATTTGGTTTTGTTTACTTTATTTTATTATATTTGTTTTATTCCTTTAAACTTATATGTTGTTTTTATAGTATTTAAACTTTTCTTGATATGTACTGCACTTTGAGGCAGCTGTGGTTGTTTTAAAGGGCTTTATGAATAAAGTTGAGTTGAGATATGCTACAAATATTCTATCTCGGAATCCAATGGTTCTGAATTCAAGCCCCACTCCCACAGACTGCCACTCTGGGTCGCTGACCCCACTCTGCTCCCCGGGGGACGCACAATGTCAGCCCACTGCTCCCCAAGGGGATGGGTTAAATGCAGAGGTAAATTTCTCCAATGTGAGATCAGTAGTTCAATTATCAGTATTATTAGCTGAGGCTGGGGCTGGTAGAGCAGGTTACTATGACCTAATAGTGAACTGTTTTACTCAAATGAATCTTTGTATCTTCTTAAATAAATCAAAACTATGGGGGAGTTAGAAACCATAATTCCTCTGAGGTGCATGCAGACACAAAGATAGAAGACACATGATAGCTAAATATTAAAAAACCGGTAACTTTACTGATATCACTCTAGGCTAAGCCACTTCCTAGAGTAGAAGTGTAATTTACCTAGTTAATAAAAAAATTATAGAATTTAGTGATCCCAGTTTTGGGAATTGTTCTGCTTTTGGGCTCTGCTCCTGTTCTATAACTATAAAAGCCTCTGCACTGATCCTACATCATGTTCTCTGCCCTGTTAACCTAAATCAGTGTTTAGTCTAGTTTTACCCTGGTGTGATCGCTAAAGTGTTCTTTTATTGTGAAAAGGCTGCTGTTATCAAAAGCACGGTAGGGTGTAAATATATTTTTAGAGTGCAAATACTTTTTCAGAGTGCAGCAAATATACGTGAATCAATGTTTTCTGTTCAGGACAGACCAAACTTTAACTTCCTGTCTTTAAATGCAGTTAATTGCAGGGCAGTTATAGAAATTGCATTGTAGATATCAAACATTACAGTAAACTTGAAAAATATCCAAAGTAGTAAAGAAACGGGGTATTTACTTATACGGTGCCCTGACACCCCACATGAAGACTTCGGTTTGTTCACCTCAGCAAACAAACCAGCAGCTGTCTGGCCCCCCTGCAGTTTGCTTATCGCCATGGAAATGGAGCTGATGATGCAATCATTCACCTGCTTCAGTAAAACTCACTGTCGTTTAGACAAGACAGAACGCGCCGTGAGGATCATGGTCTTTGATTTCTCCAGAACATTTAACACCGTTCAGCCTGACTGACTTTGAGAGAAACTCCTGAAGACTCAGGTGGAGGCATCAACAACCACCTGGATCAGAGACTATCTGATAGACAGACCATTGTCTGTCAGCAGCAAAGGATCACTTTTCTTTCATTCTGTACATCTTCGGCTTTCAGCACCAGAGAGATTCCTTTAATCTGTGCAAATACTCGGATGACCCCCACAGTTGTTGGATGAATCAGAGATAAATACGAAGCTGAGTGTAGGGAGCTTTATGGCATGCTATAGAAACAATCATCTGATCCTGAATGTACCTTTCTCTTCTTACCTCAGGGATTTGAATATGTGAAAACCAATCCAGATGAATGCTGTGGGACGTGTGTGCAAACACACTGTGTGATCAGTGTTAATGGTACTACCATGCAACTGAAGGTAAACTTAATCATCTCTTATAACTGTTTATATTTATTTTTTTTTTCCTTTGTTTTTAAACCCCTCAATGTGTTTTTTGCTGATTTTAAGGTTGACAAAACCTGGTCGCCTGCTGAAAATAAGTGTGAGAGTAAAACCTGCGTGAAGAGCGGAGAGTCTTTTACAGTCATCAGCTCTAAAATCGTTTGCCCGTTCTTCCAAGAGAGCAACTGCAAAAAGGTATGTGGCAACTTTAATACATAAACCTGGAATATACACTGCAAATAATTTACATCTAAACGAGTAATTTTTTCTTAAAATAAATTCATTTTTTCTTGAATTGAAGAGGTAAGTGAAACACTTACTGCCAATCGAACAAGACAATTTAAATACATATCTTATTTCAAGGGCATTTTATCTTATTATCTTATTTTAGAGTGAAAATACTCAGATTGATGAATGGCAGTTCATCCTATTTACCTGCTCAAATTAAGGCTGAATATGCTAAATTTAAGAATGTTTTACTTATTTTTAGATAATTTTTGCAGTGCACCATAAAGAAATTAGTTCCAACTTTTGTTGTTCTGCTTTTTTCTGTACAGGACACAATTCAGACTGCGGCAAACGGCTGCTGTAAAATCTGTAAGTAAATATATATGTTTACCTTTAGATGAAATCAGATTAAATAAGCAACACAAACTTAGGTTTTTCCTTCGTTTCACATTTTAAAAGGTGTAGAGAAAGAGAAAGCCTGCAGGTTGGAGACTGTTAAAACTTCTATTAACCACAATGGCTGTCAAGCAGAGGTCGATATGCCGTACTGCGAAGGATCGTGCAACACTTTCAGCAAGTAAGGATGACTTTACGTCTAGCTTGTCTTCCTCTAAGAAGTCACCAAACTGTACTAAACTGTTTCTGAGGTTGTGAATGTGCTAATCTCTGCTCCTTTTTATTTCAGGTACTCTGAAGCAGCAGGTGCTATGGAACATTCCTGCTCCTGTTGTAAAGAGAAACGCCTCAACAATCGCACCATCGATCTGGCGTGTGAAAATGGCGGGCACGTCCAGTTCACCTATGAGCACATAGAGGAGTGCGGCTGCGGCCACACAGAGTGCACCACGCCTGCTGGACATCTTCGAAGAAAGCGGCGCTTCACACTGCAGTGAAAACCTTTACTCACAAATGTGAGATATATATATAACCAGATTCCTTTAAATAATTACAAAGTCTCCTAAAAAGTATAACAAACTTTCTGGAGTTCGTTTATCAGCTGATTCAATAAAATTATGCAAGTGACTTCAATTCTCCTGTTTTTAATTATCTTTTTTTTATTTTTGGAATATTTCTTTAGAATATTCAAAATGTTATTTAATACTTTTTGCAGCTGTTTTATGGGCAGTAACATGCATCATTAAACATAGAGGAAAGGTTTATGATTATGTCTATGACCTCTTTTCCCTCACTATTCAACATCAAACATCAATTCCTTTGCTAATTTGACCTTCCCAATTTTCTTATTTAATTTTCTGGAAATCATAATGGGGGTCAAATTAGTTTTTTTTTTCAGCGCTGAATCTGAATATTAATTTAATTTCTTCTCTATCAACCTTCCTTCACACAACTCTTTCTTCATCTGAACTGCTTTCTTCTAATTCCCGTTTATTTCCTTGATTCTCAAACCACCTTTCCCCCGTTTTACCTCCTCTATCTCGCTCTTTCCTATTTGAAACTGTTGTCCAGCCTTCCTCATCCTCATCATCTTCATCTTCCTCATCTATCTGACCTACCATTTTGTTCCTTCCACTAACCTGTCAGGCAAAAAAAGTTTTTTATAAAGGACTGCCAGTTCATATGCCTCTCAGCCAACCCTGTTAGCTCTTCTGTCAGATCGCTACCATGGCGTTTTCCCACTGACAGCCTTCTGCTTAAATGCTCCCCTGTCATGCAAGTATGAGTACCCAAAAAATAGTACTCAAGTAAGAGTAGCACTACTTGGTCAAATTTTAGCTAAAGTTAGGATTGAGAAGGAGCCATTCAAGAAATTACTCAAAAAAGCATTTGTTAAAAAGGCTGCTAAAGTCCTTAGTAAGTTTTGTCTTTGGATTTACCATTTAAAATTATGCAATAAGACAAAGCGAAAATTCTGATACTAAGTCTATAATTAAATAATTGAAGTAAATGAATAATTTAATTGAAAAATGAAATCCAGGCAGTGAAAGCACTTTACAAAACCAATTTTGTTTTTAGCAAAAAAAACCATATTCAATTCATTTCATTTCTATAATTCCCAACACTTATCATCTCAAGGCTCTTTCCAGTTCACCAGATCATCCAGTCAGATTGATTCAAAGTTTTCTATCTAAGGAAAACCAGCTGATTGCATCGACTCATTGACTCTTCAGCAATCCCTCACACTAAGCATGCTTGTAGCGACAGTGGAGAGGAAAAACTCCCTTTGAACAGGAAGAAACCTCCAGCAGAACCAGGCTCAGTGTGAGCGGCCATCTGCTGAGGCCCACTGGGGTTCAAGGAGACAGAAGCAGACATAGAAAAAGAAGCATAGATACAAAAGGCAACTGTCAACCAGCTCCACAGGCGGCCCCGTCCAGGAAACACACAGCCAGGCAGACGAGCTCCGAGCCAGCTCCCATGTCAGAGGATGAAGAGAGCACATCCAGTTAGTCACAGTCAGTGCCTCCAGTAAAAGCATTTACCGCTCACTGTATACGATCTTGATCTCTAAATTAATCAGTAGGTTCACCAGAGAGAAAGTAAAAGAAAAAGTAAGAGCTCAGTTACCCAGGAGGAGCTCAGAGTAGAGTCGCTGCTCCTCCACGTCAAAAGGAGCCAGCTGAGATGGCTCTGGCATCTGTTCCTGATGCCTCCTGGTCGCCTCCCTCGGGAGTTGTTCCAGGCAGGTGCCATTGGGAGGAGGCCTCATGGAAGGGCCAGGACACGCTGGAGGGTCTATGTCTCTGAGCTGGGCTGGTGGCAGCTGGAGGAAGTGTGCGTGGATACGAAAGTCTGGGCATCTCTGCTCAGACTGCTGCCTCTGTGACCTGGCCCTGGATGGATGGATGGATGGATGGATGGATGGATGGATGGATGGATGGATGGATGGATGGATGGATGGATGGATGGATGGATGGATGGATGGATGGATGGATGGATGGATGGATGGATGGATGGATGGATGGATGGATGTTGACACCTCTGGGATCCTATAGGAAATTTTTGTACTGCTGGCAGCATAAACTACATCATGAACATTATTATTGTAAATAACACTGAGTGTTTAATAATCAAGTGTTTATACCCTAAATATTTTAATCATTATTGTTGACAGAATATGCTTTCACTCCCAAAAAAGAACACTTTATTGTAATCAGTCATATGTGTGAGGGCTGGTATAACTGTAATTATATATTTATCTTGTTTCTCCTTTTTTCTTTGACGCTAACACAGTAATTACCAACCTGGGGTACATGTACCCCTAGTGGTCAACAAATGCATTGCAAGGGGTACATCAAGTATTGCATTTCTTAGGTAGTAAAATAAAATAGGCTTAGGATCTGTTTTCCTAGGACCCAACTGAAAAATTGAACAAGCTTTTATGAACCAAACAGTAAGTTTTCTTTGAGATCACCTTCAGCTGTGACTCACATCTAAACCAAGCAGAGGAACAGACTGGATGTAGAGAACAGACTGAATGTAGAGAACAGTCCAGTATTATAAATAAAGGTTTATAATAGGAATTTATTTTGTATTTATTTAGATTCCTTACAAATTAAATATTTATGTTGGGGTTTCATTTTTGATTTGGAAACGGTAAAATTCCTAAGAATTAAAAATATAAAGTAAAATAGTTTCTATTTTAGTATCAGTTATTGTATGTTCCACTTCTGACTGAGAGCAGGACCCATGGTAAAAAAAAAAGAAATTACCCAAAGAGGAACACAAGTTCAAAAAGGTTGGGAAACTCTGCACTAAAGGCTGGTGGATGTTTATTCATCCTATATATTCAACGGTAAAAGACAGCATAAGACATTGGTAAATATTTTATCAGAGTAATACGGGGATTTGAGGATTTGTGTTGTAGCACAAGATTGACTAGAGCTTTTATTTGCTATGAAGGCAAAACCCAAAGCTCATCACATCATGGTTCATAACAAAGAGGATGCACTTGCTATGGAATGTTACTGTTACAGTTCCTACTGTATAAACCAACCGTTCCTGGTTGATATCTTTGTTTTACTTTTACAGTGCTAAAAAAAAAACTTGTAATGCTTCATTACACAAACAAATAAAAGTTAAAGGGTATTAGTTACTCTAATATCCTTCCTTGGGTGTGATATTCAGGGAGCCCAATGTCACAGAGGTTTACACCCAGAATCTTGCTAACTCCTCCTAAACTGCAAACAACAGGGGAGCATATAATATGACATATCTGAAGTGCAACAGTTGGCTTGACTGTCCATCACACAGCAGGGAGAACTTTGGAACCATGAGAGGAGTCAGGATCTTTCTGGAATGGGTGATACCATGGCTCATCGCAATACTTGGACTATCGGCAGCCTCCTCCGGTAAGTACGCTAATGGGACACGATGAGAGCTTTATACACACTTCATACTGGAATATGAATGTCTTTCTTCTTTTTCAGCAATGGTCCAAGTGTCAAAAATGGTGATAAGAGGTAAATATTTACATATGGTTTTTTTTTCAAATACAAAAGTTTCTGTACTTTGAACTTCTGTATAATAAAAATTCTCCCCTCAAAAAATAAGCAGAAGGGAGAGACTCCCACATCAACCAATTCTGCAGCACATGGGGAAACTTCCATTACAAGACTTTGGATGGAGATTTCTTCCACCTTCCCTCCTCCACCTGTAACTACATCCTCACATCCCAGTGTAAGGGCACCTATGAGAGTTTCAATATTCAGCTCCAGCGACAAGAGGTGGACGGCGTAATCAGCATCAAGAGGATTCTGATGAAACTGGATGGAATCATGGTTGAGTTAGCCAACGCTTCGGTTAAGGTCATGGATAAACCGTGGGTGATTTTTTTATTTTTATTTTTTTAATATCAGTAATTCTAAGTGATTTGGTTGTGGTTTAGTTTTAATCATCAGAATTTGTTTTTTGTTTTGTTTTTTTCCAGTGTCTCCATACCGTTCAGCGATAGCAGCATTTCAATTGAGAAAACCAAGTCCTACATTAAAGTTTCAGCAAAGTTGGGTCTAGTTTTTATGTGGAATCAGGAGGACTCTCTCTGGGTACGTTTTACTGAATATAAAAATAGAATAAATTAAGCTGGATACTTTTTTTTTATTTTATTTTACTTTATTTATGTTGTGCTGACAAGAAATGTTCCCACAAATCTCTGTATATAAATGCGTGAGGTCACACCAGTTATCTAGAATCGGGTCAGATCATTTCAGTATAATCCAGTTCTATAGCAAGATTCCAAAAAGGTTGCTTTGATTTAGATTTTATTACAGTACATCCAAAATCTTTTGATTTTAAGACATAAAAATGTAAAAAAAAAAAAAAAAAAAATGTTGCTCTTAAAGGGGAACGCGTTTTTTTTTACATTGGGCCCTTGATTTTCCGTTATTCCATCATGTTCTACTCACCCATATGAGTTTAGTGTCATTTGGAGCCGTTCTGAAGATATTCCGTTAGGTTATATCCAGTAACATCTTCCTATGGGCAAAGACTTGAAGGCACGAACTAAACTGTTCATAATTTATTCTTTATGGTACGCCAGCATTCAGAACATGTAGTTGAACTCAGCAGCATTAAGGAAGGTTAATTGTTATCTAATCTACTACAACATTAATTTGACCCCACAGAGGGAACAGCATCTATCATCATTCTAACACAATTAAATAAAGCCATAAAAAAAACAGTATAAGCAGAATGAACAAAATTAAAACTTGATTTTGCAGGATTTCATCTAAACATATTAATTTTGCTGAAATGTCAACTTTTCATGCATTAAAGGTGGAGCTAGAAGCCAAATATAAGAATCAAACATGTGGCCTTTGTGGAGACTTCAATGAAATCCGTCATGATGAGTTCTTCCAGTCAGGTACAAACTGAACACATCAGCATTAAGCAGATAGAAACACCAATAAATCATGTTTTTCTGAACACAGGGACTCCCATAAGTCCTGATGAATATGCAGAGGAATGGAAAGTTGATGGTCCCACTGAAACCTGTAAAGTAGTCTCTTCTCATGCTGAAGAAAATTGCCCAGAAAAGGTACCACTTTATGACTAAAAAATATTGTTTTTTGTGCACTAAATATGTATAATTAATGCAAACGACCAACTTGAACTTACAGACAGATCTCTGCAAGAACCTGCTGAGTGGACCTGCTTTCCGAAGCTGTCGCAACCTGGTCGACACGGACTCCTTCTTTAAAGCCTGTGAGAAAGACTTGTGCTACTGCAAGAGCAACGACAGTGCATGCTTGTGTTCTACCGTTTCCGAATACTCCCGCCAGTGCGCCCATGCAGGTGGACATCCACAGCAGTGGAAAACTAAACAACTCTGTGGTGAGAAACAAAACCGTCCACTTTTCAGCTACAGCTTCATTAGAACATATTAATGCATTTCAATGACCATTTATTCCGATGTTCTGTGTAGAAAAAAGCTGTCCTTTCAACATGGAGTATAAGGAGTGCGGTAGTCCCTGCACTGATACCTGCAGATACCGGCAGCAAAGCCAGCTGTGTGATGAGCACTGCATCGATGGATGCTTCTGTCCTGCTGGTTAGTTTCATCACCAATTTGTTATTTAACCGTTTCAAATGTTATGAAAATTCAGATATAAAAAACAGGTTTTATTTATTTTGTAGATCGTAACAACACGAGAAGGACACTAAAGATCTGCTATTTTTTGTTTTCTATATAAAAATTGTTCTATTTAATATATTCTACTTCTACAAATAAGATAAAGACAAACAGAGGAACTCTATTTACTTTGATTCTATTTCTCCAGATTTCACGGTTCATATTTGTACAAACATTAATGTCTGGTAAATAATGCTTGAATGTGGCTGTTTATTGTGGATACTATTACATTACAGGTACGATAAGGTTATATTGTCTTTTATAATTATTAAAAGTAATGATTAATCAATTACTAAATTAGTTGGTGATTAGTTAAATAATCTATTAATATGATTAATTGTTTCATCCATAGATAAAATACAATAAATGGGCGACACAGAGTAACTACAGCCCAGATGAACAACTTTTATAGTGAAGTTAATATTTAAAATGCTCAGTGTCAGTTCCTCTTATACTTCCAGTGCTCATGTAAATAAAATACATTTATTTGGCGTCCTTTGAATGTAATATTTCTCATGATACAGAGAGAGCATATTAGATAATAAAAAAATAAGAGTGGGGTTTACTTCTGTTTACCTCTGCACAATTCTATATCTTCAAAATTAAACACAGGATAAATCCACATATAACAGACATATTTAGACTATATTTGGTTGTCTACTGTCTTAGTCACTGGTAAGGTTAAATGCAAACCTTTTCAAAGTGTAAATAAGTCTTAATTCCACATTGATCAGAGCCAGTGATGCTTTAAACATTGATAAACAACATCTAGTGAGTGCAGTGCTGATAAGATTTATATTAATGTAGAAGAAATTCTGCTGTTCTCTTTAAACAAAATGTGCCCTGATGCTCACATTAAGAATAAAAAAGAGCATAAATATTTTTGCAAAGGACCAATGAAACTGAAGACCAATAGTGTCCGTGCCAATGTTGAAATCAAACCTACGCCCTTGGACACTGCAGTTTAAAAACACTCTGGAACTAACTTGTCCTCTTTACTCAAGTAAAAGTGAAAAAGTATGCGCTCCAAAAACTACTTAAAGTATAAATTAACCTTGAAAAAAAACAGCCAGATGCCACTATATGAATTGAAAGCTCAATTTCTAAAACTTATCTGAGATAGGACCAAGGATGAGGGAGGTCTTGTTGGTCTCCGTCTCCCGATACGCTCTCGCCTGTGTCCGACCTTTCAGACATTTCAACATCTTTTTCTGAATCCCACATTGTAGCATGGCATAGACAATTCACGTTAGCAGTTTGAAGAACACCTGCTGGCTTCTGATGGTTTCCTTTAGCTAACCAATGAGTGTTTGCGTTCTATGACTCATCCAATCACACTAGTTTTCACTAGATGTGGATGGAGCCAATGATCTGCATTGGATGGAGCACATGACGGGAAATAAAGATTTAGAAACATTAAACCGAAGCCAAGAGGAACGAGTAACGTTTGTTTTAAAAATGTAAGGAATAGAAAGTACAGATACTGGTGTGAAAATGTAATGAGTAGAAGTCAGAAGTAGGAAGTAATGGAGTAAAGTATAGATCCCTGAAAAGTGCACTTAAGTACAGTAATGAAGTATTTGTACTTTGTTACTTGACACTGTTGCCTGAATTGGCTTTACAATTGAACTTAAGAATTAACAACAGTAATAACTAGTTAACTGCTAACTCTTGTCTCCTCCTAGGAACCATCTTTGATGACATCACACAGAGTGGATGTGTTCCTGTTGAGCAGTGTCCCTGTTTCCATGCAGACCAGATATACAACCCTGGAGATTCAGTCATGATGTCGTGTAAAAATTGGTAAAATACGGGGAAAAAAGGAATATCTGTTTCTGATGGCAAAATGGTTTGAATTAAAACAGAATTGATTCTTTTAAAGTACGTGTTCAAAGGGTGAGTGGAGCTGTGTACAAGTAAGCTGTCCGGCTATGTGCTCCATCCGAGGAGGCGCTCACTTCATCACCTATGATGAGAAGGCATATGATTTCCATGGAAAATGTTCCTACGTTTTGTCCAAGGTAAAGAATATGATAAAAAAAAAGTATTAAGCTGTGATAAATAAGTGTTACTTAATGTTAATAAAACATAAATGTTATTTAATTCCTTTTCTGAATTTGGTTCTTTTTTCTTCTTGTGGATTTTAGGATGAAAGCAATACTTTTTCTGTGCTTGGTGTTTTTGACAAATGTGAAAAATCTGAGAAATCAACTTGTCTTTCTGCCGTTACTCTGAGGTACCAAAATCGCACGGTAAGATATTTATGTTTCTCTTAGGGGTGTAACATACCTACACACACGCCCGCTGACACGGGGCCTATCAAAGCTTTCAGCTGGCCTGCCTACATGCATCTATATATATATATATATATATATATATATTGTAGATTGATGGCTAGATATATATGTAAATAATATCTTCTATTTTCTTAAAGATCATTGAAGTTAAACAAAGCAATAAAGTCCTATATAACGGACAGGCCTTTGAACTTCCTGTTTTCCTGGGTGAGTACGTTCTTATTTCTTTGGCTTTCTTAGTAAAACTGAAACATAAACTGGTTTTGTTCAAAGTTAATTACAATTTTTGGTATTTTGTCCTTTTTCTTTCCATTTTCTAGATGGCTTTAAAATCTTCCAACCCTCCACATTCTTTATTGTAATTCATACAAGCTTTGGGCTCAATCTTGAGGTTCAGCTCGTACCGACTATGCAGCTCTATATCAGAGCCGACGTCTCCTTGAAGGGAAAAGTCATGGGTGCGTTTATTCTTCAGTTATGATTATTGTGTAGATATTCCTTACCCACTTTAAGTGTTTTCTTTTTTTTTTTTTTTTTTTTTTTAGATATGTTTAAAAAGTTTTGTTTAATAACAACAACATGACATAGAACACAAGCTCAGCAGTGTGGAAAAGAAACAATCAGATAGGGGGCGTACATATTTCTATCATTATAAGGTCCAAATCTAAGCATTTATAAACACTCGAGACAGGATGGTAGACACGTGTCCTCTGGCATAGTCCAGAAAGGCCTTCATATGCGTCCAAAAGCGTCAGTCTTAGAGTGGTCGAGGCATGTTAGAAGGTCGGGAGGGATATATTCCAAAATAAGCTTCTTCCACCCAAAAATAGTAGGAAATTTATTAGAAATCCAACAAACAAAATATTCTTTCAAGCACAAAAAATTAGGACATTATAGAACTTGCTCTTGTTTTGATTTTAGATATGTTTGTTTGTTGGACCAAAGAGAAGAGACACTGGATCGAGATCAAAATGGTTTTAATAATTTTCGTAGCCTCCACCAGAATAGATTCCCAGTATAACTGGATTCCCAGTATAACTGGCTCTTAGGGCATGACCAGAGACAGTGTGTGAGGCTGCCTTCGTGTATTTTGCATTAAGGACACAGTAAAGGGAACTCAGGTTTAAACTTATGCTACGTTCAGACCGCGCGCAGCAGGAGCAGCAAAAACCTGCGTGCTGCTTCATTTCTGATGCTTGTACCAGTTTAGTTCTGACGCAGCTGAAGCATCTTTGCTGCTCTAGCTGCGCGGTGGTAAAGTGGGCGGAGCTACTCTATCCTTTCTCTGCCTGGAACAATGGCGGCTATATTAGCTGTGATCAGCGGGTAAAAAGTAGTTAGAATCTATGTTGAAGTGAGAAAGTCCTCCTGAAAACATGGTCTGTGCAGTCAGTTCATCCAGATTACCATCCTGCCTTCAAAGATTATTTCTCTGTGGGAGCCGCTCAGACCCCCACATACCGGCGCTGCGCTGTCACTGGGAATCCCCAGTAGCACCTGCCTCAGGCCCGCCCGCCTCTTTGCGGTTTGCCGCGGCGGCTGTGAACCATTTTTCATGTACGTCATCCAAACTGCAGGCACCAGGATAATAAAAGTGAAAATATTTTGGCAGCAGATTTCGGCATTTGAAGTTAATTTAGGCGTTAATAAACTGTTTCAGAGGAGTGATCATAGCGCTCTGCATCAGCAGTGCTGTGTCTGACTCCCTGCCAGCTCCCAGATCAGCTTCTCTCATTGGTTGATGAGGCGCTTCCAGCAGCTAAATTTCAATTTGGCCAACTCCAGCAGCTGCTGCATCTGCAGTGCGTCCCGGGCTTCAGATGCTCAGTAGATCACAATGCGCTGCGGGACGTTTTGCTGCGCCTTGATGCGCGTCAACTATTGACTGCTCCTGCTGCTTTAGGTGTGAACGTAGCATTAGGCATCCGTTTTGGGGACAGGTGAGCTTTAGTAATTTAAGTTGCAACATTACAAATAGTAATTTTTCTGGCAGATACTTTTCTTCCAAATACTGCTCCACATTTCATCAGTAATCTCAATCTTCAGCTCTCCTCTCCTGGCCTGGGCCAGAGTTGATAAGTGATGCTTATGACATTTTATGCTTTGTAGCACATGCTGAGTGACGCTTCATGAGTTCCCAAGAACAGTTTTTTAATACCCGAATTCCCTGAGTAGAGTTGTTGTCTTATTAATAAAGTCGCTTATCTGGAAGAATTGGAAGAGGTTATTAAAACACCGTAGGCTTCCACTTGAATAAAAGACACTAGAATCCCTAAAAAGACAGCCGAGAGAAGAAATAACCTTAGCCACTCATTCCCCGAAACCTGCATCTAACCAGAGGAAAGTCAGGGTTCAGGACAAAGGATGAAAATGGGGATGTTTTTACTTTAAGTGTTTTCTATATCAAGGTCTTTGTGGCGATTATAACGATGACTCAGAAGACGACTTTAAAACTACTAGTGGATTAACTGAGAGAACAGCTGCGTCATTTGCCAACACATGGCGGGCCAAAACAGACTGCCCTGAGGTAAAAACGGAACTAGCCGACCCCTGCACTACAAGCATGGAAAAGCGTAAGTCATTAACATAAGTGTTTGTATAAGCCATCCCCAGCTCCATCAACAATCCTTTTTTTTTCTTTTATAGAGAAATATGCCAAAGAATTGTGCTCGCATCTGTCAAACAAAAGCGAGGTTTTTGGACCTTGCCATTCTAAAATAGACCCAGAAGAATATGAAACTGTAAGCATCTACAACGTTTCATCCAAATCTAATCTCTATACATAAACAAGCATTCTTTATTTCACATTTTATAATTTCCAGCTTGTAATACTGATTTCATTTTTTTCTTTACAGTCTTGCGTTTATGACACTTGTGCTTGTGAAAACAGTGAAGACTGTCTGTGTGCTGCCTGGTCATCATATGTCCATGCATGTGCTGCTGAGGGGGTGATCCTGGAGGGATGGAGAAAAGATACCTGCAGTGCGTTTTATCTTTATATATTCGATATATTCAGACTGAATATATCTGCATATATCCATATCTATTATATGCAACATGCTCCTTTACTTTTCCTTTAGGTTCCAAAATTGTTCAAAAACAATCCACTGAAATTTGTTTCCAAGTTTGAAGACGTTTCTCTTCCATCGAGGAAAATTTTTTAATTCAAAATGTCAGAAATAGCGTTTAGTTCCAGGTTTTATCCAGCAGCCCAACAAAGCCTGGTTTTTTATTTAAAAAATTAAATCTAGAATGGCCCAACACAGGAGAGCGACCTCCCCGGGACAAGACACCTTATGGACCAAGGACATTCTTTGGAGGACCAGAGTGTTCACATTTTGGACAAAGAAGACAAGTGGTTTGAGAGGGGCGTGAAGGAAGCCATCTATGTTAAGGAAGAAAAACCAACCGACTCAGATTTCAGTTTTCAAAAACCTTCAATGCAGCAATAGAGTTGATTCCTTTCCGCTATAATCGCAGCCCCAACCCCTTTACAGGAGAACAGAAAACCTCGCCTATTCAGCCAGGCCAACAATTCCCTCTAACGCCCCCCTTTCAGAGACATAGACAGGTATGGGGCATTGCAGGCTAACAAAGAAGCCAAACGACCCCCATTCCAGAGGGGGGGACCCGTTCATCCGTTTCTATTTGCATGTTTTCTAAACTAAAACCAGGCTTTGTTGGGCTGCTGGATAAAACCTGGAACTAAACGCTATTTCTGACATTTTGAATTGAAAAATCTTCCTGGATGGAAGAGAAACATCTTCAAACTTCGAAACAAAGTCCAGTGGATTGATTTTTTTATCGTTTTTGGAATGACTGACCTGGATGATTGAGAATCTTCACAGGCATATTTTCTTACAGGCAGATACACGACAAACTGTCCTGCTACTATGGTGTACAAATACAACATGACAAGTTGCGATCGAACTTGCCGCTCTCTAAGTCAGTCAGATCCAACGTGCACGGTTAAGCATACCCCTTTTGATGGCTGCGGCTGTGCTGAAGGGACTTTTCAAAATGAGAAAGGAAAGTGTGTATCGGCTGCAGAGTGCTCCTGTCATGAAGGACATACGGTGATACAACCTGGGCAAAGCACCACTGTCAAAGGACAAACTTGGTAAGCAATTCCACGTGTCTTATAGGGGTTTATCAATGTATTCATTGGACAAGAGGATATATATTATCCAATTAAAGGGAAAAGATGAGATTTCAGAAACATTTTGGGGAAACTAAAATAAACTTTTTGTTGTATTCAGAAGTAAAGTTTTTTTAATTTTCATCATGCATTTTATGCAGATATATAATTGTTGTTGAATATTCCAGTCCAAGTTTAATCTGCTTATATCACAGCTTCAGTGCAGGTCAATATTTTTTTTCCCTAGTAACAAAACTTTGAGAAGAGATTCTGTTTAAACAAGACTAGTTTATATTCCTAAAATATATCAAATATATTCCTAAAATCTTTCTTAAAATATGCATGTGTTGCATAATTTGTTTTTTTTTATTCTAGTTTGACTAAGAAACCATGTAAATACCCTGACTGAGCAGTGTACTTTATACTTTATATTTATTTATGCTCCATGTAGTACATGTCATGAAGCAGTGTTTGTTTGGAGGACCCAAACGCAGAGACCAGTAGGCAGAGGTGAATTAAAGTCTGTTTATTTAGATCCAGAAGCAGGAATCAGAGTCCAACTGAAAATAACAAACGTACCAGAACCAGGGAGACATCAGGGGTAAACCAAAACTAGAACCCAGGGAGAGACGAGGAACACAGACAGAAGTTATACGAGATGTTAGACGAGGATCCAGCAAACAGGAACTGAAGAGGGAGGGCTTTTAAAGGGGACAGAGACAAAGAGAGAGCTGACGAGGGAATTGAAAACAGGTGCAGGCAGAATAGAGAAACAGAGCAAGGGAGGACACAAGAGGGCAGCAGAGGACAACAAATGGAAAACCAAGAAAAACAGGAACAAACAGACCAAGACTCTGACAGTACATGTTTTTATATATGTATTTATGCCTAATTGACTTTATTTACAAAATAATACTCAAGAAGAGCAGATATGTTCAGATACTGTTCATCTTGTGCAGGTTGAGTGCCATTGTTGACAGTGCCATAGTCCAATAACTATTGAATTCTATTTTAAGTTTTTAATTTTCTCTGAAGGTCAGACTTGACATACAAGGCAAAGGTGAACTATCTGAATAATAATTTAATACAGAAGGAGAGCTGAATAAATATAACAATTAAACCCAATAAATTAAATTTAGACTATTTAAAAATTAGAAATTTTGATTCAACAGGAATTAACCGGTCGCATGATTCTCCTCATACCTAAAAATCGTTTATCTAGCCAGCAGTTGTATCGCTGTTTCTTTTGCCTGTGTTAAAGATAGGCTCTGTGTGTCTGCATCTTTAAGCTCCATCTCTCCGTTTCTTTTTTCTGAAAAAAAGATCACTGGGGACAAACTCTTCAAATAACACTTGATAATTTGTATGTATTAAATAACCAGGAGACATGAAAACAGATTTGGATATAAATTGTAATCTTGCTCAGATCAGAGAAGTTGCTTAGAGTCACAGAAGGCAACTGCTCACCTCTCAGGAAGCAGCCCTGATTAACAGTTAAAGAAGCATTTAATGGATCTTCAGTCTGCTTCATCACCTGCAAAGTGATGTAAAAAGAACAGCACAACCAACAGACATGGGATAAGAGACTCAATAAACACCTTGATACTATCGCTGAAGTATGAGTAGTATTATTTAATTTAAGTATCAGAATATGGGCTTTATCATGTTACCCTTACAGTAAACTATTGCAGCTGATATCTGTTTGTTTAATCTAACATCTGCTGTAAATCCTGAACTTTTAGGAGGAGCTCAGGTTTAGCATTCAGCCTTTTCAAAGCATAAAGGAAATGTTTATTCAATCTAAACATACACTTCAAGGATAAAATGCTGCTTTTCAGTACTTTTTTAAAGTCTTTATAATACTTTTTATTTTGTTTTATGTATATTTCTGCTTAATGTATTTCATGTCTGTCCTGTAAATCAGCTCCTGCCACGCTGGAAAATTACATTGTAAAGGACAACAAAAAAGCCAGTGTGAGTAAAAAAAACTAAAAAACACTCAGTGAAGATGAGCAGAATCAATAAATATTCCTTTTAACATTTCATCACTGTCATCAGCATGCACCAGTCCAATGGTGTTCTTCAATTGCTCCGATGCAAAGTCGGGCGAAAAGGGATCAGAGAGCCAGAGGAGCTGTCAGACACTCGACTCTGAAAGTGTAAGACTGTGGCGCTTGTTCATTAGTACCTCTAAGTAAAGTACACATTAATGTTTAAGGAAGTGAATAACAAATGAATCCTGCTTCACAGGTAAGTTCCCAGTGTGTCTCTGGGTGTGTGTGTCCCAGTGGCCTGCTGTCCAATGGGAGTGGAGGCTGTGTGAACGAGGAGGACTGTCCCTGCCCACATGGTGGAAAATATTACAATCCAGGAGAAGAAATCACTGACGACTGCAATAAATGGTTAGTTATGATGTGCAAAATCCATATTAATGTGCCTGATTTCATAGCATACCTACTTGTCTGATTGGTAACTTTACGTGTTTATTTATAACTCAGCAAATGCAGAAACAGGAAATGGGAATGCACTAAAAATGACTGTGGTGGGACCTGTACCATTTATGGAGAGGGACATTACATCACTTTTGATCAAAAGAAATTTGCATTCAAGGGGGACTGTGGCTACATTTTCTCTCAGGTATAGTTGGTTGTGATATTTTTTATTTATTTTTTGCCATTGTGTTGAAGTAGTTTTGTTAAACTGATTTAAAACTGGTGCAGGATTACTGTGGAGACAATGTGAATGGTACCTTCAGGATCCGCACTGAAAACATCCCTTGCTCAGAAGGTGAAACTATTTGCTCCACTAGCATCAAACTCTACCTTGGGGTGAGTAAATTCATGGCATTTAAAAAATATCTGAGTCATAGATCTTATATGCAGGAGATGCTTCTGGAGATACAAGAAAAATAAAAAAAAATTATAAATACATTCATATTTTTCTTGTTTCTACTTGTTTAAACACCAAATTGGCAGTGGGACAGAAATCAGTGAAATACTTATTCTGGTTGATTATAAATTTTTTTTATTACCTCCTGCAATTTCTTCCACTAATCTAAATGTCTTTAAATCCAGATTAACATGAATCCAGCAGACTGTAGTAAACAGATTAATGGAGGCAGAAGATGTCTTTCAGTCATCAATGCTCACATTCAGAGACACACAGGAGCTCTTTCAAGCGGGGCACCGTTTCATTCACAACACCTGTCCCATCAACCAGGAATCAGAAATACTTTAATAATCCCAGGGAGGGATTACTTTAGTTACATTACTCCATCTGTAATAGAGTGACTATAGGAGCAGTTTGATAGAACACTATTTTATACGATATATTTTCTTTTCAGAGCAAAGAAATCCTTCTGTCAGATGAAAGCATCTCAGTGATCAGCCAAAGCAAAGAGATGGACATACCCTTTAAAGTCCACACTATGGGGATATATGTCGTCATTGAGGCAAACAATGGTCTTATTCTCATCTGGAATAAGAAAACAACACTAATGATTAAACTCAGCTCTGCATTCAAGGTGAGTAATGAGATGTAACGGTTCTTCAACAAATGTTTAGGTGCTTTCAGTTTTGAAATGAGCTTGCCTTCACTCTTTGGCAGGGTAAAGTCTGTGGCCTGTGTGGGAATTACGATGGGGCCATCAGGAATGATTTCACCACAAGAAGCAATGAAATAGTAGTTAATCCAACATTGTTTGGAAACAGCTGGAAACTGTCCTCCACCTGCCCAGATGTAAACATAACACAGAACCCCTGTGCCCTGTACTCTCACAGACGCGCATGGTCAGAAAAACACTGCAACATTATCAAAAGTGAAGTGTTTTCTGCCTGCCACAATAAGGTAAGACAATACAAGACATGCAATCAACTGGACTTTGTTTCCAAGTTTGAAGACGTTTCTCTTCCATCCAGGAAGCTTTTTAAATTCAAAATGTCAGAAATAGCGTTTAGTTCCAGGTTTTATCCAGCAGCCCAACAAAGCCTGGTTTTAGTTTAGAAAACATGCAAATAGAAACAGACAAAGGGCTCCACCGCCTCGGGATTGGGTTTGTTTGTATTCTTTATGACCGACCTTTCAGAGACCTAAACAGGTATGCGGCATTGCAGGCCAACAAAAGAAGCCAAAGTTCTTCAAACTTGGAAACAAAGTCAAGTGGATTGCTTTTAATTTTTATTTTTTTTTATTGGGTTGATGTGAATTTTTATGAATAAACCAAAACTAACTTGAGTGCAGAACTTGTTTTCCTTACTTTAGCTTTTTTCTTTCAAAAAAGGTGGAGCCAAACCAGTACTATGATGCTTGTGTGGCAGATACATGCTCCTGTAATGCAGGAGGGGATTGTGAATGTTTCTGCTCAGCTGTAGGAGCATATGCAGCCGCATGCATTGAGGCTGGAGCCTGCGTGAGATGGAGAACCCCCACCATCTGTCGTAAGTTAGATATTTGAGAAGGCATAAAAGCCAGGATCCTGACCTCTTCCTATTTCCATTTTTTACTAATTAAATTTCCAACTTGCTGTTTTTTTAAACTTATCTTTTTTTTTCAATGGGAATTGCATTTATTCAATAGCATTTAGATATTCATGACAGTTGAAGATCAGAAAACACAAAGAAGGTCCTTGGTGGCAGCATCATGCTGTTGTTGTGGGAAAAAAGTATTCAACTATTCATCCTAGTTAAATAAAAGGAGATCGATGGATTTCACTCAGTCAGCACATTTATTCATATCTTTGCGAAGAGAGAACAGTTCATCATACAGCCCTAATGGCACAGCATTCTGCCCTGTTCTGATCTGGACAACGTTCGTTCCTCCTTACTTACAACAATGGAAAAGTAGTCAGAGTTTAAACTAATTACAGACACTTTGGTTAAACAGTTACATGTTCTGAATAAACCTGGAGAAAGAATCTGGTTTGTTATGGGAAGAAGCTCTGTCTGGTCTACAAACACCATCCTGCGGATAATGGTGCAGCCTTCAAGGTGAAACAGACTGAGTGAAAACTTTCAGAGTGAGTAAATGGGATAAATTAATATATAATAGAAGAGAAATCAAAATTTTCTGACAACACTGTAAAAAGAAAACCTGTTCAGAGTTAATAGGATGATGAAAAAAGTACAAATTAAGGACCAAGTGGAATAAAAACAACATTTTAAAAGCTACAGTGTACCTGAGTCAGGCTGTATTAAGGCTTGTTTATGCCTGATTCGTCAGTAAAGTCTCCACGCCGCTGCAGTCAAATTACCTCATTTTAGCACAAGCCTGAGTTTTCCAAGTACGCAGACAGCTGCATGCTGGTGAAGATTCTCAGTCATCCCGGTCATAGTCATTTAAAAAAAATGTAAAAACAATCCCCTGGACTTTGTTTCCAAGTTTGAAGACGTTTCTCTTCCATCCAGGAAGATTTTTCAATTTAAAATGTCAGAAATAGCGTTTAGTTCCAGGTTTTATCCAGCAGCCCAACAAAGCCTGGTTTTGGTTTAGAAAACATGCAAATAGAAACGGATGAACGGGTCCCCCCCTTTGGAATGGGGGTCGTTTGGCTTCTTTGTTAGCCTGCAATGTCCCATACCTGTCTATGTCTCTGAAAGGGGGGGGTGTCGTTAAAGGGAATTGTTGGCCTGGCTGAACAGGCGAGGGCTTCTGTTCTCCTGTAAAGTGGGTGGGGTTGCGATGCAATGCAGCAGTTGAGTTGATTCCTTCCCGCCATCATCGCAGCCCCACCCCCTTTACAGTGGAACAGAAGACCTCACCTATTCAGCCAGGCCAACAATTTCCTCTAACAACCCCCCTTTCAGAGACAAGCAGGTGAATAAGTTCAATGATAATTAGAGAGCGGGGAGGGAACGGCAGGTATATGAAGTGAGTAATCAGATCAGCTACCAGGGCTGTGATCATGACACATCTAGAGATTAAGGATGTAAATATCCAGACTTAAATTAAAATTCTACTTCACAGTAGAATCCGTGAAAAGGACTTCAAAATAGTTCCTTTATGCTGTACTTTCTGCCATGTCTAACCGAGTTTGAGTGACAAATACAGTATATATGAAAGGGAACCTTTCTGTATCAAAGACGGAAAAATACCCAAAAGTATTTGCAGATATAAGTGCAGTTTTAGTTAGTCTTTAGACACTAACACATTTGAAGCTCTGTTGTCATTGCTTGCTTTGTCATAATAGATATTTTTGACAATGTAATGCCATATTTGGTATTTGTGTCAGACTTTGACCTTTTTGTAAACCTTAAACATAAGAATTTGTAAATATATATTTTTTATTATTTTATATGTGCTGTAACAAATTACAAACTAGCATATCGTTTTTATAGGTATTAATTTAGCATTTCAGTTACTTGTGAAAGTTGATGACAATAAATGGGATTATTAAGTCTTGCAATTCATATACATGACTATTTAACAGTTTATTACCTTTTGCAATTGAGTAAAAGTATCTTTACTTTGCCTAATTTCTACTCAGAGTAAAAGTAATATTACCCATCTCAAAATTTACTCAAGTAAAAGTACAAAATTACTTCATTTAAAATGTAATTTGAGTAAAAGTTACTTAGTTACTTTGAGTTATTTAATGCAAAAAAAGGATGAGTCATGAATGGAATTGAGCACAAGGTGTTTTAATCGATTTCAAGGCGTATTTCAGTAGAAATCCACACTGCAAAAGATCAGCTGGGCTAAGGAACATACTTCCTCACAGCACAAGGACAGTCACAACCTGAACCATAAAGTGCAAACTATTTTCAATCCTACTGTCCAACAGACACCATGATAACTAACTTACCGCCACATGTTTTCGTAAATTGGATGTTGATGTTATAAAAGCCGAAAGCTCCGTTTTGCTGGGCAGGCACATGTTGCTCTGCATTATCACATCGTTCCCTTTTGTGCATTTGAAAACAAATAACCATTCCAAATATGGCCGAGGGGTTTTCTGGCTTTCGTCTCCAGAATATGTGTCCTCTTCAGGCCTTTCCTCATCCATACTCCCTAAGTTGTGATTAGCAACTGCCATCTTCCGAAGCGCAGCACTGGATTATAAGACAATACAAAGGGTAAATGCAAGGCAGGGCCACATTTAATATTTTCACCATCAGTATTTTTAATTTTTTTTATTTTAACTCAGTAACGTGAGGGGGTTTAAATGTAGCAAAGTAAAACTACTTAGGTTAAAATCTATTTGAGTAAAAGTAAAAATTGCATATTTCAAAAACTACTCAGAAAATTACAAATTACTCATAAAAAGTACTCAATTACAGTAACTTGAGTAAATGTAATTCATTACTTTCCACCCCTGCCTTTACATGATTTAGAACATTAAAGCAGAAAAAATACTAAAGTTGTTCTCGTCCTGTTTATCAGCTCTGTTCTGTGACTATTACAACCCTGATGGAGAGTGTGAGTGGCACTATGCTCCATGTGGAAAAGCATGCATGAAGACATGCAGAAATCCTTCAGGAAAATGCAGCAATAAAATTCCAGCACTGGAAGGTAAGAATTACAAAACAAAAACAAAAATTCATGCAGCTAAAGATTTTTTTTTTATTGGATCAATACACAATACATATAAACATATTTTAAAGTATTATTTTTGTAAATCCATGATATTAATATTAACCCCATTAAAGTCTGTATTTTTATTGAACGTTCTCAAAGTTATCTTGATTGGACCACCTTTCAAATTATATTTCTGCAATAAAAATACAGAATATCCGCCAACAGCTTTGTTAAATGCATAATACAAGTTAATCCCATATCCTAGATATGTGTGTGCCCTTTCGTATATAATAATGTTTATGCTCTGTGTTGCATTTTTCTTGCTGCCTGTTAAAATATACCATGCAAACACCCCCAGCAAATCACTTATCCATGTAAAACAACTATACATTAGGGTGCAAAAGTGTAATGCAAAGGAGGGAAAAATGTATGTAAGCTTTTATATGGTGTTTGTTTTTCTCAAGGCTGCTATCCAACATGCCCACATCGACAACCTTACCTAGATGAAGCTAAAATGATGTGTGTCTCTGGCGAAGAGTGTGGCTGCTATGATACGGATGGAAAACATTATAAGGAGGGAGAGTCAATGCCTGCCAGTGAAAATTGTTATAAGTGGTAAGATCCTTTTCACTAAAAACAATTCTGGTGTCTTTGCTAAAGTAATAAATTAACAAGATTAAAACCAGCCTTAAAGTTGCTAATTTTTTTCTACATTATTTTAAAACTAATATTTATAATCACATTTCCTTGCAGCAATTGTTCCTCAATATTGTCAAGGTGCATATTTGATGTGAATGGTGAGTAAGACAAATGCATGTACATACCTTTCAAAAAACAGTAGCTAGATTTTTTTCACTGTCATTACAGCAACGTGGACTGGCACTATACAATTTAGTTTAATATAATTTAAAAAAGAAAAAAAATTTATTGGCTTTTGGAAGCTGCAATGTCTTACAGCCATTTCATACTTTTGCAGCTTGCACCTGTGTCTACATGAACAGAACATACAAGTATGGAGAAATAGTTTATGAAACACATGATGGAAATGGAACCTGCATCACTGCTGTTTGTAGAGAGAATGGAACCATCGTTAGAAGATTGATATCTTGCCAACATACAACTACAAATCTCCCAGAGACAACACCAGTCTTTGTATTTACCACAAGTGGTAAGATAAGGAACACAAAATGGTTTTTGCAGATTTCATTGAACAACATTTAAGGGTTTTCAGCAAGAGTTTCCATATTTCTGTGATTTATCTGGTTTCTCTTCTTCCTTCACAGAAAGAATTACAACACACCCAACTATTCCAACTAAACCTATTAGTACTTTCACAACTCAGTCTGTAACAACAATTCTGACTTTCTCAACTCCAAGAGTTTCTACAAAATCTAAAACAACATTACCAGTGTTCACATCATATCCAATTTCATCAACCACTTCAGCCCCTAAAACATATACAACTAAAATAGCAGCAACAACAACCCCTCACAAAGTAGTAGATACCACAACATTAAGCACAGAAAAACATACAACCACAACATTTCACACCGAAGCAACTACTACCCCACCTGAAACAACTACAACCAATGACTGCCTTATTTGCAAGTGGTCAGATTGGATCGACAATGATTACCCTGGACATGGTCACACAGAAGGAGATTATGAAAGACTTGCAAACATTTCAAATCCTGATTTAAGTCTTTGTAAAAAACCTTTAGAAATTAAGTGCCGAGCCAAATTGTTTAAAGATGTGCCAATAGAGGAAATACCTCAACAAGTAACCTGCAACCCTACAGAGGGACTGGTTTGTAATAATAAGGATCAGACACCAAACACTCCTTGTTTTAACTATGAAATTCAAGTGAAATGTTGTATCTACAGCTGTGAGCCTGAAACCACAACCAGGAGAACTGAAAAATTAACCACCACACCAAACATTGGTACAACCAGCCCTACAACGGTGACTGAAAAACCAACAACCACAACAAAGATAACAGAAAGATCCTCAACTTCTCATATTGGAACACCTACCCCAAAAACAGGAACTCAAATCACAGAAACCACACCGGAGAATACAGAAAGAGTCACCCCAACACCTTACATAGGGACACCAAGCCCAACTATGGAAACTAAAAAATCAACAACCCCTCACAAAATAGTAGATACCACAACATTAAGCACCAAAAACCATACAACTGCAACAACTCAAATCGAACCAACTACTACCCCACCTGAGCCAACTACAACCAATGACTGCCTTATTTGCAAGTGGTCAGATTGGATCGACAATGATTACCCTGGACATGGTCACACAGAAGGAGATTATGAAAGACTTGCAAACATTTCAAATCCTGATTTAAGTCTTTGTAAAAAACCTTTAGAAATTAAGTGCCGAGCCAAATTGTTTAAAGATGTGCCAATAGAGGAAATACCTCAACAAGTAACCTGCAACCCTACAGAGGGACTGGTTTGTAATAATAAGGATCAGACACCAAACACTCCTTGTTTTAACTATGAAATTCAAGTGAAATGTTGTATCTACAGCTGTGAGCCTGAAACCACAACCAGGAGAACTGAAAAATTAACCACCACACCAAACATTGGTACAACCAGCCCTACAACGGTGACTGAAAAACCAACAAAAACAACAAAGATAACAGAAAGATCCTCAACTTCTCATATTGGAACACCTACCCCAAAAACAGGAACTCAAATCACAGAAACCACACCGGAGAATACAGAAAGAGTCACCCCAACACCTTACATAGGGACACCAAGCCCAACTATGGAAACTAAAAAATCAACAACCCCTCACAAAATAGTAGATACCACAACATTAACCACCAAAAACCATACAACTGCAACAACTCAAATCGAACCAACTACTACCCCACCTGAGCCAACTACAACCAATGACTGCCTTATTTGCAAGTGGTCAGATTGGATCGACAATGATTACCCTGGACATGGTCACACAGAAGGAGATTATGAAAGACTTGCAAACATTTCAAATCCTGATTTAAGTCTTTGTAAAAAACCTTTAGAAATTAAGTGCCGAGCCAAATTGTTTAAAGATGTGCCAATAGAGGAAATACCTCAACAAGTAACCTGCAACCCTACAGAGGGACTGGTTTGTAATAATAAGGATCAGACACCAAACACTCCTTGTTTTAACTATGAAATTCAAGTGAAATGTTGTATCTACAGCTGTGAGCCTGAAACCACAACCAGGAGAACTGAAAAATTAACCACCACACCAAACATTGGTACAACCAGCCCTACAACGGTGACTGAAAAACCAACAACAACAACAAAGATAACAGAAAGATCCTCAACTTCTCATATTGGAACACCTACCCCAAAAACAGGAACTCAAATCACAGAAACCACACCGGAGAATACAGAAAGAGTCACCCCAACACCTTACATAGGGACACCAAGCCCAACTATGGAAACTAAAAAATCAACAACCCCTCACAAAATAGTAGATACCACAACATTAACCACCAAAAACCATACAACTGCAACAACTCAAATCGAACCAACTACTACCCCACCTGAGCCAACTACAACCAATGACTGCCTTATTTGCAAGTGGTCAGATTGGATCGACAATGATTACCCTGGACATGGTCACACAGAAGGAGATTATGAAAGACTTGCAAACATTTCAAATCCTGATTTAAGTCTTTGTAAAAAACCTTTAGAAATTAAGTGCCGAGCCAAATTGTTTAAAGATGTGCCAATAGAGGAAATACCTCAACAAGTAACCTGCAACCCTACAGAGGGACTGGTTTGTAATAATAAGGATCAGACACCAAACACTCCTTGTTTTAACTATGAAATTCAAGTGAAATGTTGTATCTACAGCTGTGAGCCTGAAACCACAACCAGGAGAACTGAAAAATTAACCACCACACCAAACATTGGTACAACCAGCCCTACAACGGTGACTGAAAAACCAACAACAACAACAAAGATAACAGAAAGATCCTCAACTTCTCATATTGGAACACCTACCCCAAAAACAGGAACTCAAATCACAGAAACCCCACCGGAGAATACAGAAAGAGTCACCCCAACACCTTACATAGGGACACCAAGCCCAACTATGGAAACTAAAAAATCAACAACCCCTCACAAAATAGTAGATACCACAACATTAAGCACCAAAAACCAAACAACTGCAACAACTCAAATCGAACCAACTACTACCCCACCTGAGCCAACTACAACCAATGACTGCCTTATTTGCAAGTGGTCAGATTGGATCGACAATGATTACCCTGGACATGGTCACACAGAAGGAGATTATGAAAGACTTGCAAACATTTCTAATCCTGCTTTAAGTCTTTGTAAAAAACCTTTAGAAATTAAGTGCCGAGCCAAATTGTTTAAAGATGTGCCAATAGAGGAAATACCTCAACAAGTAACCTGCAACCCTACAGAGGGACTGGTTTGTAATAATAAGGATCAGACACCGAACACTCCTTGTTTTAACTATGAAATTCAAGTGAAATGTTGTATCTACAGCTGTGAGCCAAACTCAACACCAAACATAGAAATATCGACCCCAGCAACAAGCACTAACACACCTGAAACCACAACCAGAACAACTGAAAAATTAACCACCACACCAAACATTAGTACAACCAGCCCTACAACGGTGACTGAAAAACCAACGACCACAACAAAGATTACCGAAAGATCCTCAACTTCTCATATTGGAACACCTACCCAAACAACAGGAACGCAAAATACAGAAACCACACCAAATACAGAAAGAATCCCCACAACACCTTACATAGGGACACCTACCCCAGCAACAGAAACTGAAAAAAACACAACACCTCACACAGAAACTGCAACTTTATCAACGGGCACTAAAACACCTGAAACCACAACGAGAATAACAGAAAAATCATCCACCACTTTCAACAATGGTACACCCACCCCTACAATGGTGACAGAACAACCAATGACCACAACAAAGATTACAGAAGGATCCTCAACTTCTCATATTGGAACACCTACCCCAACGACAGGAACTCAAAATACAGAAACCACATCAAATACACAAAGAGTCACCACAGCGCCTTACATAGGGACACCAAGCACAACTATAGAAACTGAAAAATCTACCACACCTCACATAGAAACTGGTACTGTAGCCAAAGGAACTACAAAACCCATAACTGCGAAAGTAATTACAGCAAGAGTAACCACAACACCTTACATAGGGACTCCTACCCCAACAACAGAAACTGAAAAAACCACAACTCCTCACACAGAAACTGCAACCCCAACGGGCACTAAAACACCCGAAACCACAACCAGAATGACAGAAAAATCCTCCACCACTTCTCACATTGGTACACCCACCCCTACAATGGCGACTGAAAAGCCAACAACCACAACAAAAATTACAGAAGGATCCTCAACTTCTCATATTGGAACACCTACCCCAACAACAGGAACTCAAAATACAGAAACCACACCAAATACAGAAAGAATCACCACAACACCTTATATAGGGACTCCTACCCCAGCAACAGAAACTGAAAAAACCACACCTCACACAGAAACTGCAACTTTATCAACGGGCACTAAAACACCTGAAACCACAACTAGAATAACAGAAAAATCTTCCACCACTTCTCACATTGGTACACCCACCCCTACAATGGCGACTGAAAAGCCAACAACCACGACAAAAATTATAGAAGGATCCTCAACTTCTCATATTGGAACACCTACCCCAACAACAGCAACTCAAAATACGGAAACAACACCAAATACAGAAAGAATCACCACAACACCTTACATAGGGACTCCTACACCAACAACAGAAACTGAAAAAACCACAACTCCTCACACAGAAACTGCAACCCCAACGGGCACTAAAACACCTGAAACCACAACTAGAATAACAGAAAAATCTTCCACCACTTCTCACATTGGTACACCCACCCCTACAATGGCGACTGAAAAGCCAACAACCACGACAAAAATTACAGAAGGATCCTCAACTTCTCATATTGGAACACCTACCCCAACAACAGCAACTCAAAATACAGAAACCACACCAAATACAGAAAGAATCACCACAACACCTTACATAGGGACTCCTACCCCAACAACAGAAACTGAAAAAAACACAACACTTCACACAGAAACTGCAACTTTATCAATGGGCACTAAAACACCTGAAACCACAACTAGAATAACAGAAAAATCCTCCACCACTTCTCACATTGGTACACCCACCCCTACAATGGCGACTGAAAAGCCAACAACTACAACACAGATTACAGAAAGATCCTCAACTTCTCATATTGGAACACCTACCCCAACAACAGGAACTCAAAATACAGAAACCACACCAAATACAGAAAGAATCACCACAACACCGTACATAGGGACTCCTACCCCAACAACAGAAACTGAAAAAAACACACCTCCCACAGAAACTGCAACTTTATCAATGGGCACTAAAACACCTGAAACCACAACTAGAATAACAGAAAAATCTTCCACCACTTCTCACATTGGTACACCCACCCCTACAATGGCGACTGAAAAGCCAACAACCACAACAAAAATTATAGAAGGATCCTCAACTTCTCATATTGGAACACCTACCCCAACAACAGCAACTCAAAATACAGAAACCACACCAAATACAGAAAGAATCACCACAACACCTTACATAGGGACTCCTACCCCAACAAGAGAAACTGAAAAAAACACAACACTTCACACAGAAACTGCAACTTTATCAATGGGCACTAAAACACCTGAAACCACAACTAGAATAACAGAAAAATCCTCCACCACTTCTCACATTGGTACACCCACCCCTACAATGGCAACTGAAAAACCAACAACCACAACACAGATTACAGAAAGATCCTCAACTTCTCATATTGGAACACCTACCCCAACAACAGGAACTCAAAATACAGAAACCACACCAAATACAGAAAGAATCACCACAACACCGTACATAGGGACTCCTACCCCAACAACAGAAACTGAAAAAAACACACCTCCCACAGAAACTGCAACTTTATCAATGGGCACTAAAACACCTGAAACCACAACTAGAATAACAGAAAAATCTTCCACCACTTCTCACATTGGTACACCCACCCCTACAATGGCAACTGAAAAGCCAACAACCACAACAAAAATTACAGAAGGATCCTCAACTTCTCATATTGGAACACCTACCCCAACAACAGGAACTCAAAATACAGAAACCACACCAAATACAGAAAGAATCACCACAACACCGTACATAGGGACTCCTACCCCAACAACAGAAACTGAAAAAAACACACCTCCCACAGAAACTGCAACTTTATCAATGGGCACTAAAACACCTGAAACCACAACTAGAATAACAGAAAAATCTTCCACCACTTCTCACATTGGTACACCCACCCCTACAATGGCGACTGAAAAGCCAACAACTACAACACAGATTACAGAAAGATCCTCAACTTCTCATATTGGAACACCTACCCCAACAACAGGAACTCAAAATACAGAAACCACACCAAATACAGAAAGAATCACCACAACACCGTACATAGGGACTCCTACCCCAACAACAGAAACTGAAAAAACCACAACACCTCACACAGAAACTGCAACTTTATCAATGGGCACTAAAACACCTGAAACCACAACTAGAATAACAGAAAAATCCTCCACCACTTCTCACATTGGTACACCCACCCCTACAATGGCGACTGAAAAACCCACAACCACGACAAAAATTACAGAAAGATCCTCAACTACTCATATTGGAACACCTACCCCAACAACAGGAACTCAAAATACAGAAACCACACCAAATACAGAAAGAATCACCACAACACCTTACATAGGGACACCAAGTCCAACAACAGAAACTGAAAAAAACACAACACCTCACACAGAAACTGCAACCCCAACAGGCACTAAAACACCTGAAACCACAACCAGAATAACAGAAAAATCTTCCACCACTTCTCACATTGGTACACCCACCCCTACGATGGCAACTGAAAAGCCAACAACTACAACACAGATTACAGAAAGATCCTCAACTTCTCATATTGGAACACCTACCCCAACAACAGGAACTCAAAATACAGAAACTACACCAAATACAGAAAGAATCACCACAACACCTTACATAGGGACTCCTACCCCAACAACAGAAACTGAAAAAACCACAACTCCTCACACAGAAACTGCAACCCCAACAGGCACTAAAACACCTGAAACCACAACTAGAATAACAGAAAAGTCTTCCACCACTTCTCACATTGGTACACCCACCCCTACGATGGCGACTGAAAAACCCACAACCACAACACAGATTACAGAAAGATCCTCAACTTCTCATATTGGAACACCTACCCCAACAACAGGAACTCAAAATACAGAAACCACACCAAATACAGAAAGAATCACCACAACACCGTACATAGGGACACCTACCCCAACTATGGGAACTGAAAAAACCACAACACCTCATACAGAAACTGTCATGGCAACAACAGGCGCTGAAACACAAACTATTATAACCCAAAAACTTACCACCATACCTTACACCAGTACACTCAAAACTGAAACCTCAGGTATTACAGAAACCTACACCACAATCATCACTGAAAAACACACAACACCTGGAAGCCCAATTCCTACAACCGTTGTTAAAACAACAGAGAGACCTACAACAACTTTGTGCTCCTGCAAATACATGAATCAGACCTTCTCACCTGGTAAGTTGCAGGCTTTTGTCACTACTCTTTCATAAAGGTATTTGAGACTTGAGAGTAGATTTTAATTGATAGATGTTATTGTAGTTAAACACTGTCAAAAATTTATTCATGAGAAGTCATCATAGCTTTACCAGTACACTTCTTAACTGATGAAGAGCTGTTTTCTATTACTGTTACTTTATTTTGCAAGGTTAACAACTTGAGAAAACATTTCCCTAAAAATCCTGATTCCTTCTTTTTCACTGGCATCATGCATTAATGGTATCCCATGATTTTGTTTTAACCATAATTTAGGCAGCATAATGTACAACGAGACTGATGGAGGCGGGTGGTGTTTCACTGCATATTGCAGTTTGGAATGCAATGTGGATAAGCATGCCCGACAATGTCACACAACAACTCCACCAAGTCCTCTGGTTACTACAACAGGCTCATCCACAACACCTACAACGAGGGATTGCTCGTTTCTTACACCACCTAGAGAGGTAACACGACTTGTATGGGAGAATTATCCTGCCATTATGCAAGAGCACATAATTTCAATTTGAGAAAAGAATTTCATCTTCTTGCACTCAAAACTTATAATGCTCACACTCAAAACATGCGCTCTCTCTCAAATGTTTTCTCTTCTCTCTCAAATCTTTGTTTCTGCTCTCAGATTTAATGCTTCTTGGACAGATATTTTCTCCTCTCGCTTGCCTCCTTCTCTTCGCGCACAAACCGCGCTCTGCACAAGTCTCAAATACGCTCGCAAACCCGTAGGCTCTGCTTGCGGATTTTTTTTGCTCTCTCTCGGATTGCAGAAACCGCGCTGACAATGGTCAGAGCAGGGTAACAAAGATAACTGTTGAGTGTAAATGGAACGAAACTGAACTGGACCGTGACAGAAACAACCGAACAGCGCTAACATGGTACTAGTTCATCAGTAGGGCTCTGTGCGGTTCATGTGTGGCTCGGTGTTCTGATTACAAAGAGCGCATGAGCAGATCGCCTCATCTCCTATTTACAGTCAGCTGACTCATGTCGCAGGTTTTCTGGCTTTGCAATCCACAGATCTCTTCACCTTCACTATGTTGTGCCATATGCCATGATCATACTTTTTGGACATTGGGAACCAGTGTCCATATTTCATCATGGCATATGGCACAACAACAACACAAACTTCTTCTCAGCCTATTAACAATAAATGGCGTCAAAAGAGCAGGAGGATGCCGAGGCCGAGGCTCTCATTGAAATTTGGGCGGAGGACGCTCTCCAGGCACAAAGGTTTATGAATATTCTGGGCGTTGCCATTTTTGTTTGCGTTTTTTGCCCTCTCCACTTAAAAAAAAACGTAACTCCTCCACCGCACGGTGCCTATACCATCTTTGTTATTAGTCGCCGCTGTCGGGTAGCAACAGCCTATGGCGAAAGCGAGCCACTGTGACAGCACATCCCATAATGCTTTGCGAGGAGAGCTCTCCACGCAAAGCATTGTGGGATATATCTGCCTCTTCTGAGGCCTTTTTTTTCTTCTCATACACTTTGTAGACACTTTTTCTCTTCCAACCCTTTTCACAGCCATTTTGAAAGAACCGCGGTGAGAAAGGTGATCTTCAATGACTGTCTGAGACCGTAGCTCACCACAGATATACGCCTGAAAGTACGCAGAATAAGATAGCTAACGGGGACGAGCGCGTAGGCCTTACGTAAACATATCACCAGAATAATTGACCGTGAACTGAACTGACTGAACTATTTTGTCTTTCTTTTTTCTGTCTTAATGTTGGCAGTGGGCTTTAGGCTGCCCTGCAAGGCTTTAAACCTGGGTTTAACCGGAGACTAAGCCATTCTCAAGCACATATCAAGGTGCTCATTTTGAGCCTGGATCCAGATTTATTGTTGATTCTGTTCATGGTGGAGAATCCTGCTTCACAGCAGCAGGTTGAGCCAAACATCCTCTAAATGTGCAGGGTCATCTTTGAGCACGCCATTTCACTTTTCTTTCACCAGTTCACCGCAGTTCTTCCAGCAGTCCACACTTTCTCTGCTCTCTTTTTCTCATGGTCTTCTCCTTCTTTCCCATCGCCCGGCTTGCCACAGGTTTGCCTGCTGTGTCTAAAAGTAGCAGCAGCAGCAACCCAGACTGACAGCTCATTGGCTCATTTAGATCACGTGCAGCCTGGAGCCGGACGCTCCCCAGGGCTTTACCGTATTAACAGGAGAAGAGGAGCAAGTGAAATTAGACACTGACGTTGGACAACATACAGTAATTTATAAATGTTTTAAATAAGGTTGGGTCCGGACTAGCCAGCATGTAGGTCCGGATCAGGACCGCAGTCCACTAATCTGGTCTATACCTTTAACTGATCCAAGCTCGGTCCGAACTCGGTACGGATCAGTAATTGGGCAATAGCTAAATATTAGGACTTTTCACATATCAAAAAGCAATCTATGTATGGTTTGTTCTTTGATGTTTAAAAAAATGTCTAAAAAGTAATTAACTGTTTTTTTTTTGTTTTTGTTTTTATTGTTCTTATTATTGAACTTTCTAAATCCATAAACAAGTGAAGTGAAGCCAGTATTGCTTCAACACCTGATTAGCGCCACGTTTCCAGATTAAATTACTCATCAAAGATATTAACAATAAAAAAAACTGTAACTATTAAAAAAAATACGTGGAGGAATTGTGGAGTTTGTCTCCAAACTTAGAGTCAAGGAAAAACATGGAAACTATTAATACCATACACCAGTAGTGTTTTTTAACATAAAATGAAATGCTTGTTTCATAATAGACTAAAATATACTTTGTTTTGCAGAATGGTGAATCCTGGAGTCCAGACAAATGCACCAGCAGCACCTGTAAGGAAGGCAAAGTGATTACAGAACACACACCATGTAAAACACCATCCAAACCAGTTTGTGAAAATGGTAACCCACCTGTTAAGATTTATGATGAAGACGGCTGCTGTTTTCAGTACGAATGCAAATGTGAGTTTGTTTAAAAGATTTTACAATAGGCTTCCTTTTTTCCTGCTGTAAAAAACACCCTGTAATGTTAAAACGATATCTGCAGGTATTTGCTCTGGCTGGGGAGATCCTCATTACAACACATTTGATGGACAATATTACAGTTTCCAGGAGAACTGCACATACGTCCTGGTCAAAGAGATAAAGCCCAAATACAATTTAACAATTCTCATTGACAATGAAAACTGCGATCCCTCTGGAACGGTGACCTGCCCTAAAGCTTTGATTGTATATTATAAAAATTATAAAGTGACTCTTACACAAATAAGACATCCAAAAACTGTGAACAAGGTTTGTACGTCTGCAGCAGATTATATTTTAAAAAATGCATCAACTTCACAATCATGTTTTTTTCCTCTTTAGTTGTTGATTAATGATGAGGAGGTGACTCCAACCTACTCAAATGAAGACTTCATCATTACATCCTCAAGAATTGAGCTGCTCATGAAAATCCCAAAGATTGAAGCCGTTATCACATTTAGAGGGCTTTTATTCATTGTTGACTTGCCATTTTCACTTTTCCACGACAACACAGAGGGACAATGTGGTAAGCTTATCTTTCAACTTGAAAAAATTAGATTAATATAAAACATAAAAAAACAGTTCCGTTAAAATATAAAGGCACTGTTTTCGGTAGAAATGAACAACCATACATTTTGTTGGTAATGTATGATGCTTTAATGTAACATCCGAATGGAATACCTGGAGAAAAATTAGGCTTTTAACTACACAATTAGCCAAGCGATTCAACATCCATAGCAACACGACTCCTTTATTCTGCATACCTGAAAAACATTTAGTAACTAGAGTTAACATCACTTGAGTATGGAAAACCTAAGGTTGCATAAAATCACAATGAAGAGAACAAAACTACTTAAAAACACACTGGATACAAAGAGTATGCAGTGATAACATTTCTGTTTTGGTGTCAATAAAAATCCAAGCCATAAATGATAAACCATTTAAACACATTTTTCATCTTTAATGTGTCATACGGTAGCATCCATTCAAAATGGCGCTTCCCATTCAAATGGCAGCCGAATGGCAGCGAAATCCCCTCCAACTTCAAGCCACTAGCCTTCTCCTATGCATATTTTCTTACTCTGACTCCACCCTTTCACTGAATTACAGGTTCTGACCAGCAGATGGCGCTTCTCTTTAGATCTTAATGTCCACAAATCATGACAGAAAGATTTTTTAAATGTTTAAAAAGGAATTGAATGGGACCAGCCAAGGGGCCATCAAGGAAAATGGGGAAGTGTTGAATGATTACTACTCTACATTTTGTTAACTCAACTCTTTCAGAGTAAAAAAAAATTAACTAAAGGAGGAATCAATAAGCCTAATGTCTTAGAAATTGTACGTTTAGTTTGGTTAAATTGTCTGAACTGTCATGTTGGGTTCAAGGCGTCTAACCCACATGCAGAAACACAGAGTCAGGGAAAAGAGTTCAAAGGGTTTATTTACAATATGTACAATGATAGAATGATGAACTGGTTCTGGTTCTTCGGACCGTTCACGGGGAATCACCACTGAGGAGGACAGAGCTGTTAGACAGGATCCAGGAAACTTGCAGTTTTGAGATGTCAGGATAAAGTACCTGTTCTGAGAGGGTTCTGATCAGCAGGGGGAAATCTTGTGAGTCCGGAGGCTTGCTGGCAGACTGAGGGCTGAGGGCAGAGGCAGAGACTGAGACTGAGAGCAGGCAGGCAGATTCCAGGGTGAGATTTCAATCTCCAAGATTTCAGGTAAGTCAGGATCTGTGAGACAGAGACAAACAGGGTCAGACAGGCTTCGGAACAAACAAGGCTCAGATCTGGTAGGTTGGCTCAGGTTTAGATCTACCATTACTGGCAAACACTCTGGCAGGGGAGTTTCAGTCTCGTCGTCGTCTCCCGCTTTATCCGGAACCGGGTCGCGGGGGCAGCAGACTAAGCAGAGACTCCCAGACTTCCCTCTCCGCAGACACCTCCTCCAGCTCTGTTGGGGGAAGCCCTAGGCGCTCCCAGGCCAGCCGAGAGACATAGTCTCTCCAGCGTGTCCTGGGTCGTCCCCTGGGCCTCCCCCCGGTGGGACATGCCTGGAACACCTCCCGAGGGAGGCGTCCAGAGGGCATCCGAAGAAGATGTCCGAGCCACCTCAACTGACTCCTCTCGATGTGGAGGAGAACCGGCTCTACTCTGAGCCTCTCCCGAATGACCGAGCTCCTCACCCTATCTCTAAGGGAGAGCCCAGCCACCCTGCGGAGAAAGCTCATTTCAGCCGCTTGTATCCGGGATCTCGTTCTTTCGGTCATGATCCAAATTTCATGACCATAGGTGAGGGTAGGAACGTAGACCGACCGGTAAATTGAGAGCTTTGCCTTTTCGCTCAGCTCCCTCTTCACCACAACAGACCGGTGCAGCGTCCGCATTATTGCAGCAGCCGCACCGATCCGTCTATCGATCTCCCGCTCCATTCTTCCCTCACTCGTGAACAGGACCCTAAGATACTTGAACTCCTCCACTTGAGGCAGGGACTCTCCTCCAACCTGAAGGGGACAAGCCACCTTTTTCCGGTCGAGAACCATGGCCTCGGACTTGGAGGAGCTGATTCTCATCCCGGCCACTTCACACTCGGCTGCGAACCGCCCCAGCGCACGCTGTAGGTCTTGGCAGGAGGGGGCCAGCAGAACTACGTCATCCGCAAAAAGCAGGGACGAGATCCGCTGTTCCCCAAACCAGACCCCATCCGGTCCTTGGCTGCGCCTAGAAATCCTGTCCATAAAAGTTATGAACAGGACTGGTGACAGAGGGCAGCCCTGTCGGAGTCCAATATGCACTGGGAACAGGTCCGACTTAGTGCCGGCAATGCGAACCAGACTCCTGCTCCGCTTGTACAGAGAACGGATGGCCCCTAATAAAGGGCCCCCGACTCCATACTCCTGGAGCACCCCCCACAGGGCAGTACAAGGGACACGGTCGAATGCCTTCTCCAAGTCCACAAAACACATGTGGACTGGTTGGGCAAACTCCCATGAACCCTCAAGCACCCTGCAGAGGGTGTAGAGCTGGTCCACTGTTCCACGGCCAGGACGAAAACCACACTGCTCCTCCTGCAGCCGAGGTTCGACAATCAGCCGGACTCTCCTCTCCAGCACCCTGGCATAGGCCTTTCCGGGGAGGCTGAGAAGTGTGATTCCCCGATAATTGGAACACACCCTCCGGTCCCCCTTCTTGTGGAGGGGAACCACCACCCCAGTCTGCCAATCCAGGGGTACTGTCCCCGACCTCCACGCGATGCTGAAGAGACGTGTCAACCATGACAGCCCGACAACATCCAGAGCTCTAAGATACTCAGGACGGATCTCGTCCACCCCCGAAGCCTTGCCACCGTGGAGTTTTTTGACCACCTCGGTGACTTCGGCCTGGGTGATGAACGATTCCAGCCCCAAGCACCCCGTCTCTTCTTCCCCCACGGAAGGCGTGTCCGTCGGGTTGAGGAGATCCTCAAAGTATTCCTTCCACCGCCCGACAATATCCTCCTTCAAGGTCAGCAGCTCCCCACTCCCACTGAAAACAGTGTTAGCGAAGCACTGCTTTCCCCGCCGGAGGCGCCGGACGGTTTGCCAGAATCGCTTTGAGGCCAACCGATAGTTTTTTTCCATGGCCTCTCCAAACTCCTCCCAGGCCCGAGATTTTGCCTCTGCAACCGCCCGGGCCGTGACACGCTTGGCCTCACGGTACCTGCTTGCTGCTTCAGGAGTCCCACAAGCCAGCCAAGCTCGATAGGACTCCTTCTTCAGCTTGACAGCATCCCTTACTATCGGTGTCCACCACCGGGTTCGGGGATTGCCACCACGACAGGCACCGCAAACCTTACGGCCACAGCTACGGGCAGCTGCATCGACAATAGAGGCCGAGAACAGAGCCCATTCGGACTCCATATCTCCAACCTCCCTCGGAACCTGAGAGAAGCTCTCCCGGAGGTGGGAGTTGAACACGTCCCTGACCGAGGGTTCCACCAGACGTTCCCAGCAGACCCTCACTACGCGTTTGGGCCTGCCGAGTCTTTCAGGCTTCCTCCTCTTCCAGCGTATCCAGCTCACCACCAGGTGGTGGTCGGTGGACAGCTCCGACCCTCTCTTCACCCGAGTGTCCAGGACATGCGGCCGAAGATCAGAAGATACGACTACAAAGTCGATCATCGATCTTCGGCCTAGGGTTTCCTGGTGCCAAGTGCACCGATGGACATCCTTATGCCTGAACATGGTTTTCATTATGGACAATCCGTGACTTGCACAGAAGTCCAATAATAAGACACCACTCGGGTTCCGAGCTGGGGGCCCGTTCCTTCCGATCACACCCCTCCAGGTGTCACTGTCGTTTCCCACGTGGGCATTGAAGTCTCCCAGTAGAATGATGGAATCCCCAGGAGGGGTGCTTTCTAACACCCTCCCCAGGGATGCTAAGAAGGCCTGGTACTCCGTACTGCCGTTCGGCCCATAGGCCGAAACAACTGTCAGAGTCCTCCCCTCAACCCGAAGGCGAAGGGATGCGACCCTCTCGTCTACAGGGGTGAACTCCAACACGAGACGGCTGAGCTGGGGGGTGACAAGCAGCCCCACCCCCGCCTTCCGCCTCTCCCCGGGGGTCACTCCAGAGTAGAAGAGAGTCCAGCCTCTCTCAAGGAGCTCGGTTCCAGAGCCCTGGCTGTGCGTAGAGGTAAGCCCAACTATTTGTAGCTGGTCCTTAAGTAGGAGTCCTCTCGATGAGGAGACAGGAAACAGGTGTGTGGAGGTGAGCTCATACCCTCAGCAGGAAGATCTTCGGCGCTCTCTGGTGGCAAGCCTCTGGATCCCAACATGAACATTATTGGAGGGGATGTTAGAAGCATTTCTCCTTTATCATTCTGTGATAGATTTACTTTTGATTTTTTTTTATAAGGTTATTGTGACAATAACAAGACAAATGACTGCAGACTACCCAATGGTGCGATCCATCCATTGTGCTCCAAGATGGCATATGAATGGCTTACAGTGGATAAAAATAAACCGTACTGCCAAAACCAAACCCTGCCTTCTCCACCCACACCCACACAAGGACCAACAAAACCACCATGCAACACAACTATTTGTGAAATCATAAAGCACGAGTAAGAATTTAAAACATCTGAAGTACATTTGAAATCCATCTGCTTAAAGCCCAAAATAACCTGTTTTACTCACATTTTGGTAAAAAGGATGTTCAAGGATTGCCACATGAAAATTCGACCCGACTCATTTTATGAGGCATGTAAATTTGATAATTGCCACATGCCAAATTCCAGCATGGGCTGCACCAGTCTGGAGGCATACGCCTTGATGTGTGCTGAGGCTTCTGTCTGTATAGACTGGAGGAACCTTGCAAAAGGACAGTGTGGTAAGAGTTTTGTCAGGAGAAATACATTGAATACCCTGTGAGATTTTTCACACATATTGATTTGTTACCGACTCTATTGTTGCAGATTACAAGTGTCCAGAGAATAAAGTCTACAAGCCTTGTGGGCCAACCATTGTAGAATCTTGCAATGCAGGGTAAGGACAATGCTTTAAAATTGAATACTTGAGGAAAGTAGGCTAAAATGAAAGGACATTATTATCTATCTATCTATCTACATCTATCTATCTATCTGTCAATGGACACAGACAATGCTTCAGAGTTACATTAATTATTTACAAAGTCGATTTTACTATTGTCATAAAATGATGATTTTACATCAGAAATGTTCTAAATTTCTACATAAAAAGAGACCAGTGTTCAGAAAGTATGAAATTGTATATCTAAATGCTTTTTTCTGCCCTGGTTCCTGGTTTATTGATAAAGCACAGTGGTAGTGATAAGGTCAAAGAATCTTTGAAGTACGGATTTTGTTTTCATATGTTTTTTTTACATGTTAATGTTTGTTAACTTTTATTTGTTTCATATTTAGATACAATAATAAACTCAAACAACAGTGTAGAGGAGAAGAAGCCACTTGCAGTGGAATAATGGAAGGATGCTTCTGCCCAGAAGGAACCATTTTGTTTGGTCCAGGCTCTGAAACTTGTGTCTCATCCTGTGAGAATATCTTCGGTTCTTTTTCAGAAAATTAACTTTTCATAGAAATTGAAAATTCACATGTTATTTCTAATGCTTTATAAGGTTGCACTGGACCTGCTGGAGAACCTGAACAGGTTAATATGACTACTATTATTATTATTATTATTGTTAGATTAGATTATTATTTTTTATTACTTTTAGAATTATCCGACTGATGTAATTTCATTTTTTTTTTTTACACAGATTGGTGACACATGGATAAGTAATTGCAAGCTGTGCAGGTGTGACAAGGACACACTGAGTGTTGTGTGTGAGCCTCTAGTGTGCCCTACACCAGAACCCATAACGTGCACAGAGAATGGTGAGGTGTTGGTGAACCAGACAGTGAACTGCTGCCGGGAACTAACATGTGGTGAGTGCATGTGTGCCAAGAGTCTCTATCAACAGGAAAGCTGACAGGCAGAGAGATGTGACTCAAAATCAGAGGCGTCGTTTATCAAAGATGGTTTTGAATTTATATGAAAAGCGAAAGAAAAAACATTTTGGATTTATTTCAGTTTATTTCTATAGCTCCAATTCACATCATGTCATCTCAGGTCACTTTCCAGTTCACCAGATCATCCAGTCAGATTGATTCAAAGTTTTCTATCTAAGGAAAACCAGCTGATTGCATCGACTCATTGACTCTTCAGCAATCCCTCACACTAAGCATGCTTGTAGCGACAGTGGAGAGGAAAAACTCCCTTTGAACAGGAAGAAACCTCCAGCAGAACCAGGCTCAGTGTGAGCGGCCATCTGCTGAGGCCCACTGGGGTTCAAGGAGACAGAAGCAGACATAGAAAAAGAAGCATAGATACAAAAGGCAACTGTCAACCAGCTCCACAGGCGGCCTCGTCCAGGAAACACACAGCCAGGCAGACGAGCTCCGAGCCAGCTCCCATGTCAGAGGATGAAGAGAGCACATCCAGTTAGTCACAGTCAGAGAAACAGGACTACACTGGAAAACAGGCCAAGCTCCAATATCTAGAAACAAAGGTGTTGATGGCAGCAGCACAGCTGATATTTCTCTCCAGGATGGAGTCACAGCCAAACAGGAACAGACCAGATGAAGCTACTCTGAGGAAAAGCAGAGAGAGCAGAACGTTAGAGATTGAACTAACAGATTCTGCAGAGTGGGAGAATAGAGATAGAATGAAGCAGAATGATGAAAAAGGGGTCCCTATGTCCTTCAGCAGTCTAAGCCTATAGCAGCAGAACTATAGAGATACTCTAACTAGAAGCTTTATCAAAAAGGAAAGTTTTAAGCCTAGCCTTAAAAGTAGACAGGGTGTCTGCCTCACGGACTAAAACTGGTAGTTGGTTCCACAGGAGAGGAGCCTGATAACTAAAAGAGATATGATCTCTCTTTTTCATTTTCATCAGAACAAGCAAATTTCCTAATAAATCTTAACTGTGTTTGCATCCAAGCTTCCACCCCCAAGCTGCTTTGGGCAGAGAGTGAATTATTATTGATTATGTTTAACACCTGTTAGAGACGAGAATAGACCTTGGAAAAAGAGGATTATCTGAATAAGCTGCCCAGAAATTAATTATAAGATTTAATATAGGCTGGAAATATCTGTAACAACTTATTCAATTTAGATTTGTGTAATTTTAGTACATAAAAAATTCCTATTTTGCATTTTAAGACAAATATAAGACAAAAGTATTAAAGAAACCTAACATGACCCCTATTCAATAATTTTATATAGCGTAGTTAATTAGAATACATAAATATTAGGTTTATCTATTTTGAATTATTTCAAATACATAAGAATTATTTGTTTTAATGGCATAATAATCAGATTACCTATATGCAGTTCAAATATTATGTATTTAAAATAAATACACTAGTATTCATTGTGAGTAAGTATACTTTACTAAATACCTAAACTTGATGATTATGTATTTCAAACAAATGAGCTTTATTATACTGATGGATATGGATCATTTAAGGTTTATTTAAAATGATTTTTTTATGTAATAATTGTACATAAATCTTAAATATTGGTGTGAAAATTTTCTCCGAGTGTATTTTGGAGGCTTAAAAAGTTTGTGGAAAATATGTACAAAAGAATCCCTACAGAAAGAGTAGATTTTATAGTATAGTGATATTAGCATCAGCTTCTGTAATTATATGTTTTTATGACATCAAAATATAGAGTTGTAATACTATGAATTATTAAGTGTTAATTCTATAAAACTGTTGTTGCATTTATGTTATTTAATGAAGATGCATTTGTTAAAATAATAAACTTTTGGATCTTTGTTCCAACAGAGTGTGATAAGAACAGCTGTGCTAAACCAACACTGAAGTGTCCGCCTGGCTTTGAGCGAAATATCCAATTATCAAAAGAAAGCTGCTGCCCACGCTACAGCTGTGGTAAGCTTCCCATATAGCTCATACTTTTAATTTGTTTGAAATATTTAACACTCTAAACACGGCTTTTCTAAGGTTAATTTAACAAAACAAAGCTGGATAATAGGTTTGATCAAATGACCGGGGGTCTGTTTCACAAAGCAGGTTTAAAAAAACTCAGAATCAAATACACAACTCTGCATTGATTAGGGCTGAATACAGAACATGAAGAACTACTGAAATAATTTCAGATTACACATAAATAGATAAATTAATATTGTGTTTTACCTTATGGTTAGGGCTAGGATTCATTCTATGAAAACAACCTACTGATAACCGCTAATAACGACCATTTATTGGGATAATAACATCCAAAGAGACTGGGAACAGCCACTTAGTATTTACTGTGTGATGGGAGACAGGATCAACATGAGGAGGAACCCATGAGATGATGAACAGGTTCCAGCTATTAGAACAACGTTTTTATTCTTCATTTTCACCTGCTGCCAGATTATTTCACCTGAACAGACACATTGATCCACTACCATTCAAGAAATCAACCCGTAATGCTATTATGGTCACCACATCTACGGCAAGCCGTTTTGATATATATTAGTTTGACTGAATGTGTATTTCTGATATATGAAAAAATATGTATCTTTGTCAAAATGACCATTTAAAACAAAATGGTTTGTCTCATCTAGAATAAATATTCTGTATTCCTATAAATGAATTTCAGATCTACATATGTCAATGGTTTCTGTTCAGCAATTGTTTTATTTTGACTGTGAAGAAATGTACAGTATTTCAGATATCATAAATACATATTCAGACAAGCGGATAAATGTCAGAACAACAATTTTGTATTTTTACTTTTTGAAATTCAGTTTCTCTTGCAAAAATGTAATTTAGAAAATCTATTATTACAGTTCCAACTAGGAATGTGATTTTGATCAGGAAGAATCTTATTTTTTATTTACATATGGAAAAACATTTCTTCATTAAAATGTCTAGTTCCAGTGGGGTGAAATGGGTAAATGTCCTGTACTTATATAGCGCCTTTATTCAAGTCAGGAGACTTGACCAAAGCGCTTTACACTACATTCATTCATCCATTCACTCACACACTGATGGTGGCAAGCTACATTGTAGCCACAGCTGCCCTGGGGCTCACTGCCAGAAGCGGGGCTGCCGTACACTGGCGCCACCCTCTGACCACCATCAGTAGACAATGCAGGTGAAGTGTCTTGCCCAAGGACACAACGACACTGAAGGTCGGAGTCGGGGCTTGAACCGCCAACCCTTTGATTTCAGGGCAAACTCCTACATCCAACGCCACTGTTGCCCTCAAATAGGAACTTGTTGTTGCCTGTTGCCATGGTGACTTATCGAATCAGGGCTCCACTAATAATGGCGTTTCATACTTGTTACGCACGCGTTCAACTCTGAGTGGACCTGGTTAAAATTGATTGAACTAATTCATAGCAGCCTCATTGAAACCAAATATCCAGGCTCTGTCCGAATTTCTGCCCTAATTACTATGCAGTGTCAGACATCTTTTCCTGTCAGTTAATATTAATATCCATGGAGGAAAAAGGAGAAGGGAAAAAAGCAGATTTTAAGTTGTAAACCTGTTAAAACATGACATCAGTCCTACTACCAACCCTGCTTGGTCATCCTTGCCTTCATTCTCCAGAATGCTATCTGGTTCTGTGTCAACTAAAATTAAACAATATACTTTTATCAGAAGTTTATTTTATTGATAGAATAATCAGGTTTCTATGATGATATATATTGATATAATTTTATTGCACAGCCCTACATTAACACTATTTGTTGTCTCATCTAGAGCCTAAAGGTGTATGTGTCTATAACGATACCGAGTATAAGGTACTGGAACTGGTCTTTTTTTATATTTTTATAACGTATATTGTATTCCGAATACTTTAAAACACCTCTGTCTCTTTACTTTTTTTACAGCCGGGTACAAACTTTTCCAAGAGCCTTTGTGAATACTGCCACTGTACCGATAAACAGGATCCCCAAACTAAGCTGAACACTGCAGTGTGCTATCAAATACGTTGTTCCATCTCTTGTAGCGAGGTAATTTGTTTAAGCTAATACCAAAAAGCTGTAAAGAGGCACTGCAAATAATCTCTTTAATAAACAATGTGTGTTTGATAGGGCTACACGTACGTAAATGAGGCTGGGCAGTGCTGTGGATCATGTAAACAGACCAGCTGTATTTTTGACGTCCCGGGCTTGAACTCTCCAGTAATTGCTAAGGTGAGGAAAAGTTCAAATAAAAGAGAATTATAATCCGGAACTTTTAGTTACTTTATAAATCTGATTATAACTTCACTAAACCGAATCTTCCACACATTTCACAGCCTTCACAGTCGTATTCATCTCCGAACGACAACTGCACCACATATAACTGTGAGAAGGTGAAGAACGAATTCGTTGTTTTCAGAAACCAAACCACATGTCCAGAGTTTGACCCAGACAACTGTGTCCCAGTGAGTATAATTAAGACACTGTAAATCACTGCTTTGGTTTAAGATGTTCATAAAGTAAATACAGTGTTTATGTATGTATGTACCAAAATTATCATCAGAATCTCCAAAAAAGTTTAAAAAAATAGACGTTTCTCTTCCATCCAGGAAGATTTTTCAATTCAAAATGTCAGAAATAGCGTTTAGTTCCAGGTTTTATCCAGCAGCCCAACAAAGCCTGGTTTTAGTTTAGAAAACATGCAAATAGAAACGGATGAACGGGTCCCCCCCTTTGGAATGGGGGTCGTTTGGCTTCTTTGTTAGCCTGCAATGCCCCATACCTGTCTATGTCTCTGAAAGGGGGGGCGTTAGAGAGAATTGTTGGTCAGGATGAATAGGTGAGGTCTTCTGTTCTCCTGTAAAGTGGTTGGAGCTGCTATGATAGCTGGAAGGAATCAGTCCCCCCCCCCCCCCCCTCTGTTTAAGGTTGGGTCTTAAACCTTAAACCACCTGTCTTCTTTGTCCAAAATGTGAACATTCTGGTCCTCCTAAGAATGTTCTTTGTCCATAAGATGTAGATGGACTGCAGGGTCTTGTCCAGAGGAGAGCGCTCTTCTGTGTTAGGCCATGCGTCTGTTTTTCCAGGACATAGACAGGTATGGGGCATTGCAGGCTAACAAAGAAGCCAAACGACCCCCATTCCAAAGGGGGGGACCCGTTCATCCGTTTCTATCTGCATGTTTTCTAAACTAAAACCAGGCTTTGTTGGGCTGCTGGATAAAACCTGGAACTAAACGCTATTTCTGACATTTTGTCCAGTGAATTCTTTGTAATTTTCTTTTTTTTGGAATGACTCTGACCTGGACGACTGAGAATCTTCAGCAGCATATCATCAGAATCTTCTAAAGCAGAATTTAAAAAATATATTTTTTTCAAATAGAAATAAACTATTAATAGAGATCTGGTGGATCATTATTGTACTTCAATAAGAAGTGAGGTATTGGTGACCACGGTCACTCATGATCTTTTTGCAATGTTTACAGGGAACAGAAGTGAGTGACATGAATGGATGCTGCAGACGCTGTAAGTATTGGGCTATGAAGAAAACATACAAAAGACTTTGTGATGTTTTGGACGAAATTAGCATCAGCGTTCACAATCTAAATAAAGTTTCTTTGTTTTTTTAAACAACTTTCAGGCCTTACAGTTCTTCTAATATTTTACCTCAAGAAAAATTAAAAGGATGTAAAGATTTATAGAGGATTTTTCAAACTGAAGAGAACTATATACAACTAATATGATATTTTCACACAAAAGATATTAACCTTAAATTTTTCTTACGTTGACCCAATGATCTTACAAAGCCGCAAAGCTGTGTGGCATCCACTGTGCGATTTTTCCAATCTTTGCACGCAGCTACAGCTCACACTGTACGACGAAACTACAGGGTTTAAAAATTCTCAACTTACGATTTTTTTATTTTTATTTTATTTCGAACAGACAATAAAAACAATGAAGAAAGAAAAAAAATTTGAATGAAACAAACTTAAGAATGAAAATATAAAACAAATTATTTTGCGCATGTCACATGCAAATTTTATATACGATGTTTGTTCTCACGCTGTGTGACCCGACGCTCTGATGCGATCTACCTGCTCACACTGTACGTCTAAAAACCAGGTGGGACTCAGCTCCGCAGTGAGATGGCGCTACTCGGACTCGTCTATCTGGAAGCCAAACCAGTAGCAGAGGAACATGAAGCTCACTAGAGTGAAACGCGCTGCCTTGGATATTTGGGCGATTTTGTGCTGAAAGCCCTAAAAAGAAAAGGAGACGACGTATTTGGACAAAGACATGGCTGAGCTAACGTGGCTACTACGGTCTGTCAGTTTGACAGAAAGAACTCCATTTCACTCATTGCCCCCCCGCCATGCTGCTGGGTTTTCCTCTGAGAGGAAGAAGAAGAAGAAGAATCCTTGTTTGCCCACTGAGTGATTTGCCCACGACCACCTTATGACGGCCGCCTGAATTTCAAACATGTTTGATTTTCTCCTGACCTTAAGATTCCTGATGGGGAGGTGGTCGTTAGAGGCTGATCGCCCCTCGTTACCCCCTGTTCACTACACCACGCACCATCAGGAAGAAAGTCGGCCCGATCGAAAAAATCCTTCCGCAACTGGAGAATCGGCCCGAAAAGGTCAAAAAATCGTACCGTGTACGCCCGGCTTTAGTCAGCCTATAGCAGGATTCTGCAACCTTTGGCTCAGACACAGCAGGAGCTTCTTTACACACTCTTCATCACTTTAGTTAAAAATGATGAGGAGCCATATCTCCTGAAGAATAGACATGCTAACAAATGCTAGTTAGTTTTCTTCCATGACTAATCGCATTGAAATTACCAAAAGAAAATGGTTCTAAATGTAACAGAGACATATTTTTATCTTTTTGAGTAGAAAGTAGAAAGTATGTCGTTTTTTAACCATAATTTTCCTGAAATCTCAGAAAGCCATTGAAGACGTGTTTATTCTCTTTTTGCATGTTTTTTTTCTTCATTTTTAAACTTTAGATTTTAAATGGCACAATGATTATTTAAAAACAACAAATATAGATTTGGTAGATTTATTGAAATTATGCTATCTTTTTCTTTCTTTTTTTTTTTAGAAAAGGTAATGTGATGTCTGCATCTCTAAACCAGTTTTATGAGCTGGACTGAAGTCAAAAGCGTCTTTAGTTAGTTTGGTCTACAGTGGCTCTCCTGCAGCCGTGAGCTGTGAAGTTAGGACACTGAGGCATTTCTTGCAAGAAATAAGGCTCAATTTTATTTAACATCCTCAGACAGAGAGATCTCTGAAGCAACCTCAGCACATACATTTATACCTTACAATTTCCCAACACACACACCCCCGCCCAGAGGAACCAACCCACCATAAAGAACTTTCTCACACTTGAGGATTGAAGCAAAACAGCTCCAGTTCATGAAGGCCGTTCCCTGTTAGGTTAATATATCTTTCACTGACCAGATTGATCTCCTTAAAACAGCAGTCCTCCCCTTCATGCCATGAAGGAAGCTGTGTAACTCATTGTCTTTAAGGATAAAAACAGACAAACCTCAACAATTTTTAAACTAATTATGTGCTGTTCACAGGTACGCCTCGTTATAACTGTCAGCTGCACAGGAACACCACCAAACTGAACAGAAATAACTGTGAAACCCTTGAGCCAGTGGAGCTCACATTCTGTGAGGGATCCTGCATGGCATCCTCTTCCATGTAAGATTTGTCAACATTTAACTGAGGATTATGCAGCAGAATCGTCTCAGTTGTGTCAAAATCTACACAAAATGACCAGATCGACATGGATATAAAACCCCTCTTTTTTTCTTTTGCAGGTACTCTGCGGAGGTCAACAAAATCATGCATACATGTACTTGTTGTCGAGAAGTTGCCACCAGCCAGAAAGAAGTGGAGATGAAATGTCAAGATGGCAGTATAATTAAGCACAAATATACTTCAGTTGATAAGTGCGAATGCCGAGTTGCTGAGTGTAAAGAGTGGGCCAAACGTTAAAGAGACACATGAGAAAAGTTAAAACGGAACATTTAAGCTCTATAGGGGAAATAATCTGCGGTCTCAATAAGCGCTTGCATGCTGATGCTTTGAAATACACAACTCTGAGGATTAAACAAATCCAGAAAGCAGAGGAGTTCTAGTCTGAAATATGCGTTTGGGTGGAGTAGCTTTCTTTAACTTTCAATGCGTAGTTATTTTTTGGGTGGCAGTAAAATACTCTACGCTGTTTTAAACTTTTGCCTCAATAAATTCTTATTCATCAATGATCGGAGTGTTTTGCTTTTTTTCTCATAATGAAGTCAAGTTTCACTGAATTATATTCCCAAAAATTCATTTTTATCATTCGTCTTTAGTGTGTAAATATTATTGTTAAGTTACCGATTATTGGAAAAATGCACAATATTTAATAAATGCTTAATAATGACCCAAATAGTTACCATATATAAATAGAATATTACAGGCATCGTGTTTCTGAATATTCACCATTTAGTGATTGGTTGTCTCAAGTTTTCATGAAATAGAATAAGGGTTTTAACCAAATAGCAAGACAAAATCTATCTAGAATATCTTTTCCTTTTATGCTCAGGACTAGCTTTGATTTCTATTCACTCATTAAAGAAAATTCTATTGTGAAGAAATAGAAGCGAAAACATGAAGCTGCACATTTATTTTCCCAAGAATAAGTCATGTGCCTTTGTCTACATGAGTGAAATAACATTGTGTCATTTATATCATTGTGAACAGGGGGAGCTTTACCATTAGGCAATACTAGGCAGCTGCCTAGGGCCCCAAGTTCCTGGGGGCCCCATAAAACTCTGTTTCCATGTATGGTTGATACAACTATTCCTTATTTAAGCACATAAATTATGTTTCTCCTTTTCCTAAAATGCCATCAGAACGCTGATAATATTAAGTGTGTCTCAGCCCCCCCCTTCAGTGTCCACCATATTGGATCAGTCCATTTGCTGCACATGTTCAGAAAGGTCCAAACAGACAGCAGCAAACCATTTGAAAACAAACCATGCAAAGAGCAGTGTTGCTAACTTAGCGCTTTAGTCGCTATATTTAGCCACTTTTCAGACCCCTCTAGCACTTTGATTTCTAAAAAGCTCCTAGCGCCAAATCTAGAGACTTTTTTCTGCTACTGGAGACTTTGGAGACAACATCTAAAAGCAGCGAACTCTGCTCTCCAGAGCCAGTAGATTGGTAACCCCGCCTCCTGCTCTCCTCTATGTTGTCTGCTGTCATGATTCATGCAGCTATTATTTCATCCAAATGAAAAATGGAGAACAGAGAAGCAGATCATGGCTTGTCTACAGTGAAAAGAAGGACTGGGTTATTTACTTTGGCCTTTTTGGAAACACAGGAAGGAGCAATCAGCTAAGTGAGCTTAGTGCTTGGAAAAAATCTTTCATTCCTTTAGAGACAGCATGAAAAGTCAGCTGAGTACAAAACATAGAGAGGAAAACAAGAAGAAAAGGGACAAGAAGAGAGGGACACAACCTAGAACAGATAATGGATGTCTATTCTATTAACATTTCTACATCTGGAGAATGGGGCTGTTCTATGTTTATATCAATGCAGAGGGCCCCCTGCCTGTCTTTGCCTAGGGCCCCACATTTCCTAAATCCACCCCTGGGTTGTGAAACCTATAAGACAAACGGCCTTTTATTTGCCACTTTGATCAGGACAGAAACCAAATCTGCTGAGTGCTGTTTGAATAGTTTTTTTCGTTTGTTTGTTTTTTTTTATCAAACTTTATTCATAAAAGCCAGTACAGATGTAATACAGAAAAATACTAACAGAGAGCAACATGCATTCAAAAGTTAAACGTCAGAGTATCAGATTACATAAATACATGAAAGGGAGCACATCAATTTCGAAGTTTTAACAGGTTCCCATTAATGGGAATTCGCTTTTTAATGCAACGTTTGATCTAATTTTTTAAATATGGAGAGGAGTGGTTATTTTATTGCATGTATGTGTTCCATTTATTAGATTAATAATATGAAATTGCTTCTTCCTCACAGAGGGATAGTCAATGAAAACATCTGTTCAAAGTAGAGAAAAATGCTTCAATGGAAGTAATAAAATGATTTCCCCAAATTTATTATAGAAGACAAAAAATAAAAGCAAAACATTTTCAAGGTTTTTTATTGCTAAAAGGGCAGTTAAGGTCAATATCAGGGATGTCAGACACTATTCCTCTAGCTCCAGTGTCCTACACCCTTTAGGTAGGTCTCTACTTTGACAAACCTGAATCAAATATTTAGGTCCTTTACCAGACTGCATAACTTCATTTTAATTAAGGAGGTAATTAAGCCATTTAATTTAAGCATGTTGGACCAGGGAAGCATCCATACGAGCCAAGATAAACCAGCCCTCCAGGACTTTAGTCTGACATCCTGGGTCTGTATGTGTCTTCAAACGCATACAAGCTATACAGTTTCCCACAATCCTTTGCATGATGGGACATATTTGCACAATCCCTTCATATGTTTTTGGTTTTATAATGGAAAGCTCAAAGACTTTGCATATATCATGATAGGCTTAAGAGACTTAACCCACATGCAGAACACCACACGAAACTGAGTAAAAGTTTAACAGAGTGTATTGAGGAAACAAACAGAGTAATTATGAACTGGTTCTGGTACAGGTCAGGGACTGGAATCACTGATATCTGCAGAGATGGATAGTTTGATTAGCCAGGCAACTTAGATGGCTTGTCGAGTGTGTTAATTCAGAATGTACCTAGATGAGGTTCTGGCAGATCCTTTGAGAGGGGGGGAACCGGTTGGGTCCAGAGACTGTAGATTCAGCAGGGAGCTCAGCAGCAGCAGCGTCTAGCTTCTGACTTGTGAGTTTCAGAACTTGACTTGGTTTCCTAGCTCTTCCTTGAGAGCTGTTGGAGGAATCCAGACTGAAATCTTCAGGTTTGGCTTCCTTGGGCAGGCAGGCAGGTTTCCTGGCAAAGCTCATCCAGAGCTTCAGACTTCAGTCGGGTTTTCTGTGAGCAAAGAAGACAGAGGCAGGTTAGAATCTAGTTTCTCTCTAGAGCCAACTAAGATTCTCTAAGATTAACAGAGGCTCAGGTTCGCTAACCAAACTTGGTCAACACTGCGGCGTTGAAGGAAGGTCTGACTGCTGTTTATGTAGGAGGTCTCCTGATGGGCTGACGATCCTCAGGTGTGCTGGGGGCTCCAGCCCAGGAGACCCACAGTGCTCTCTGCTGGAGACAGGTGGCAGATCTCCAGATCCCAACAGCATATCTGCAAGGCATTGCATAAACCTCTGGTCCTCTGGTGCAGGAGCACTCACAGCGCCAGAAACATCTCAATTTTGTTAAATTTATGACATCATAGCATAAAGCTTGATTTCTGAATGTTTATGACAATTTGCAAATCTTCCTGGTTACCTTATAACTTTTATTTGAACAAAAAAAAAATGCAGTTTAGAAAACAGTTACATCTAAAAAACAAATTTTGTTAAACGTTACATGAAAATAAGAAATTCATCTAAATCTAATAGAAGTATATATTTATAAACATGTCTTATTTCACTGCAATCCTTATAGTAAATTAGGTCAATAATTTTGTTTGTTGTTTGTTTTTTTGTAGTTAAAAATAGGTTATTCCCTCACTACTCCTGGCTGCACTCGCCCGCGGCCACATTAAAGGAATAGTACACCCAAAACATGATTAGCCTTCATTTTCTACTCACCCCCATGCTGAACAACACTCTGGAGTACTTTTTTGATATCTCAAATGCATCTGGAGATCTGGGAGGCTTCTTGCTGTCTGCTGACATTCAAATAATGGAGGTCTATGGCGCCCGAGGCAGAAAGGTCCATAAAAGTCCACAAAAAACGTGTCAATATTCCTCCATACTGCTCGTCCAATGTATTCCAAGTGTCCTGAGTGGGTAGCGTCCAGAATTTACTCGAAACGAAGTCATTTAGAATGTTTTTAGAGCATAAACAGTAGTGTATAGGATTTCCTGAAAGCGCGCGCCTGCCCGTTCACGACGCTACGGAAGCCGGCAGACCAAACCAGATGAAAGTGCGCATTCAGCGTCTGCTCTGCCGATAATGCAAGCGTAGAAGAAGAAATGTGCTGTTTACCTGTGCAAAGAAAGAAACAACGAAAGAAAAATGTCTGAGGACTTCAGTGTTGAGGAAGAGCATGAGTTCTTTGCCGAGCTGAATGCGCACTTTCATCTGGTTTGGTCTGCCGCGGTTTCCGTAGACTCGTGAACGCGCTTTCAGGAAATCCTATACACTACTGTTTATGCTCTAAAAACATTCTAAATGACTTCGTTTCGAGTAAATTCTGGACGCTACCCACTCAGGACACTTGGAATACATTGGACCAGCAGTATGGAGGAATATTGACCAGTTTTTTGTGGACTTTTATGGACCTTTCTGCCTCGGGCGCCATAGACCTCCATTATTTGAATGTCAGCAGACAGCAAGAAGCCTCCCAGATCTCCAGATGCATTTGAGATATCAAAAAAGTACTCCAGAGTGTTGTTCAGCATGGGGGTGAGTAGAAAATGAAGGCTAATCATGTTTTGGGTGTACTATTCCTTTAAAGTATAAAAGTATAAAGTAACCTTTAAAAAAAAAACAGCCAGATGCCGCTATATGAATTAAAGCTCAATTTTACGACTATTTCTAAAAATTCTCAGAGATAGGGCCAAGGATGAGGGAGGTCTGGTTGGTCTCCGTCTCCCGATACGCTCTCGCCTGTGTCCGACCTTTCAGACATTTCAGAATCTTTTTCTGAATCCCACATTGTAGCATGGCATAGACAATTCACGTTAGCAGTTTGAAGAACACCTGCTTGCTTCTGATGATTTCCTTTAGCTAACCAATGAGTGTTTGCGTTCTATGACTCATCCAATCACACTAGTTTTCACTAGATGTGGGTGGAGCCAATGATCTGCATTGGATGGAGCACATGACGGGAAATAAATATTTAGAAACATTAAACCGAAGCCAAGAGTAACGAGTAACGATTGTTTGAAAAATGTAAGGAATAGAAAGTACAGATACTTGTGTGAAAATGTAATGAGTAGAAGAAGTAGGAGGGAAAATAAGTAATGGAGTAAAGTATAGATCCCTAAAAAGTGTACTTAAGTACAGTAACGAAGTATTTGTACTTTGTTACTTGACATCTCTGCACATTAATGCTGTGAGGTTTGTTCAAATGTTCTGCTGCAGGTTTTTTTGCTGTTTCCTCATGTTTGCTTCAGGAACAGTTTAAAAGCAGCTGCTTGTTGGATTCTGTTATGTTGTTTCTTTTATATGTTCCCCCTCACTCTACACCCCTCCTCTGTTTTCTCTCCAGTCATGTTTGGCATCAGAATGCATGTAGTATCCTAAGAATAAAAAGATCCTTTATATTTGTAGAGGTTAAAAATTTGAGAATATTTTGTGACTCATAAAAAATGTAATAATGCCATGCTTGTGACTGCCTTCAAATTTAAATTATTTATTGATTACTATAATAGTTTTTTGACAACTGATTTGCCATTATTTGAGAAGGTGTTCTCTAAGTTTGTTAAATGGACGGTTTCACCAAAGGTTAAAGAGATTCATCTAAAAAAAATCTCTACCAATATTTACCCAGTGTCAGAATTTTTGCACAAAACATTTAAATTTGATTTAACATGCTGTGTCTTTTGAGAATCTCCAGATGAATCCCTTAATCATCTCTTTTTTGTGTGTCCCTTTTCTTTTAAACTATGGAGAGACATTAAAAATTGGTTGTCCCTTAAATTGAGGACATTCAAGAAATAACAATTACCCACGTGTTGTATTATGTTGATGACCTTGACAGTAAAATTATATGTTTGATATTGTTTTCTTGTTAAATATCATGAACATTGCTGTAAATGGAGAGGTTCTACTCCTTGTTTTAAATGTTTTTCTTAACCAATATAAATTTTATTGCACCTCATTGAAAAATTTGAAATCTGTTTCTGCCAAAAAAAATAACTGCCAGTATTTCTACTTTTCTTTTGTTTTAAATCTTGCTCTTTATTTCTTCATTGGCCTTATTGTTTACGTATCTGTTCTTGTTGTTAGCCCCATGTTCTGTCTATTTTTTGTCAACCCATTTTGTAATAGTTGTACGTCAACAAGTCTTTGTACACTATTGGTTTGTTATATAAATAAAGTAAAAAAAAAGAAAAAAAATGTGTGCCCTAGGGTGGAAATTATATATATATATATATATATATATATATATATATATATATATATATATATATATATATATATATATATATATATATATATATATATATATATATATATATATATATATATATATATTCACACACACACAAATCTACATTCTTAACTTTGTATTCTACCCATTTATAACATACACACATTCACCCTCTCTATAATCAAATTCTATGAAATAATTTAGTTTTCTTCCTCAAAATATCAAATAAATTAATCTTTTCCTTCATACATTCAAACTCTCTCCTCATATATCTTATCCGGCTTTCATATTGATGACATTCCAGTATAACATGTTCTATTGTTTCATATTTTCCAGTAATCATATTTTCAAGTAATTTGCTTTTGAATTTTGAAAAGTGTTCAATTAAGTCCTGTTTGCCCAAATCTTAGCCTAGTCGTCTCTCTCTCCTCCTTTCTATTTCGTCTTCCATTTCTTATTTTTCCAGCTATCTTCTTAATTTTATAAAACTATCTTCCTGTTTTTTCTTCATCCCACCTTTTTGCCTTTTTTCCATCAGTTTTTCTTTCCCTCTGATTTACTTGTTTACTGTAAAACTAATAGGATTATGAATTGCCCTCTTTGTCATTTTATTTGCCCTCTCGTTTCCTTCTTCTCCAATCTGTGCTGGAACAAATACAACAATCAAACCCATATTTTTTTATTCTGAATAATGTATGAAATATTTCTAATAAAATGTCCATCCTAATATGTGACTGATTATATTTTAAACTTAACAATGCAGAGCTTGAATCTGAACAAATTGCTGTTTTTATCCATTGTAAAGCTAATAATTCCCCTTTCAGTCTAAATGCCATGATGCTGAGCAGGACAGGAAGAAAAAGTTATTCCATGATTCTGTCGCTGTGTGGCGCTGTGGCGAGTGTAGCGTTTCCGGGGGAACCGTCCTATGTAACTATTTGCAGACAGTCGATTTTCCGAGTCGGAATCTTTTCGGTGTAACACATCTTCTGGCAGTTATGTCGCCGGGCGCAGAAAGTGAGCTCGTTCACTATTAGAGTGCATTAAATTCATCTTAAATGATTGATTTATCAGATCTCTGAGGCCATAACAGCATCTTTAACATCATGTGTTTAGATAGAAGGAGCTAATCGCTGCAGTATTGATTCATTTTGAGGTGAAGTAAGTTTGCTGCCTGTTTTTCCTGTTAGCTAACATCAGTGTGCTTAGCTGCTCTAAGGAGATAGAAATGTGCATAAAGCGGCGATATAAGCGCTGAACTTATGAATATTTTTTAGTATTTTGTGATTTATGTTGGATTCTATCGTTTTGTTCATGTTTTTAACGCGGCTAACTGTTTTAGTTAAAAGTCTTCATGCTTCTGTTCGTCATTGTTTAGTTTTTTGGTTTGTTTGCGGGTTTTCATTAGTCACTGTTTGTTTCCCTTGTTTATTTGTGCGCTTATATTTATCATCTCTCTGTTTTAGCCTCTGCCTGTTTGGGAGATGGCATCTCTGTCAGAGGAGGTGCTGCTGGTGGTGAAGAAAGTCCGTCAGAGGAAGCAGGATGGGACCCTCTACCTGATGGCAGAAAGAATAGCTTGGGGTCCAGAAGGCAAAGACCGCTTCACTGTCAGCCACCTCTATTCAGATATCCGCTGTGAGTCCCACTTAAATCCACAAAGCTTACAAAGACGTGTGATGACGTTGGTCTTTATCTGATTCTGGCATTTCCTGGTTCCCATGTTTAGGTCAGAAGATCAGTCCTGACGGCAAAGCCAAGATTCAGCTCCAGCTGGTTCTTCACACCGGAGAAAGTACCACATTCCACTTCGCCAATGAGAGCACTGCGCTGAAAGACCGAGATGCTGCCAAGGAGCTGCTGCAGCAGCTGCTGCCAAAGTTCAAGAAGAAGGCCAACAAGGAGCTGGAGGAGAAAAACAGGTAAGAGTTAATCATTGGAGAAATTAAGCTCTGCATTTAACCCCTCCCCTGGGGAGCAGTGGGCTGCCATTGTGCGGCGCCCGGGGAGCAGTGTGGGGTTAAGGGTCTTGTTCAGGGACCCAGAGTGGAGGCTGTGGGGATCGACCCAGGTATGTCCAGCTCTCTCGGAGCAGAAATGCGCTGCTGTAATCCACTAGGCCGTCATTCCACCCTGAGAGTCGTTCTCTGAAGTCGGGCTGAACCAAAATATTTGAATATTTTCCATTTCCTGCTGTGAAAAAAGCTGCTTGGAACAGAATCATTTTAATATTTAATCCTCTACAATTAATTAATGAGAGCTGTTCCACATCTATCGTTACTCTTTCGCACGTCACCGTCCATGTATGTCTTCTCCGTCCTTCACCATCAAAATACGGAGCTAAGCTATTTTTAGCTCCGGTCCGACCAGGGTCCACAATTACAATCTCACCAATCAGGAAAAAGAACATTAAGAAGATCCGCTGTCACTAATTAAAATATTGTAACGATGGATAATTAACTACTAATTAAAGCATGATTCTCATATATTCCCTAAAAATAACTTTATTAAATGATTGAATAAAAACTATTGGTGCTTCAACAGACTAGGAAGCAGATTTCTCATCTCGATCAAAATATTTATTTTATACCGAGAGGCTTAAATTTTAATCAAATCCAGTCAAAAGAAACTTCTTATTAAAGGAATGGATGAAGAGATGCTGAGTTTGGAGATAGAACAACCAGTTCATTAAAAAAATGTTTTGCGTAATCCTAGTTATCCCTGTTACAAAAATCCACAACAAAAAGAAAATATTTGGGCGGAAACTGCTCATATGCTAGATTCTGATTGGGATTTTTTTAATGTGTCATATATCAAGGTCTCCCTCGAAAAAGAGATTTACTTCCTGGTAAAATAAAGGTTAAATAAAAAAAATAAAAATAAATATTAAATTTGGGAGTGGGATTTGGGGTTATGTGTGAACATTTTGCTTAACTGGAATGTTTGCTGTTGCTCCTGCAGGATGCTTCAGGAAGATCCGGTGCTTTTCCAGCTTTATAAAGACCTTGTGGTGAGCCAAGTCATCAGTGCTGAGGAGTTTTGGGCCAACAGGTTAGGAGGCGTTAATAATGGGGAACCTGCGCCTTACAACAACAAACAGGAAGTCGGGATATCTGGAGCATTTCTAGTAAGAACATCTAATATGATCCATAGCTCTATGCTCCTTTATGACATTTATTTTACTAATAAAATGCTTCACTTGAGTAAGCTTCGTGTTTTTTCTTTACAGGCGGATATCAGACCACAGACTGATGGCTGTAACGGCTTGAAGTATAATCTGACGGCGGACATTATTGAGTCCATTTTTAGAACATATCCTGCAGGTAAACAAAAACATCATCTGGCACAGGAATTTACCCCCCACCCCCTTTTTTCCCTGTTTGGTTACTTTGATGAACCATCTATATATCAGGGAAAATTAATTCTTTGGTGGGATGAATCTGGGGTGAAAGCTGGTGGGGGCGCTCTAAGGGTGGGGGCTGATGGACCTACAGTTACTCCAGCCAAATGCTTCATTGGGTTTTTGTATTTTTCAAAAATGAGCTCAAACATCTATTTATTAAATGCTTTCCTATCGTTGAAAATGCAAGAGAACCATAAAACAATGATATTTACATTTATCGATGTTAGAGAGATGCCTTGTAGTGCCTTCTATATATATATATATATATATATAAATCAAATAGATGTCACACTTTTCAGGTCTTTATTCATATAAAAAAAAAGAATTGGAAAAAAAAATGTCTCCCTCTCTCTCCACCACTGATAGAATTAGCCCCGCCTCTTTCTGCATGGAGTTTGCATGTTCTTCCTGAGCATGTGTGGGTTCTCTCCGGGTACTCCGGCTTCCTCCCACAGTCCCAAAACATGAATGTTAGGTTAATTGGCTTCTCTAGATTCTCCTTACGTGTGTGTGTGAATGGTTGTATAACCTGTTTGTCTGGCGATCTGTCCAGGGTGGACCCCGCCTCTCGCCCGTAGACAGCTGGAGATGGGCACCAGCACCCCTCGCCACCCCAATTAGGACCAGCGTGTCAGATAATGGATGGATAGAATTAGCATAAAGTAACAGCCTGTTTGTAAACGTGTTTTGCAGTGAAGCAGAAGTATAGCGAGAACGTGCCTCATAACCTGACGGAGAAGGAGTTCTGGACCCGTTTTTTCCAGTCCCATTATTTCCACAGAGACCGAATCAACACCAGTTCACAGGATATCTTCTCAGAGTGTGCCAAGCAGGATGAAAAAGGTTCCCACTTCAGACCATTGGATGTTCTGCTGCATGTTTAATTATTCACAGTAAACAACATTTGGTTCTACTGTTAAGCTGTTTGTTCTTAACTTGCAGGTTTAAAATCCCTGGTGACCCAAGGAGTAAAGAATCCATTGGTCGACCTTTTGTCCTTGGAGGATAAAACACTCGACGAGGTGAGAAAAGTTATCAAACACCACCTAGGAATTCACATTACCGCTGTAATTTCCATCTTTAACACAACTTTTTATTGAGACAGGGTTATGGAATAAGCAAAACCCTACCTTCAACTTCAAATGCAAACAAGACGGTGAAGGAGAGCAGCAACTCTGCAATTATAAAGCGATTTAATCATCACAGCGCCATGGTGCTGGCAGCCGGCTCACGCAAAGGGTACACAACAAAATTTCTAACACTTTCAAGTTGCTCCCATGTTGTGTTTTATCTTCTAACTGTGTTCTGGGTTTAAAGAGATGTGCCCAACGATCAAGCTAGTGAGACTAGCAGCACTGATGGCAACTCCAGAGATTCTGATTTCTTTCAGCCTCCTCTGAAGAAGGTAGGAGGCTTCTCTAGGCTTATTGTCTACTCTCTCCCCACACAAAGATCGTCCCTATGAAGTGATTAGCTTAAACTTTTCTTTCTTTCCAGGTGAAACTACAAGAAGCCATAGAATATGAGGATCTTCAAAGGGAAAATGCACCTAAAACAGTGGCGTTAAAACTGAAGAAGTCTGACCGGTATAGTCTCTTTTGTTGGTCTGTTTCACACAGAGTCTTTGGAATTATTATAATCTATAATCTCTTTTCTGTTAAGGTACGCTCATGGTCCCGTTCCTCTTCAGTCTCAACAGTATACAACCAGCCAAGACATCATCAACTCCGTCAACTATATCCGTCAAGAGATGGCGAATTACAAACCCCGCCTCACTCAGGTTAGATCTGGTTACGTATTTTGGTACATTATTCTTTTATTTCTAAGGTTTAACACCAGGACTCCCAGAATTCTGATCCTAGAACTCCCACTGGCCCTCAGTTTGATGGGTGACATTTTTCCCTATGGAACAGATGAGTCGTGATGATGTCATCGACTGAAATGGTTCTAGTGCGCGAAATATATGTAAACTTTAAAAATAGTCTGATGTATATTTTTTAAAGGCTGTATTGTATGCTATTATTATCGATTAATTAAATCGATTGTTTCCGCAGACCACCTTTTCACATTTATGTTACGTTCACACCTAAAGCAGCAGGAGCAGCAAAAACTCACCTGCTGCTTCATTTCTGATGTTTGTACCAGTTTAGTTCTGACACGTAGCTGAAGCATCTTTGCTGCTCTAGCTGCGCGGTGGTAAAGTGGGTCTGATGCGCGGTGGGCGGAGCTACTCTATCCTTTCTCTGCCTGGAACAATGGCAGCTATATTTGCTGTGATCAGCGGGTAAAAAGTCGTGTCACTAGGAACCCCATTTAACAGCATCCTCTGGCGCGGTCGCCTCTTCGCGGTTTGCCGCAGCGGCTGGAAGGCGTTTTTCATGTATGTAATCCAAGCTTCAGACACCCGGATAATAAAAGCCAACATATTCTGCCGGCAGGTTTCTACATTTGAAGTTAATGTAGGCGTTAATAAACTGTTTCAGAGGAGAGATCATAGCGCTCTGCATCAGCAGTGCTGCGTCTGACTCCCTGCCAGCTCCCAGATCAGCTCCTCTGATTGGTTGATGAGTCGCGTCGAGCAGCTAAAGATACATTTTTCCAGCTCCATTACCTGCTGCTTTTGCAGGACGTTTTGCTGCGCCTTGATGCGCATCAACCATTGAGTTTGCATGTAAAACTGCTGCCTCTGTTGCTTTAGGTGTGACTGTAGCAATATGACAAACATTATATGAGCGTTTTTTATTTTTTATTTTGCAGTACTGAAGCACCTGTCACTGATTTCTTTACCTGGCCACAGCTGCTCTACTGTGGGGGAGGGGTTGGTAACCTGTGGAGCGCGTGTAGTCGGCATGCAACTGTTTCACCAGTTCAAGGATAAAATCTCTGCGCGAGACGGTGATGTTCAAACGGCTCCTGAGCAAAACCAACGCGTTTATGGCTGATATGTCCAGGAAACCGTAAAATAAATTAACACGCCACCTTCGCTTTTCCAGAATCCTTTCTAATCATCTGATCCAACACATCCAGGCCCACCTGTGTGTGGTTATAGTAGACCATGAGCTCTGGTTTCGCTTTGGGGCCGCTGAGTGGACCGGCTGAGGTGTTGAACAAAAGTTTCCCTGTTTTCTGATTGGTCACTGATACGTCTGCATTGATCATCCTCAGAATCTCAGCCGCTTCCTCCCCAGTCCTCCTCATCAGTCCCTCCCTCTCCACCCGAATCGCTATCATCAATATTTTGAAGTCTTTCTAAAGCCTGTTTCTCTGTTAGATTTCTTCTGAAAGCCATTTTCCATTTTAGCTAAAAAGTTCTAGGTTGAATGTTGGTTGCTAGGCAACGGTACGATTGTCAACCAACCGTGGGAAGAATTTACCATGCAGCTAATAGAGCCATCAGAATCACAGCTGTGGGAGATCGAGGTCAAATTAACCAGATTTATTTTTGACGTTTTTTATTTTAAAAAAACGACGTGAAAATGAAGGAAATATAGAAACAGGAAAATATGAATGATTAATGTAAATAAAGTTATTTCCCTTTTAAAATCTCAGAATCGTCAAAATGACGGCCTTGGCAGTTCCAGTGTTAAATGAATGTTCTCACATTTTTATTAGATGATATAAAAACCCTGAATCAGGTGAACTCAGACTAGTGATTAAGACATATTATTTGTGTTTCAGGCGCAGGTATTAAACCAAGCTTTGCAGAGGAAATTCTTTTATGTTTTTAATGAAAATCAAACTAGAGATTTGATCTGTTCCAGCAGATCTATTTGTACAGTTCTTTCTTTTGTTTCTGAAACGGCTCCAGTCCAATTAAAGTCCCAATTCTAATTGGAGTCACAAAGTTGCCTAAAAAGATTTTTCAGCGGCCTCAGTGAGACACGGATAGATATAAATAAAATGGTCGCCTGTTTTTCTACCATGATGTTTGTCTGACATTAAATGGCATTTCTTGCATATTTAAAATGTTTTAAAGCACTTTTAAAATGACAGAACTTTGAGTTTCTCTTGTTTTTTAAAACGGTCTGTTTTTTGTATTTATATTCAGGTGTTGTCCAGCACAACAGCAACGTCCGCCATTGCATCTCTCTCTCCAGGAGGGGTCCTTATGCAAACTGTTGGACAGCAATCAATAAACCGTGAGTGTGCTATAAACATGGGATTTTAGGTTTTTTTTGTTGTTTGTGTGTTACTTAAAACTAAAACATCTTGTTACTGTTTTTATTCATGTTGTTTATTTCTTTTCCCAGAAATGGTTCCCACTGATATTCAAGGAGAGCTGAAGCACCTTTATATTGCTGCTGGGGAGCTACTGAGACACTTCTGGTCCTGTTTTCCTGTAAATACGCCATTTTTGGAGGAAAAGGTGACAAATATTTCGTTGTTAAATCCCATGTTGGTAAACGCTGTACCATATTTTTCAATCGCAGCACGCAGCTACAGCTCACACTGTAATATCAATGGGGAATATTGTTTGATGAAATTTGATGGTTCTTACGGCAAATTGTATTCTGTATGTTATCAACATAAAAAAAGTTTAAAAAACAAGAACAATTGGCCTAATTATGTGGCAGGTAATAGTAGTTATGTTCTTGATTTGACAAGTTTTCTCAATTTAAAGCTATTAAGAAAAAATGTGGGCTTTTTTCATACTGCAAATGTAAATATACCTGCTTAATGGACTTCCTTATCAATAAAGTATCTTGGTCGCCTAAACATCTAAAGCCGGGCGTACACCGCACCATATTTCCAATCGTTGCACGAAGCTACAGCTCACACTTTACGACGAAACCGCAGGGTTTAAAAGTTCTCAGCTCACGATGTTTGTTCTCACGCTGTGCGACCCGACGCTTTGATGCGATCTACCTGCTCACACCGTACGTCTAAAAACCAGGTGGGACTCAGCTCCGCAGTGAGATGGCGCTACTCGGACTCGTCTATCTGGAAGCCAAACCAGTAGAAGAGGAACATGAAGCTCACTAGAGTGAAACGCGCTGCCTTGGATATTTGGGCGATTTAGTGCTGAAAGCCCTAAAAAGAAAAGGAGACGACGTATTTGGACAAAGACATGGCTGAGCTAACATGGCTACTACGGTCTGTCAGTTTGACAGAAAGAACTCCATTTCACTCATTGCCCCCCCGCCATGCTGCTGGGTTTTCCTGATGGAGGGGTGTTAGTGTGAAAGTGTGAAAGCACCACTTACAGCAAAGTTCCTACCACTCCATCATGTCCTCGTTAGCCCCTGTACAGCTACACCATGCACCATCAGGATGAAAGTCGGCCCGATCCAAAAATTCGCTAGCCTGGGGGCCATTCCGAACTTAGTCCCGCCCACAACGTTTGAGGTCGGGAAGTTCGGTCTGGCATTGCTCAACAGTAGCGCGAGTATGATCGCACAATATCTGGCGAGCCAATCAAATTGTCAGGGCGGGCTTTATACGATGATGGACAGATGATCAACAGTAACGTAATCAACCACGTGACCAAAGCGCGCTTGGGTGACAACAACAATGGCTGCCGCTGGAGAGTTTGGGTGAGTAGATTCTGCTATTAGGTCTGTTCTAGAAGATATCGACAGCAAATTAATTTTAAAAGAGGAACAGAGAAACGCGATCAAGGCTCATCTTCTTATTCTAGGTGTGAAACTGCACGCTTTGATTTTTGTTGACAACAACTATGCGTCGCTTAACATACGTCACGCACTCCGTTGCTCTTATTGGTTGTAGGTCTATCCAATTGAGTGCAGAGGCATTTTTTTTCCTGGTTCGTTCGAAACACGCCCCATAATCACAGCTCTATGGAGCAGCATCAGACTCATTCTGACTAGAATTGAGTCGGACTACGCCAGGCTAAAAATTCGCAAAAAAAATTGTACAGTGTACGCCTGGCTTTAGGGTATATGTCGTTTTAGCAGAAACGCTTGAGTTTGTGAACTTTAATTGTGTATTTTTATACCATTCAGGTGACAAAAATGAAGACAAACTTGGAACGGTTTCAAATGACCAAGCTTCGTCCTTTTCAGGAGAAAATCCAGCGTCAGTACTTAAGTACAAACGTAAGTCAGATGGATTTTCATGGACAGAAGCTTCTTACTCTGCTGAACCTAAACTGAATATCTGCTCTTTCCACAGCTTACAGGCCACCTGGAGGACATGTTTCAGACGGCCTATAACAAGTTTCATATTTGGCAGACCCGTAGGATGATGAGGAAAACCTGACCTGGGATTATTATGAGAAGACAGGAGAGACTTTATAAGTTTGGATAAAAGATTCTGGAAGATCCTCTGCTGTGAGAGACCCTGTGAAACAGTTCACAGGGTCTTAAAGAGGATATAGACGGATGCTGCTGTGGCCCAAAGCGCTAAACAGAGTAAAACTGATCTCAGCCGCAGATAATTAATAGTTTCATTGTTTTTTTCTTGTGTTTCCTTTATTGTTGAGAGATCTTTGCTCAAAACGGGTTAGCAGCAGCACTTTGAAAGCAGCGGAAAATGACCAAACTTCTGCTGGAAGTCGGACAAATGGCTCCAACACAGAGAGAGGATGTGAAGAAAGGCTGTTGTGCAGAGTAGAAGAAAAAAATACTCTTTGTCAAACAAACAGCCTGGATGTGAAAGTATTAAACACCTGAAGGTTGAGGGAGCGTAAACAAAGCAATACTGTTCAGGCATTTCATGTTTGACTGCATCAATGTGTGAACCAATGGAAATTGTCACTGGTTTCTAATGTCTGCATTGAAGACAAAAAAAAAAAATTAAAATGAGTCTTTTGTTTATGTCAGTGTTTCCTCTAAATTTTATGTTTTATTTTGTTTTAAAATATGCTGAATTATCTAATTGACTGACAGGAGTCTGTTGTGGAGCTGTGACTGTGGTACGATGGTGGTGCTTGAGCTTTCATTTGGTACAAAGAAGAAATGTCAGTAAAGTTCTGTCAGGCAAATACAGAAGTAACCATTCAAACTTTCCTCAGTTTCCTTGATGGGTCCTTGGCTGATATTACTTAATATAGATTAATTCAATTAAATTTATTTCTATAGCGTCAATTCACAACACACTTCATCTCAGGTCACTTTCCAGTTCACCAGATCATCCAGTCAGATTGATTAAAAGTTTTCTATCTAAGGAAATCCAGCTGATTGCATTGACTCTTCAGCAATCCCTCACACGGCGCGACAGTGGAGAGGAAAAACTTCCAGGAAACACACAGCCAGGCAGACGAGCTCCGAGCCAGCTCCCATGTCGGAGGATGAAGAGAGCACATCCAGTTAGTCACAGTCAGAGAAACAGGACTGCACTGGAAAACAGGCCAAGCTCCAACATCTAGAAACAAAGGTGTTGATGGCAGCAGCACAGCTGATATTTCTCTCCAGGATGGAGTCACAGCCAAACAGGAACAGACCAGATGAAGCTACTATGAGAAAAAGCAGAGAGAGCAGAACGTTAGAGATTGAACTAACAGATTCTGCAGAGTGGGAGAATAGAGATAGAATGAAGCAGAATGATGAAAAAGGGGTCCCTATGTCCTCTAGCAGTCTAAGCCTATAGCAGCAGAACTATAGAGATAGCTCAGGATAACCTGAGCCACTCTAACTAGAAGCTTTATCAAAGCCCGATAAGATGTAAATAACCAAACGGTTCCTTTTATTTTACTAATCTGTACTCTTTTATTACTTTTATATTTTTGACAGACATCCAAAACCATTTTTTAACTTGCCAAGAATATTTCTAGACTTAAATCTACATGAGGTGTTAAAATTGGTCTATATGTTTTGTGATGGATAATGCAAACATATCTACTGTTCTAATATTTTATACTGCTGAAGAAATAAAAGGAACCCTGAAATAACACATGCTAGATCTGAATGAATTAAATGTTCTTATTACTTACTTTGTTCTGTACAAAGATGAATGTGCTCACAACAAAATAGTCGATGCAAATCAAACGTATTAACCAATTAACTATTTGGAGTCATACATGTAATGTAATGATGTAATGTCTTTTAAACGGGTCAGAATGAGGCTCAGTATTGTGTGTGGCCTGCACCTGCCTCTATGACCTCCCTACAACACCTGGGCTGCTCCTGATGTGCTGGACGATGGTCTCCTGAGGGATCTCCTCCCAGACCTGGGGTCCGTTTCACCAAGCAGGTTTAACAAATTCAGATTCAAATCACCCACTCTAAATTGATCTTGCCTAAAGTTGGAAACTGAGTGTTTGGTTTCACAACAGAGGCTGTCAATTAGTTCAACCAATTTTAACTGGGTCCACTCAGAGTTAAAAGCGTGCGCAACAATTATGAAAACCCATCATCAGTGGAGCCCTGAGTTACCATGACAACAGGCAACAGGAAGTTCCTATTTCACCCCACTGGAACTAAAGATTTAATGAAGAAATGCAAAAAAATTAAATAAAAAAGGAGAATGTTTAAAAGAGAAACTGCACTACAGCTGCAAAGGAGGAGAAGATTGTTGCACAAGTTTTTACATTTATTAAAAGCTCTCTCCTCTCTGTTGTTCCATTTTTAGATCACTAAAACAAGATTCTTCCGGATCAAAATCACCCTCCTAAACTGAACTGCAATAATATATTTTCTAAATTACATTTTTGTAGCAGAAACGGAATTGTAGAAAGTAAAAAAAAATTATACTGGTAAGAATTAAAGTTTATTAATCTAGAAATATTTACACATTTTAAGTGGCTGATCTGACATGTATGTATCATCCCAATAAATGGTGATTATAAGCGGCTATCAGTCCCATAGAATGGCTTCAGATTGATCCACTAGGCTCAGTAGGTTATCATACAGTGAATCCTAATCCTAACCCTACAGTCATTCCTTTTCCCCTGTGGAATTAATGAATCTTTTTATAGGTAATCTGAAAATAGTTTCATTAGTTTTTCATGTACTGTAAATATAACTAAATAAAATAAAATGATCCGCATCTCGCTCACATTAAACAAACCAAAAACAAATAAATCTCATATCCTGTCACTGAGTAGTAGAATCCTCTCCCTATAAATATTTTATTCTGTGTATTAATGCCGATCATTCTTTGATAAGATCCTCGTCAAACTGACATGTAATGTTTGTTTTTAAAACCTAATATACAATCTGACTGAATCAGGAAATAAAATGGCGTGATTGGCTGTAAGGAGAGCAGAGACAGAGGAGACTGTGTTTACTGAAGAAAAACTTACTGCTGACCAGGTTAGCTCTGTGAGGATGTTACTATGGCAACAGAAACAGAGGATTAGGAAACTCTGTCAACCGGAATAGTGAGAGTTTCCCTGATTTTGGGTTTAGAATACTTAGAGTTTCCAGTAAACCTGCGTCTTGAAACGGATCCCTAGACTAAAGCATTCTCCACCTCCTGGACAGCCTCAGGGTGGATGGATCCAGGATCCAGGCATCTGTGGATGTCAGGCCCTCATACCATCCTCCTGGAGTCTGTTTCTATCAGTTTGTGCAGACATACACTATATTGCCAAAAGTATTTGCTCACCCATCCAAATTATTGGAATCAGGTGTTCCAATCACTTCCATGGCCACAGGTGTATAAATTCAAGCACCTAGGCATGCAGACTGTTTTTACAAACATTTGTGAAAGAATGGGTCGCTCTCAGGAGCTCAGTGAATTCCAGCGTGGAACTGTGATAGGATGCCACCTGTGCAACAAATCCAGTCGTGAAATTTCCTCGCTCCTAAATATTCCACAGTCAACTGTCAGCTGTATTATAAGAAAATGGAAGTGTTTGGGAACGACAGCAACTCAGCCACGAAGTGGTAGGCCACGTAAACTGACGGAGCGGGGTCAGCGGATGCTGACGCGCATAGTGCGAAGAGGTCGCCAACTTTCTGCAGAGTCAATCACTACAGACCTCCAAACTTCATGTGGCCTTCAGATTAGCTATAGAACAGTGCGCAGAGAGCTTCATGGAATGGGTTTCCATGGTCGAGCAGCTGCATCCAAGCCATACATCACCAAGTGCAATGCAAAGCGTCGGATGCGGTGGTGTAAAGCACGCCGCCACTGGACTCTAGAGCAGTGGAGACGCGTTCTCTGGAGTGACGAATCGCGCTTCTCCATCTGGCAATCTGATGGACGGGTCTGGGTTTGGCGGTTGCCAGGAGAACGGTACTTGTCTGACTGCATTGTGCCAAGTGTAAAGTTTGGTGGAGGGGGGATTATGGTGTGGGGTTGTTTTTCAGGAGCTGGGCTTGGCCCCTTAGTTCCAGTGAAAGGAACTCTGAATGCTTCAGCATACCAAGACATTTTGGACAATTCCATGCTCCCAACTTTGTGGGAACAGTTTGGAGCTGGCCCCTTCCTCTTCCAACATGACTGTGCACCAGTGCACAAAGCAAGGTCCATAAAGACATGGATGACAGAGTCTGGTGTGGATGAACTTGACTGGCCTGCACAGAGTCCTGACCTCAACCCGATAGAACACCTTTGGGATGAATTAGAGCGGAGACTGAGAGCCAGGCCTTCTCGTCCAACATCAGTGTGCGACCTCACAAATGCGCTTCTGGAAGAATGGTCAAAAATTCCCATAAACACACTCCTAAACCTTGTGGACAGCCTTCCCAGAAGAGTTGAAGCTGTTCTAGCTGCAAAGGGTGGACCGACGTCATATTGAACCCTATGGATTAGGAACGGGATGTCACTTAAGCTCATATGTGAGTCAAGGCAGGTGAGCAAATACTTTTGGCAATATAGTGTATGTTTGGCTTACAGCCTCCTCCACACCCCCTGGTATGGCCTCCACCATGTGCACACTATGATGACAAACACAGCAAACCTTCCAGCCACTGCTGGCATTGATGTGCCATCCTGGATGAGCTGCACTACCTGAGCACCTGTGTGAGTGGCAGAGTTTGTCACACACTAAAATGAGTGTGAAAGCACCACTAACATTAAATAGTGACCAAAACATCAGCCAGAAAGCAAAGATACTGAGAAGTGATCGGTGGTCCCTTCCTGTAGAATCAATCCTTTATTCAATTCTATTCAGTTTATTTCTATAGCGTCAATTCACTTCATGTAATCTCAAGGCACTTTACTGTTCACTAGATCATCCTGTCAGATTGATTCCAGAAAAGTTTTGATTGAAGTTATATTGTGCCACTTTTTTAGGCAGTGTATTTTGTCATTAACTGAAAGAAGTCAAACTACTAACTATTAATTTCTGTAAATCATCCATTGTAGTTTTAAGAAAACCCTTTCTAGTTAGTGAACTCATCCAGAACTGTTTGGTTCCGTTTGGGTTTAAACTGGTTTAAACCGGTTTTTGATCATATTTTCTGATTCCAGGTTATTTTCCTCCCAGGAAGCAGCAGCGCCGCCCTCAGGAAGTGTCCCAGACTTCAGTAACTGACAGCGGGTTGGATGTCACGGGTTTCCTGGCTCACCCAGCCGCAGGTCAGCGGAGATGAGCGCCTAAACCTCCGCTAACCCGTGGCTGTGTGATCGGAGCGCGGCGGTATCATCCCATCCACCCGGTGAGTTCAGCTCATCACCAGCAGTTAGCTGCTGATGCTAATAGCATGCTAACATGTCTGTGATGCTAACCCAATGCTCCCAAATCAGACTGGAACCAGTTGACACTCAACATCTATTCGCTTTATTCTCATAGAAACAAAATGGCACCAAGTTAAGGATGTTTGTGAAATAATCAGACGGTGGTTTCGGTAGTTTTAGAGGCTTTGCTAGCAGCAGAGGGATCAGCTGAGTCTCGTGATGCAGACAGGAGGCTAACCCCCCCCTTAGAAATCATTTCATTATGAAGCTACTGATCATTTTAAAATGTATAATTTTAAAAGGACCCCAGGAAGAGTAGCTGCCAAATTACTGACAGCTAATGGGGATCCAAATTAATAAACAATAAACAATTTAAAGGCTGCAAACAGCCTGGATTTAAGACTTTTTAATGGGGGTTACCATAAAACTCTGTTTCCATGTATGGTTAATACAACTATTCCTGATTTGTGCACATTAATTATGTTTCTGATAATCCTTTGGCTAAAATGCCATCAGAACGCTGATAACATTCAGTGTGTCTCAGCCCCCCCCCCCTTCAGTGTCCACCACATTGGATCAGTCCATTTGCTGCACATGTTCAGAAAGGTCCAAACAGACAGCAGCAAACCATTTGAAAACAAACCATGCAAAGAGCAGTGTTGCCAACTTAGCGCTTTAGTCGCTATATTTAGCCACTTTTCAGACCCCTCTAGCACTTTGATTTCTAAAAAGCTCCTAGCGCCAAATCTAGAGACTTTTTTCTGCTACTGGAGACTTTGGAGACAACATCTAAAAGCAGCGAACTCTGCTCTCCAGAGCGAGTAGATTGGTAACCCCGCCTCCTGCTCTCCTCTATCTTGTCTGCTGTCATGATTCATGCAGCTATTATTTCATCCAAATGAAAAATGGAGAACAGATAAGCAGATCATGGCTTGTCTACAGTGAAAAGAAGGACTGGGTTATTTACTTTGGCCTTTTTGGAAACACAGGAAGGAGCAATCAGCTAAGTGAGCTTAGTGCTTGGAAAAAATCTTTCATTCCCTTAGAGACAGCATGAAAAGTCAGCTGAGTACAAAACATAGAGAGGAAAACAAGAAGAAAAGGGACAAGAACAGAGGGACACAACCTAGAACAGATAATGGATGTCTATTCTATTAACATTTCTCTATCTGCAGAATGGGGCTGTTTATGTGTTGTCTTCTCCATTCAGAGGGCCCCATGCCGGTCTTTGCCTAGGTCCCCACATTTCCTAAATCCGCCCCTGCTTAAAAGTCTGATGGTTGAGCGTTTTTGAATGTTTTGCACTAATCACGACTAGTGCAAACATCACAGGGAGGCCTTCCCTGCAGATTAGATTAATTAATATTAACCTAAAGAAAATTACTAATATATTAGCCTTAAATGTAAAAGAGAATCTTTAAAAACGTCCCAAATTACACTGATTATTTTATTGTAACTATAAAACAGTTACCAGTCTAGAATTAACTTGAAATGTGATTAAAAGCATTTCTGTTTTTCTTTATGCAACATTTAGTTCAGGATAAAGAGCAGAAATCTTTCATCTCTGCCTTTTTTAATGAGCATTTCACTTTTCTTTTTAGCTGCTTATTTTTTTAACAATTTCCACTATGTTGCAGTATTTTCATTTACGTCCTCCCAACAAACAGCAGAGTGGTAGAAAATAGCTGTACAAAAGTTAAGGATTTGTTTTTTCCTACTTTTTAGCTTCTTGTGAATTCCTTTCTCACTACTGAGAGTCTGGGAAGTTGTTGTTTTTAGTGTTTTGTCTTGAAGTGTTTCCCACCAGCTCAGAGTTAATATTACTTACAGTTATTTCGGTCACAGATTTAGTTTCACTTCTGCTGCTTTGTGAATTTACGCAAATTACTGAGAAGTCAGTTTAGATCAAACTGGAGCCGTTTCTCTTCACTTGGTTTCATTTTCATCTGTTTGTTGGGAGTAAAAACTTTATAGAGTCCTAAAGAAGAAAACAGCAGCGAGTTAGTTGGTGATCTCTGGACCAGCCTGATTGATTTTTTTCACAGCTTGTTTTCCTTAAAACTGCAGATGATTTAAAGTCACGGCTCTTCAATTTTATTGGGCAAGTAGCTGATAAAAGTCATGTGACCTCCCACAGCGTCACATGTCTCCATGTCAGCAGTACATGCTCGTGTTGTTGTTGTCAGATTGTGCTGCTGTTGGAGCTGCAGTGACGATGCCTCTGGTTGTGCCTGAGAACCACAGTCATGTCCTGGCAGAGTTCGACTGCCTCGACCCGCTGCTCTCTGCTCTGCGTTTGGACTCCGGCAGACTGAAGGTAGAATCCACCGTTCAATCTCATCTAACCAGCTGTTTTAGTTAAAGAGGCCTTTTCATCGCTATTGGATGTTTCAGTCATTTAAAATGATGTAAACTAGATTAGCAATTATTCGCTTTTATCCCACTAACTTTATTAACTTACACAGACGGATTTCTGTGGTTGACAGAATATATTTTACAGAGTTAAAACAGATTAAACTACAACTTTTCCATTTCTGGATTGAGCATATTTACAGATGAAAAGTGTAGTTTATCTTATATGCAAAATATTTATGTATTCACAATATGAGGATAATTCCTGCTCTAAGTGGGTTTCTTCATCTAAAGGCACGTTTTAGAGTCTCTATACTCCAGTTAACAATTATTATTAATTGCTAAATTATTTGAAGATTATTTCTATAACAGGTTAATCATGTTGAATCAGATGAATTATTTCAGTCATTTATATATATATATATATATATATATATATATAAATATATATATATAAATGCAATATTTATGGTTATTTAGTGTGTTTTAAGAGAAAAATTAGGGGGTTATTTTTTTCACTCATACATTCATTTATAATAAAAAAAATACTTAAAATATTATTAAATATTAAAAAAAATTTTTTATAAAAAAATAAAAAAATATTAAATATTTCGTTGCAAATTTAATATTTTGTCTTCAAATAAATATTTAGCTCCCAACTAAATATAATTTTTTTAAAATAAATATTTAATTCCATATTAAAAATTTATTTAACAAAAAAAATATTAGCTAGCTTGGTGCTAGCTAAATATTTAGCTAATATGCTAACTGACTTGCCGAAAAGCGGAAGCGAACTACCAAAGTAAAAGCCTGGGAATCTCTAAGCATCTCCTACGGCATCTTCGTCACACTGACAGAAAATCACAAGTTAGTTTATGAAAAAAAAAATGTAATTAATTCAAAATGGAAGCTCGTCTATGAAGTAGTTGTATTTGACCGTATACATTTGTCTAAGAAATGGGCAAATGTTTATGTTAACCTGCGCCACAGAGCTACAGCCACGCACAGGCGGCAGTGTGTTGCTATAGCAACGACTGCTTTCCTTTCCGCTGGGCTGGAGGGAAGAAGCCGTCCCACTTTCCTTCATTACTAAATATTTAGTTTGTTAAATAATATTTAATTTGAAGGTAAGTATTTATTTAATAAACAAAATATTTAGTTTTAATCTAAATATTAACAAAGTAAGATTTTTATCAATGAATGAATGACATAGGGGGAAAAATTGAGAGGGGGGGTAATAATCTCCTTAATTTTCTCTTTAAACTCGCTAAATAAAAATATTGTTCATAATGTTCAACTGCTTAATTTAAAAACGGTGCCCATAAAATCCACGGCATTTATTTCTGTTATTGCAGTTCTTTGCAATGTGCGTTTAGCATGAAGCCATATTTAAGATCTAATATGCAGTAGAGTGTTTTTTTTTGTTTTGTTTTTCTAACGCTGCCTGTCGGTTTTTAATGCGGCCGTTGCGTTCCAGTGTACCTGTCTGGCTGTGTCGAGGAAGTGGCTGGCACTGGGAACATCGACAGGAGGGCTGCACCTGATTCAGAAAGAAGGCTGGAAACAGAGACTCATTCTGACTCACAAGGTAGATGATTTATTGTTTATTTCACCTACTGGTTACTGACGCAGTAGAGTGTTTGTTCATAGATCATCTAGAGGTTTCCAACCCAAAACTGAAAGTGTTTTATGTCATTATGTGTCATTTTTATTCAGCCCCCTTCTCTGATGCTTCTAAATTAAAACTCAATTCAACCATTTTTTCCCTCTTTGTTCAAATCTGTCATTTGATTTAAAGGTGTGGAGGCCTAATAGGCTTCTTGGAGAACATTAGTGAGCTAGCTTCTCTATAAAGAACAATGAACATGGCTGATAGCTCAGCATTTCCAGATGATCTAAAATTGCAAAGATTATGGAACAACAGAAAACTACAGTAGCAGGGTTCCCGCGGGTCCTTAAAAAGTCTTAAAAGGCATTGAATTCTTCAAAATAAAATTAAGGCCTTAATTGGTATTAAAATGTCTTAAATCAGTCTTTCGTAGGTCTTAATTTTTTAAAAACATCATAAAGAGGATTATTTTTATTACGATTTATTTTTGTAATCTTAAAAAAACTTTAAAATTGGCAATTAAAAAAAAATAAATAAAAAATAGCAGCTCTCCATTAGCGGTTCCGTCCCGATAGCGGAACCAATAAAGCGTTGTTGCGGCCGGGACATTTGGGAGATGCGCCATTAACTTTTTGTCTGGAAAATCTGAGCAAGTGTAAATGTAACCAAAATTGTCTCCAGCCAAGAGTTTCCTCCATGGCTAAAACCAGGGAACATACATGAGGCTCAGTGGATTTAGTGCAAGAAGTCATTCAAGCTGGGAACAATGGGAATTAAGGCAGTGGAGTCACACATGCGAAGCACGAAACACAAAGTGTCAAAATGGAGTTACAGAGAAACAGCCGGTATTTCTCAGTTTAGTTCCACCCTTGTCTCTGCAACGCCTCCACTTATCACCAAATCAAACATACTAAGAAAACCATACAAAGAAAAATAGCTGCTAAAAAGACTTAGCACTGGTTATGTTGGGGCTTTAAAACTGATTTGTTTTGTTCCCTGCTAAAACGAAGTTTGTGAATTCAGTTAAATAATTGTTAAAATATATCTGTCATTTGTGTGTTTTTAGCTTTCTTCCTGTATGGGAAGCTTTTCAACATTTGAAACATTAGTGCAGTGGTTTATGTTAAAATAAACCTTTGGGTTAAGTTGTTGCAAGCAGGTTTTTCTTGTGTTTCTTTTGAATTTGATCTTAAATTTTTATTTCAAGTGGCATTAAAAAGTCTTAAAAAGTATTGAATTTAACTCGCCTTATGCTGCAGGAACCCTGAGTAGTGTAAAGCACCAATCCAGAAATCAAATCTCACGAGACACTGTGGACATTTGCATATTGCAATGAAATGCTTGGACTGCATGAAGATCTACCTAATTGTCTATGGACCCTAACATGCATTCAAGCTCTCTATTCCTGAAGTATTAGAAGAAAATTGTTGTTTAGGGCAGCTTGAATATCTTTCACATGTTTAAGGTGGTGAAACCATTAGATAACTCCTTGATGCTGAGATTTAAACCTTTGTTTCCTTTTTTTTCTTTGCTGATACATTACTTTTATATCTGGGGTTTTATATCTGCTATCAATCATGTTTTAAAAGATTAATTCCGTTTAATTTTTTAGAATAGAATAGAATAGAAAATCCCTTTATTGTCCTCCAATGGGGAAGTTCTGGTGTTTACAGAAGCAAAAATATTAAAGAAAAAACGGTCACACAAATGCGGACCTTAGAAAAATGTATAAGAATAACATCATAGTTTAAAAGATAAACAATAAAATACTGTAAAGTGTTTTAACGATATAAAACTGGAGAATAAATAACCAATATCCAGCTATGGACATTTTCCCAGTAATGGATGTTTGAAAATAGCAGCAACATCAGAGATGTGCAGAATGACAGCAGCAGGCATCCAATCACAGAGCTGGCCTTCCTCATCAGCTGATCCAGCCATATTTGTTGGTTTATTTATTAAAAGTGGTATTATTATCCTTATATTAGTGTTCCTCATATGGTGCAGCCTTACCCCAAGCCTTCCAAAGTCCAGTTTACCACAGACCATGTGGGGGGAAGTTATCTGGTCTGATTACGTCAGTTTAAAAACTTTTCGACTGAAATGCAAAATGCCAGGTGAGGCATGTAACTAAATCTACGCTCTGGATAGAGGATTCCTGCAGTGAAGTATGGTGAAGGCAGCATCATGCTATGGGAGGAGATGGAAAAGCTGATGAATATCCAGATGTATGCAAGAGAAGAAAAAGCTGCATCATTCTCCTCTGCTCCTCTTGGTGTTAATCTGTCACATAATATCTTATTAAGACACATTTTGACCTCTCTCTCTCTCTCTCTCTCTCAGGAGGGATCAATCACTCAGGTGGCATGTTGCCCTCATGATGAAGATTTTATTGCTGTTGCAACAAGGTCCGGTTATTTTCCCTTTAGATAAAGACATGTTTTGTCTCTTTAATTAAAATGAGTGTTATTGCTGTTCTCCTTGCTGCTGTTTTCATCATGGCTGCTGTTCAGTCAGGGTCTGGTGGTTGTTTGGGAGCTGCAGCTGGAGCGGCGTGGTCGTCCAGAGCGCGTCAGCGTGTCTTCAGAGCACAGAGGACACGACATCACCGCCCTCTGCTGGGATACAAACGCACTGCGGGTTTTTGTTGGGGACTCTGCAGGCAAAGTGTCCTGTCTGCGGGCAGGATCGTCTAAACTGGGCAAGGTGCTGATAAAACCTCATTATTTATAGCTCCACAGCAGATGTTTTAATTACGTTTAGAAATATTTGTTATAGACCCTGAAATCTATGCCTGATCCAAATGTTTAATATTCGTTCTTGTCCCTAGGGGGCAGCATTTGTCATCTTTCCTGTCCAAACTGTTACTACTGTTGACTCCAGAGTGGTTCAGCTTGGATATTATGAAGGGCGCCTCCTTGTGTCTTCTCTCAGTCGCTGCTACCTTTGTGACACAGAGAAGTAAGTTGATTAGAGCCTCTAACTGAGGAGGGTAGAAATCTTTTGATGAATCCAGAAACTCTCAATTTCACCAAGATGTTAAAGGAAAAGTCCGGTCAGCAAAAAATATCCAATGGATCTAAAACTAATACGTTCATCATGATTTAATGAATTTAATCAGTAAAAAAAAAGTTAAAACAATAATTTTCCTGGCGATCACTGAGTCTGGGAGCGGCCATTTTTGCCCGAATATAGTAGCCCCTCCCTCCTGCCATCCTCCAGCAGTGACGTCACGGTGCGGTAAGCCTAGCGCCATTCTCCCCGCTTTCCAAGCTAAATCAATGGGAACTACTAGACACATCTGCAATCAATAACAATTATTGAAGATTTCCAGAGGACTTCACCATTGAAATTCACCAGAGCTATAGTGAAACTGACAATGCCCACGTGCATGGCAGCTGGATGCTGGAATACATCGGGTGTCATGTTTGGCTTGACGTGTTTGGCCCACATGCAGAATACACTCGGAAACAGGCAGATCTTTAAAGGAATAGTACACCCAAAACATGATTAGGCTTCATTTTCTACTCACCCCCATGCTGAACAACACTCTGGAGTACTTTTTTGATATCTCAAATGCATCTGGAGATCTGGGAGGCTTCTTGCTGTCTGCTGACATTCAAATAATGGAGGTCTATGGCGCCCGAGTCAGAAAGGTCCATAAAAGTCCACAAAAAACGTGTCAATATTCCTCCATACTGCTCCTCCAATGTATTCCAAGTGTCCTGAGTGGGTAGCGTCCAGAATTTACTCGAAACGAAGTCATTTAGAATGTTTTTAGAGCATAAACAGTAGTGTATAGGATTTCCTGAAAGCGCGTTCACGACGCTACGGAAACCGCGGCAGACCAAACCAGATGAAAGTGCGCATTCAGCTCGGCAAAGAACTCATGCTCTTCCTCAACACTGAAGTCCTCAGACATTTTTCTTTCGTTGTTTCTTTCTTTGCACAGGTAAACAGCACATTTCTTCTTCTACGCTTGCATTATCGGCAGAGCAGACGCTGAATGCGCACTTTCATCTGGTTTGGTCTGCCGCGGTTTCCGTAGACTCGTGAACGCGCTTTTAGGAAATCCTATACACTACTGTTTATGCTCTAAAAACATTCTATACACTACACTTGGAATACATTGGACGAGCAGTATGGAGGAATATTGACACGTTTTTTGTGGACTTTTATGGACCTTTCTGCCTCGGGCGCCATAGACCTCCATTATTTGAATGTCAGCAGACAGCAAGAAGCCTCCCAGATCTCCAGATGCAGTTGAGATATCAAAAAAGTACTCCAGAGTGTTGTTCAGCATGGGGGTGAGTAGAAAATGAAGGCTAATCATGTTTTGGGTGTAATATTCCTTTAAGGGTTTTATTGAAAAACTTAACGAAAGGGGATTCTGCAACTGCAGACCGAAGCTCAGCACAGGGAGCTGGAACCAGGGAACGTCTAAGGGAATAAGAAGGGCGGTTAACCAGGGACTGGGCAGGGGAATGTACAGCTGGATGAACGCTTACCTCAGAGCGGGGAGAGCCGAACCGGGGAGAAGGCGGGTTGGACTCTATGCTAACCTGAAGGTGGATAAGGCGATCGTCCAGGTGACCAGAGAGCTGAAGCCAGAGAGGGTCTGAGCAGCACCGGGAAAATCCAGGGATCCAGAACAGCGGGGGAAACCTGATGGAGGTCCGTGAGGGTGATTGGACCAGTGGGGGGAAGGAACCGGGGGAACCACTCAGAGGAATCCACCACGAGAGGGATAACTTGGACTCGAGAGGAAGGGGAGACACAAAGGTAAGATTGGTTACTCAAAGAGCTTTGGAAGGCTAGAGACTGTGGTAGGTTTGCATACCACTACAGTAACACTCAGGCGTCCTCCCGCTGTCTGAGCGCAGTTCTTATAGAGCGCCTCGGTGCTGCAGAACCACCTGCAGGTGTGCGGGCACCAATCAGTCAACCTGGAACACCTGTGGAGAAGGCAGAGGCAGCAGAGTCCTGACATCGGGTAAAAGTGTAAAAAAGAGTTATTCCACCTTTCTGATTCCTGATCCTCCACGGACGGGTTGGTCGTTGGATCGCCAACTTGAAGAGGGAGGATTTGCCATCGAACTTCTGGCCAGAGAAAAAACCCGTAATATGTAGCCAACATTTGGAAGAAGAATGTTTTCAAGATGACTTGGATAATAGCGCGTTGTGACAAACACCAGATACAGCACTGGGACTTGATCAACAGCCGATACCGCACCGTGACGTCACTAACCAGTAGGTGGCAGTAGTGTTCTTTGACAAACATGGATGCCTCCAGTAAAGCACATTCACATGAAAATTACTCTGAATTAAAAACACTGATCATTTATTGAACAGGATGGAATCATTTCAGATTTAAAGAACTTTCAGAAGTTTGGATTCTGAATATAAGCGACTTTTCCTTTAACAGAATACCCACAAATCTGAAAATCTGAGAAAATTTAATATCGGAAGCACAAACTGTTTTGTTATTCATTTTAGAGCAACATTTCTACAAAGAAAATAAATTAGCTTTTTTTTAAATATTTTTTTTTATTTTTTTGACACATGGCTCTTTTAGAAGAGCTGAAACTGAAACAATATTTTCTTATAAGTTTACAATATAAAATTTAAATATTATATATGAATAAATAATAAGTATTTTTCAGATTCATCCTCAGACATTAAGAGCAATATTTGTTTATATTTTTCTTTCTCGCCAGTTTAGAGTCATTTAGCAAATTCCAACGTTTCCTTTTTATCTCTTTATTTTTCTTCCTGCAGGGAGAAATTTTGGCGCGTAGGCAACAAGGAGCGAGACGGGGAATACGGAGCCTGCTTCTTCCCCCTGAGCAGGGGTTTACTTGTGGGACAGCCCCCCCTGCTGTACTGCGCTCGGCCTGGGTCCCGGATATGGGAGGCCAATTTTAACGGCGAGGTTCTGAGTACTCATCAGTTCAAACAACTGCTCGCCTGCCCCCCCCTACCTTTAATCACTTACAGGTGCATTTAGTTCTCTTTGTTTTGGGATCCAAGAAAAACTGGATTTATTAACTCGTCGTTTCTTCTTCTTTTTGCAGAAATGAGCCAAATTACAATCCAACACATAAAAGTGCGCAGTCTCTCTGCTTCCCTAAGCTGCTTTATTTTGGGTAAGATCTAAAAACAAAACCTCTTTGAGCTAGTCGTGCATTACAGTATTAGGGCCTGGCTAGAGTAGTCGTAAACATTAAGACTAAAGTCGTAATATGACGAGAATGAAGTCATCATACTACAACCCGTTTCAGAAGGAAAGCTTGGAGCTCCGCCCAGCAGATGACGGCCAACCAGCTCCACCAATCAGCAATTCCATGTTCCTCATTTTAGAGAAGAAAGAGCTTCTGGTAGGAGTTGTCATAAAATAAAACTTGTTTCTCGTAATTTTAGGACTATTCTCGTGACTTTTTTGTTGTAATGTTACGACTTTATGCTCGAAATAGAAGAAAAAAACTCTCGCCTGGCCCTTATACTCCGTCGTAACGGAAACCTGTCGATGGATTCAGTTTTTGCTTTACGTGTTTTTGCAGAGACCAAAACCTGCTTACCTGGACGGATTCAGCCATTTTCATCTTTACACCTCAAAATGGACAAGTCTTGCTGTGGACTGAAGTTAAAGGTTTGTTTTCTAACTCTAAATCTCTGAAGTGTCATTTTAAAAGTTGAATTTCATCACATAAACATCCTAAAGTCGCCGTTGCACAAATCGAACGTTTGTTTCGTTTTATTTGATTCAACAAAGCAATGTGCTGAAATGAAAACTGTTTTGCAGACCTGGCTGATGTTGCCGTCCACCGTAACGAGCTGTTCTGTCTCCACGGCAGCGGCCGTCTGTCCCACCTGTCTCTGCTGTCTGCGGAGCGCTGTGTTGAACGTCTGCTGCGGAAAGAGTCTTGGACTCTGGCGGCTACCGTCTGCTGCATGTTTCAGCACGCCGTCATGACGAGCAGGGTGAGGCGTACTTTCAATGACCCCGCCTCTCTGGGTGTAGCGTGTAGTTGGATATTCATATTCACGTCCTCTGCGATGAAATACAGAGCTAACCTTTTAACTGATAAGCTAACAAGAAACGATAATTAATTCTGTTTATTTAAATATATTGAATTACCAGAAACGGTAATTGCTGGAAGTGGCAGCCTAGTGGTTAGGGCACTCTGGGTCCCTGAGCAAGACCCTAAACCCCACACTGCTCCCCAGGCGCCACACCATGACAGCCCCCTACTCCCCAAGGGGAGGGGTTAAATGCAGAGGTGACATTTCTCCATTTGGAGAATAAAGTTCAATTATATTATTAATTATATGAAAAAAATACTTAAGGGCACATGTGTGAAAACCAGTGGCGGCTGATTAATAAAGGGCACAGCAACACTCACCCAGTGTTGATTAAAACATTAAGAAAAAAAATTTAATTATAGAATTAAAATATTCTTTAAATATACTAATATATTTTTAAGCTGTGCAAGACAAATATTTAATCTTTAATAACGAGTAAAGCTGATTGGTTTTTCGTCAGATTAGTGATGTATTTTCATAAATCTTCCACCATAGACTCTGTTTAAAAGCTGTCCATGCGCAGGGCGTGCTTTGGTGGCGCAGTGGTTGTGCGCACGATCCAGGTACCGAGGCCTTAAGGCGTGGTTATCCTCCCGCAGCAGCGTGTGGCAGATATTTTTGATTTATGTCCAATATTGAAACTTGGTCTGCGCTATGTTATTCCACGCCACAACACCAGAGGGCCAATCAGGAACTAGCTTTGGGTCTAGATACGGCCGAGGAGGTGAGGAAGTGGGGGCAGGTTTGTGCGACAACGGAGGGACATGAGGGCCAAAAAGAGCGGGGATCCAGGTGGAAAAAGGGTCCCAGCGTTCTCACGCACCTCGCTCTGCTAGCTGCTCCATCTTCACCAGCCGTTTTCCGCAATGGCGGTCAGACAAACAAAACAAGCCGCTAAGGAACTGACCAGGAAATACTTATAGTGTAGAGGGGATGGAGATTTGACCAATCAGAGGCCTCTGAGAGGAAGAAGAAGAATCCTTGTTTGCCCACTGGCGGGGGGGCAATGAGTGAAATGGAGTTCTTTCTGTCAAACTGACAGACCGTAGTAGCCACGTTAGCTCAGCCATGTCTTTGTCCAAATACGTCGTCTCCTTTTCTTTTTAGGGCTTTCAGCACTAAATCGCCCAAATATCCAAGGCAGCGCGTTTCACTCTAGTGAGCTTCATGTTCCTCTGCTACTGGTTTGGTTTCCAGATAGACCAGTCCAAGTAGTGCCATCTCACTGCGGAGCTGAGTCCCACCTGGTTTTTAGACGTACGGTGTGAGCAGGTAGATCGCATCAGAGCGTCGGGTCGCGCAGTGAGAGAACAAACATCCTGACCTGTGAACTTTTAAACCCTGTGGTTTCGTCATACAGTGGATGCCCTGCTTTAGAAAGTGCGGCTGATTGACAGGATTATAGAATAATTTAGCTCCAAGGCTAGGCTAACTGCATGCAGCGAGGCTAACTGCATGCAGCGAGGCTAAGGACTGATTGCAGAACATTTTGTTGCTTTTTGTTGTTGTAATTCATATAAAATGTAGTGGTGATTGTTTGCCAAGACAAACATCACAAAAGGTTCCATTTAGCCACTAGAAGGCGCTGGGCTCAGGTTTCTGTATGCAGGCAAAAGAAGGTTCAATGTCCAAACTTGTTGATTGTTCTGGATGATTTATTTTCCTTCTTCAGCCAGAGATTACAGAGTTCAAATTTTCCTTTGTTCTTTCTGCTTCCTCTCTTGCTCTGGTAAAAACCAAAACCCAACATGCGTGTTGGTCCCTTCCCAGGCCCCTACATTTATAGAAAGTGGACTGATCCACATCACTTCCTGTCTGACCTCAGAACCAAAAATAAATAAATAAGAGAACATAATAAAACAAAGATAAATAGAATCAAAAATTATTAACCTGCAAATAAACTCTGTAAATAATACAAAAATATGAATTTATGATTTTACTAACAAACTTCAAATGGATAAAGAAATAAAGAATAAATAGCTCCACCATTATATATACAGGTGTAATACCTTAGTATACGTCTATTCTGAAGTTATAGCGCCTCCTAGAGGAAACCCCACCAGCCTCCAGTGGTGAAAACTACACCGACATCAAATAGAAGCGGCCTCCTTTAGCTAAAGACAGAAACTAGCATGCAGGTGTGATTTTTAAAGCTCTTCTTCATTTCAGGCCAGGAAGTGCGTTCCCATGGATCACCTTGAACAGCTGAAGTCTCAGCTCAGTTCCAGCTCGCAGGCAGAGCTGATTCACCAGCTGGAGGAAGTCATCCTGAAGCTGGAGCCGCTGGACTCTGCTTGCAGCAGCCGCAGAAGCAGCATCTCTTCACATGTAAGAACAAATATGTTGCTGAAAGCTTTTACATTTATTTTTTTTGAGTAGAGACTTGAAAACGACAGAAACACAAATCCTGTTAACATATAGCTGTATATTTTTTATCTGGAGGGAGTGCTCAGGTAATCAGGTAAATTTTTTTTCAGAACTACTTCAGACACTAAAAATGATTTTGCATTACTTTCAAAGACCTACAATTCAGCAATAGAGTTGATTCCTTCCTGATATCATCGCCCGGTACCAAATGACCCACGGACCGGTCCACGGCCCGGTGGTTGGGGACCGCTGCACTAGACCCCGAGTACGGACTCATGTTCTCGCCAAGTCTGTTCTTGACAAGAAGAAGTCAGTAAAGTCTGAACTCGGGGAGAACGGGAGAACACAGAACAAATCTGGGTCATTTGGAACAGAAGCGTACCTATGACATCACCACATTCAAAGCTAGTCTGGAGTTGCGTTTCACCTCCTTTTATTAATAGTCTCTAGATAGATAGTTATATATTTTGAGTTTTTCATTTATTGGGGGAATAATAATGAACACAGTCAGATAAACACAAATCAAATTAACATTTTACCAAATAAAAGCAAAAAACTCGCCATCAGAGCCAGCGGTCCTTCACACACGGCTACGCAGAGAGAGAGCTGCTGGATAAAACCTGGAACTAAACGCTATTTTTGAAATTTTGAATTGAAAAATCTTCCTGGATGGAAGAGAAACGTCTTCAAACTTGGAAACAAAGTCCAGTGTAACTTTTTTTTTAATGATTTTATCAGGTTTGTTTTTTACAAAATGTGTATTGAATATAATCTGGTTAATCTAGGAGAGTTTTAACATCCTGGACTGCGGGATCTACCGCGTGATCAGCCGTAGAGGAAGCCAGTCGGACGAGGAGACGGGATCGCTCCTCAATCAGTCCGTGTCGGAGGAGGAGCGGCTCAAGGAGTTCAGCTTCGTTCAGGAGGAGGATCAGGTGGATCATGGTAAGAAGCCGCTAGATCCGGTGTTATTAGGAGATGTCATACTATAACATGTTAAAGTTATTAGGGATGCACGTTATAATCGGCCCCCCATCGGTATCGGCCTTAAAACTGAATATCGGACATCGGCCACCCCACCGATATTTAACCCGATATTTGATCAGCTTTTGAGTTTCTAAAGTCTAAAAAAAATAAATTAAATACTACTTCTTCTTCTTCCTCAAAAACTTCTTTTTTACAGACATAAAAACTTCTAAAGACGAGGGAAAAAATATTGATCCATTAAAATATCCCAATATCTTCATATGCTGATATATTGCCATTTAAAAACACCATATCAATCTCTTTTACTAATGAAATATTGCTATATGTCATCGTTATGCTACGAAATCCCCCGAAAATTCACCAAATGTTGCCATATTTTTATATGTTGATATATTGACGCGGTATCGATCTATTTTACTAACAAAATCTCACAAGAATTTGCAAAATATCACGAGAGTTTGTAACAGAACGATGAAATTTCACGAGATTTTGAGAGTAAAATAGATCGATACCGCGTTTTTAAAAATCAATTTGATATCAGCATATGAAAATATATTTGAGTATATTATTTTTCAAAGTGTCAGAAATGGATAACAAAACTGCTATTTTCAATGACTACTTATTTTTGTCCAGCTTTAACATCGGTATCGATATCGGTTATCGGCTAGATGAGTTTTAAAATATCGGCATATCGGATATCGGCCAAAATCCCAATATCGTGCATCCCTAAAAGTTATCCATTTATATTGTTTTAATGGTTTGATTAAAATCACTTATTTTGTTTCTTTTAGACTTTGCGCTTCTGTTTAAATTGAAATAAATAAAGACAACCTTTCTTTTTCCAGACTGAGATTTTTACAGTTATATTAACATTAAGAAGTTGAATCTGAATAAATACTAAAAAGTGACATTTTTCTTTTCTACGTGTTACTTTTCTCTTTTTTTATGTTTCCTCTTTATGAAAATGTTTGAAGCAAGAAGAAATTTCTTTTCTTCCTCTGATTACAGCCTTTAAAAAGAGTGAAGTTATTTTCAGTTTAACAACAGAGAGAAACCAAAAAAGAAAAGTCTTATCTTTGCTAACTGATTATAACTTGACTCTTGTTCTCTTTCGACTGATATTTTAATCTTTGTTGCTTTTTCTGTTTCCCTTTTAAATGAGCTACAAATGAATAATAAAAAAAAGAAAAACTGCCTGATTTCTGTGAAATTGTTTACGTGAAATGTCTCCTCTGTTTCACCGCATCTCACATTCGTCTCCATCTTGGTTCTGTTGTTTTGCGCCATATTTGATTTTGGGTCTCGCTCCGCTTGCATTACGTCCTCTGATCATTCCCCTCCAGCTACTCCATCCATCTGTGTTTTTCCTCCCACTCCTGCCCCCATCTTCGCTTAGATCCACAGAGCGGCGAGCGCCCGGACGCCGATCGACCCGACCAGGGCCTGCAGTTCCACCTGCCGCTCTCTTTCCGCTCCAAACCCCCCCGCATGGCTTTGCAGGCCGTCAAAGACAGGTGAATGAAAACCAAACCAACAATCCAGAGTCCATCTGCATTTATGCTCCTTTTAAATAGTTTTCTAATTTTACATCACTTTTAGTGTGAAATGAAACCATCGTGCAGCTGTGCTTCCTCATTCTGTTAAAATAAAACTCTTACAGTCTGAGCATCAGTCATTCGTTCTTCATGTGGACCCGTTTATTCACTGATTCTTGTCTGTCTGACATTTTGTTTAACATTTTAATTACTCAACAACATAAGATTTTTTTTCTCATCAGTGTTTCCAGTTTTGTCAAGAAGACGACGGAGAAGATCAACACCCTGCAGATGAACTCGGAGCTTCGCCAGCGGCCTGAGTTTAAAGAGAGCTCCCAGCCCGACGCGTTAGCGGGCGCGCCGTCGTACTCGGAGGAAATGGAGAATGAGTAAGTTAAGATCTAAGGTCATCTTAACCCTTTTAAGCTTTTTAACGTTGCAGCCAAAGGCTTCCGTGGGTTTTTATTTGGAGCTTATCGGAGGAACCGACACTGAACTAGTGAATAATCATTAAATAAATATTATTTTAGGGTTTTAAAAGAATATGTATTAAACATTCAAAACTACGTAGAACATCTTTGCTGAAATGAGACCAAGGGGTAGATTTATCTCTACCATCTTTGTGAATCTAGGAGGAGGTCTTTGTTCTCCTTCGGTCTGAACTGTTGTTAGATGGTTTGTTAGATGGGATGGAAAGTGTTAACAGAGGCTCTGTCCGTCCGTCCGTCCTGACCTCCTAATCCCTCCATCACTATAGAGAGCGGGGACTCTATAGTGAACTTTATAGTGAACTCAGTTCACTGACCGTTCAGACAGATGATCACTGCTTTTTGCTCCATTGGTCACGTAACTCCGCCTCCATGCAAGGAGCCTGCGCCATCTTTATTTGTCACCGCTGTCGCAGCGGGCCACTTTCACTGCAAATCCCATAATCAGTGTTGTGCCTGAACGTGTTCATTGAACGAAAGTTCATGAACTCGTTCATATTTTGGGCGAACGTGAACTGAACGTACTGCATTACTGCCTGATGAACGTTATTGTGAACTCGTTCATTCTGGTGTCTGTGAACGGCATGCTCTCTCAGTTCAACTCCGTTCAATAGGTTGCCAGATTTCTATAGAGTCCTCCAGGCGAAACCCCGGCTAAATCAAACCGTAAACAGGCCTTAATATGTAGCGGGAAAAACACCCAATCTGGCAACACCAGCTACCAGCGTTGTAGCCTACAGCCGCGTGCGTCATCAAAACAAAATGCAGCGTGGAAGCCACAGCAGCAGTATGATGACTTAAAACAGTTCTATTTCATCCCTACTGACCGCCAGAGGGCGGTGCTGAAAGCACTGAATGTTCCCTTCGGGCATGCGCAGTTCGAGTAATTATACCAACAGAGTCACACCTGTGACACCGGATGACCACTCAGAAGCTATATAGCCTGGTGTCATCCTTTGCTCTGCTCCTTTTTTCTTCTCGCAAGCGGTTCGCTAACTTCCCCGTTGTCTGAAGCCCCTGTATCTTGACCGGAGTTGCGGTTATTCTCCGCCCTCCCAGGGCTGCAACGGGTCGATTCTGAGGATTACGGAAGTTAAGTGAGTTGTTTGCTGGTGATGGTAGCGTCCGCGCCCCCTCTCCCGGCTCACGACTTTAGCTTTTTACCTACAGCTTCGTGCTGTTTTGTTTCGAACTGGTGACGGCAGCGTTTTCGCCCCTACTCCCAGTGTGAATAACTTCACTGCCGAAGTTATATACGGCTAACGTAGTTAGCTTCTTTAGTTTGTTGGTGTTATACCTGGTGACGGCAGCGGTTTTCGCCCCCTCTCCCAGTATATTCCCTACTTTTGCATCCTTTTTTTCACCGGTCTGCGCTGCTATAATTACTGACGGCCGCGGTTTTCGCCCCCTCTCCCAACCAAGTGTGGTCTACTTCGTTTGCCGAAGTTGGAGATGGCTAACGTTGTTAGCCTTTTTTGGTTTGTTTGCAGCCTTCTTCATCGGTCTGCTTAGTTATGAATGGTGACGGCAGCGTTTTCGCCCCCTCTCCCAAAATCAACCTTTTTTGCAGCCTTTTCGTTGGTCTGCTCTCTTAATTGGTGACGGCATCGTTGTTCGCTCCTACTCCCAACTTAAGTTTCCATACAGCTAACGTTGTTAGCTTTTTTGGTTTATTGGTTTTATACCTGGTGACGGTAGCGGTTCTCGCCCCCTCTCCCAGTATCGGCTGCCTTGTGCTCGCAGCCTCTTTCGTTTCTCTGCTGTAATTGGTGACGGCTGCGTTTGCGCCCCCTCTCCCGATTTTCGATAACTTTCTGTTCTTTAAGCCTTGTCGGCCTTCGACATGGATGGCTCTCACAGCTGCATGGACTGTGGGGCTGCCCTGCAGGCAGAGGATGGCCACGACCTGTGCCCTACCTGCCTTGGACATGAGCACATTTTGGAGGCGCTGTCTGAGAACCCCTGTATGAACTGCAGCTTTATGCCCCATGCAGTGAGGGTGGCCCGGTTGGCCCAGTTGTGCCCCCAGGAGGGCTCGGACCTTCCGCCCTCTGGGCAGGTGGTTCCCCCCAAGCGTTCTAAGCGCCGTGGTGGGACCACAGCATCTGTGCCCCTCCCCCGGAGGAAGCGGGCCAAACCTGACCAGGGCCTGTCCACAAGGGTGGAGCAGTTGTCAGCAGAGCTGGCAGAGATGAAGTCCTTGTTGCAGACACGGCAATCTGATCCCTCGCTCCCAGTGGTTGGGCTCTCTTCCCCACCAATGCCCGAGCTGGTTGTAGAGGATGACGTTATCTCTCTGGCTGCTTCCGCTTCTCATTTTAGAGATGAGGAGGAGGCAGGGTCCTCTCAAGCCTCTGAGGCTGGTTCATTTTCATCTCAGAGTGCGGTTGGAGAGGCCAGTGACGGTTCCATGCGGGAGGTCATGTCTATGGCCCTGAAGCAGCTGCAGCTGGAACTCCCACAAGGAGAGGCATCCAGCTCCGGCAGTGCCTTTTTCAGACGTGGAAGGGCTCCTACTCCTTTTTCTGTACCTCCATCAGAGGAGTACTTGAAGGAGTTACACGCCTGTTGGCGGGAACCGAGAGCGCTGTCGCGTCTCTCAATGGATGGTCGTGTATTAGCTGCCATGCATGAGTCGGTGAAGGCCGACAGCAATTGAACCAGCTGTTGCTTCACTGATTGTGTCACCAGATGAAGCCCTGCGTCCTGATGTCCGGTGCCCGCGGACTCAATGTTGGGTTACAGATGACCTCCTCTGTAAGGCGTACAATGCAGGAGCGCGTGCTGGCCGCCTTGGCAATTCTCTGGCGCACCTCATGTTTGCCCTGTCTGCATCTGTTCAGGACACTGGTGGTGCAAGTGCGGCGGTTGGTTATAGTGACGCAGCGCTGCAGGCCTTCGCGCTGATGACCAGAGAGCTTGGACGGGTCATGTCTTTCCTTGTCCAAGCTCGTAGACAGGTCTGGTTGGCACAGTCTCCTCTGACTGAAGCATGCCGTAGGACCCTCAGGGGTGTCCCGGTTGTACCAGGGGAGCTGTTTGGATCAGCTGCCTTGGAGGCGCTGGAACGGACTGCTCAAGCACGTCAGACTAGCCAGCAGCTTTCCGGCCTTCGCAGGAGCATACTTGCCTTTCCCCAGCGTTCGGGCCGCCCTGCCACTACCCCCAGCGTTCAGCCACGACCTCAGACTGGTGGCAGACCTGTTGGTTCCTATCCCCATGATGTGCGGCAGAGACCGAGGAGGGACTTTCGTGAGCCAGTCTGCCGCCCTGTTAGACAGACCCGGGCCTCAAATCCTGGACGCCCTCCCCCCAGAGCCCCCAGGGGCCGTGGGGATAGAAGATGATGCCACCGGGCCAGCCGTCGGACATTTTTCCCATCAGCAGCTGAATTTCTGGGCTGCTCATGCCGTAGATCCATGAGTGGTTGCCACCTTAACCAATGGCTACAGGCTCCAGTTCCGACGGCGGCCCCCCCTCTCACACCGGGTCAAGATGACTGTCATCACAGACCCGGTGAAATCTCAGGCACTAGACCAGGAGCTTTCCGCCCTCCTGGGCAAGGGGGCAATCGAGTCTGTAGATCCTCTGCGGCAACCCAGAGGCTTCTACTCCACATACTTCCTTGTGGCCAGGAAGACCGGCGGTTTTCGCCCCATTTTAGATCTAAGGGGACTGAATTGGTACCTTAAGGTCCTTCCCTTCCACATGCTCACCATAACAGGGGTCCTTCAGACCATTGTGGCGGGAGATGGGTTTACATCAGTAGATCTGACAGACGCCTACTTTCACGTGCCTATTGCGGCAGAACATCGCCGTTTTCTCAGGTTTGCCTATCGGGGGCGCCATTGGCAATTCCGGGTGCTCCCATTCGGGCTCTCCCTTTCCCCGAGGGTGTTTACTCGATGCGTGAAAGCAGCCCTCTCTCCTCTACAGGCCTCCGGAGTCAGGATTCTGCCATACCTGGACGATTGGCTTCTTTGTGCTCCCTCTCAGGTAGCTGCCTCTCGGGATACGTCCCAGCTTCTACTTCATGTGTCACTGTTAGGCCTCAAAGTCAACTTGGCAAAGAGTTGTCTTGTTCCATCTCAGACAACCACCTTTCTTGGGATGCATCTGGACTCTGCTACCATGATGGCCCGTCCATCTGTTCACAGGGTGGACGACATACTCCAGCTTGTCCGTCGATTCAGACTGGGCAGGGATTTTCCCTACATCATCTTCCTGCGAATGCTGGGCAAACTGACATCAGTCACTCGTGTCGTGCCCTTAGGGCTGCTCCTTCTGCGTCCTTTGCAGCGATGGCTCAACAGCTTTCGCCTAGACGCCAGGCTGCACAGGCATCGCAGGCTAATGGTGACCAGGAGCTGCCTCCATGCCCTAGCTCCTTGGCGAGACGGGACCCTTTTGTCCAGTGGTGTTCCAATGGGGCTAGTAGTGTGTCGAAGGGAGGTGGTCACCACGGATGCCAGCCTCATGGGCTGGGGTGCCGTGTGGCAACACAGAGCTGTTCGGGGTCTCTGGGACCCAAGGGAGCGCACCGAACACATAAATGTGCTGGAGCTGCGGGCTGTGCACATGGCCCTCACGTGCCTTCTGCCCCACCTAGAGGGAAGGCACGTGCTGATTCGGACAGACAACACCTCTGTTGTTTATCATATAAACCACCAAGGTGGCACCAGGTCAGCACGTCTCTTGAAGGTGTTGAGGGATCTCCTGGAATGGGCGTTTCCCCGTCTGTGTACCCTGCGCGCAGCGTATCTGCCAGGACGGCAGAACCAGGTTGCCGACTCTCTATCCCGCCAGGCACCTGCTCCGGGAGAGTGGTCTCTTCACCGCGACGTAGTGCGCATAATCTGGAACCTCTTTGGGCAGGCAGAGGTAGATCTGTTCGCCACAGAGGAGTCGACCCATTGCCCCCTATGGTATTCCCTAACCGGGATGGCGGGCGCACTGGGCCAGGATGCACTGGCTCATCCATGGCCGCAGGTTCTCCTGTATGCCTTTCCACCCCTCTCACTGATTTGGCCGACTCTACGGAGGGTTCTCGAGCAGGGCCACAGAGTGTTGCTGGTAGCTCCGTTCTGGCCAGCAAGGAGGGATCTGCTGTCTCAGTTGGGGGGACAGATATGGCACCCCAACCCTCAACGTCTCCAGCTGTGGGCATGGCCCCTGGGAGGCTGACTGGGTGTTCAGACACCGTGAGACACACCGTATTGAGTGCTAGGGCTTCCTCCACTCGGCTGCAGTATGCTAACAGATGGTGCCTCTTTTCTCAGTGGTGCTCTGCCCACAATGAGAACCCAGTTTCCTGCTCGGTGCCCACTATTTTGGAGTTCCTCCAGTCTCTCCTTGATAAGGGCCGCTCTCCTTCGACCCTTAAAGTGTATGTTGCAGCAATTTCATGTCTTCACCGAACTGTTGACAACCGTACAGTGGGGCGCCATGAACTGGTTTCACTTTTTCTGCGTGGTGCTCGTAGGTTGTGCCAGCAGCCAGCCCCACGAGCCCCAGATTGGGATCTGCCGTTGGTTCTCACAGCTCTGTGCCACCCTCCATTCGAGCCTTTGGCACAAGCAGAACTCAAGTGGCTTTCCTGCAAGACTGCTTTCCTGATGGCTATCGTCTCAGCTAAGAGGGTCAGCGAGCTACATGCTCTTTCTGTCAGCCCTAGGTGTATCAGGTGGAATCCAGATGGCTCTGGTGTTACCCTGTGGCCTAATACTGCGTTTGTGCCTAAGGTGTTGTCTCCTTTTCACCGTAACCAGCCATTGCGGCTGGCTCGGTTTCAGCCTCAATCTGGTGCAACTGAGAATGAGTCTGAGTTGTTGTGCCCAGTAAGAGCGTTGGAGGCATACATTGCAGCCACCGCCAATCTGAGACGCTCGGACCAGCTTTTCCTATGCTATGGGGGTCCAAGGTTAGGCTGTCCTCTTTCTAAACAGCGTCTGTCCCATTGGATTGTGAGTGTCATCTGCCACGCCTACGCTGCAGGTCACTGCTCCCTGCCAGTCGGTGTGAAAGCACGTTCCACCAGGAGCGTCACGGCTTCCTGGGCTGCTTTGAGAGGGGTTCCGCTGGAAGCTATATGTGCTGCTGCTTCATGGGCTTCCCCAACCACCTTCACCAGGTTCTACAGTGTCAATGTGGCTGCCCCTCATCCCCTGGGTCAGGTCCTTTTACAAGGTTCTGCTGGGCCTCCTCTGTGAGGTATGTGCTCAGGATTCCTTGTGACATCGTTGGCATTAGTCATTCAGTGCTTTCAGCACCGCCCTTTGGCGGTCAGTAGGGATGAAATAGAACGAAAGTTACGTATGTAACTACGGTTCTATGAATCCCGGATGACCGCCAGAGCTTCTCTGTCACTCAGAATCCTTGCTTTTGCGAGAAGATTCTGTAGGAGCAGAGCAAAGGATGACACCAGGCTATATAGCTTCTGAGTGGTCATCCGGTGTCACAGGTGTGACTCTGTTGGTATAATTACTCGAACTGCGCATGCCCGAAGGGAACATTCAGTGCTTTCAGCACCGCCCTCTGGCGGTCATCCGGGATTCATAGAACCGTAGTTACATACGTAACTTTCGTTTTATGACCAGGTGGTCGGTGAGGATGATGGCAACAAGTTTGCCCGCCGGCTTTCAGTAAAAAAATCCGCACTTCAGTAACCTTAAATTCCTACCTCAGCCTGGTCCCTCAGTTTGTGTTAGTAAAATCTTCTTGAGCGGAGGTCTTCAACAGGGGATCCGCGACCCCTAGGGGGTCTACGGAGGTACTGCATGAGGGTCTGCATGGTTAGTTGATATTTTTATATTCCCCCCCTGCATTTTTTCCCCCCACTAATTGAAATGTCTTTAAATACTCATTAACATGAAATCAACACACTGTAGTAAACAGATAAATGGAGACAAAAGATGTCTTTCAGTCATCAATGCACACATTCAGCGACACACAGGAGCTCTTTCAAGCTGGGCACCGTTTCCTTCACAACAACCAGGAATCAGAATCAGAAAAACTTTAATAATCCCAGGGAGAAATTAATTTCTTTACATTACTCCATCTGTAATAAAGTGACTATAGGACACAATTTCATACAATATATATAGTTAGGGGGTCCCCGCTCCATCTCACCATCAGTTTGGGGGTCCTTGGTCTGGAAAACATAGAAGACCCCTGTTCTTGAGGGTTTTACTATCCATGTAACTTGTTTGTTAAACCTGCCTGGTATAATTTTCCAGGATTCCAGGATTCCTTTTTAGTATGTATTGAAATGGAATTTCAAATGGAAAAAATTATTAAAATAAAAAAAAAACATTTGCACCTTAAAGACTACTTTCCTATTTTTCTTTTAATAATTTCTCATAAAAAAGACCATTCAAGCAGCACATTTTTCCTGATGTTTCTGAGAATATACTGTAGGGGTGAAAGCTGCAGCTGCTACTAGTGTGAAGTGAATGGACAGCAACAAAGCATTAAAGCAACAATGGGGAAATGCTGTCCCCTCAATGCTAATGTAAACCCTGGTTGGATAAGGATTCAAAACTGGATATGAAGATGAAATCTGACGCACAGTTTCAGAGTTACAACTGATAAAATAATTGCTGTCTGTGGTTCTACAGTAGGCTATGGTGTAATTGAGCAATATATGAAAAAATAACTATGAACTAGTTCATTTTTTGGTTTTGAATTATGAACTATGAACTGAACTAGTTCATTTTAAAATGTGTGAACTGAACTTTGAACTAGTTCACGTAGAAAGAGAACTTTCCCAACACTGCCCATAATGCTTTGCGAGGCAAACTCTCCTTGCAAACCTCCACCCTTCTAGTGACCATGGACGATCACTACTTTTCCAGGTTCATTGTTGGAGATTTCAAGTCCACGACTTTTTCCTCCACTAGACGTTCGGACACTCGTCTAAAATGGCGGAACCACTGATTAGTGCGGATGTTCGGACACAGCCAATGATTTCTCATTCTTGCCATAAACCATAATTAGATGGACTGGCCTATTTCCACTAGCCCTCAGAAACCATCCGATCCGCGCCGAGTTCAGAGCTTTGATCGATTAGCCGTGCAGAGCTTGGTTCTTACGACCGTTTACACGCCACACTTCGCCGGTCCTTCGCCTCCTAATGGTGGTCCGCGATACTACAGCTCTCAAGGCAAGAATTACGCAAACAAAAATTTCGGTGCCCTAACATTCAGGAACTTATGTTTAAATCAGTGGTATTTGGTGGTTTGCCAAATGTCAGGCGAAGACGGCATCCTTCCCGGTATCAGCATCCTCCCAGGCCGCATCGCGCTCTTTTGATGCCGTTTATTGTTAATAAGCTGAGAAAAAGGTTTGTTTTGTAAACAGGTGAAGAGATCTGGGAACTGCAAAGCCGGAGATGCCGGAAAAAACCCGCAAAATGAGTCAGCTGACTGTAAATAGGAGATTAATAGAGATTCTGCTGATGATATATTCTGGTTCTTGCAGTTTTTACCCCAAACCTTAAAAACTATTTCTGTTCACTTCCAGCTGCTTCGTACGACGGAATATTAGAGCCAGGCTAGAGATTTATTCTTTCTATTTCGAGAATAAAGTCTTAGAATTATGAGAATAGAGTTGCAAAGAGAATAGTCGTAACCTTACGAGAATAAAGTCATATCATTAGGAGAGTAAAGTCCTAGCATGAAGAGAATAAAGTTATATTTTATGACAACTCTTCCTAGAATCCCTTTCTTCCCTTAAATGAGGAATGTGGAGCATCATGTGAAGTTAGACTTCTGGGCGGAGCTTGAAGCTTTATTTCTGAAACGGGTTGTGGTACAATGACTTGGTTCTCGTAATGTTACGACTTTACTCTCAAAATGAAAAAAGAAATTAAAAACAATTTTAGCCTGTCCCTAATACTTGGAACGGCAGCGGGAAATTCGCCACAAATGAATAAAACCAAGCTGCTCTCTAGCTTGAAGCTACAGATCAGACAAACAACCAGATGGCCGAGCATAAAAGCAACTTCAACACTGTCGATCTAGCGTCCAAATTTCTGCGTTTCGGCGTCGTTGACGTCTAGAACGCCTTCGCTGTGAACACAGCGTAAGAGTTTAAAGTTTGAATGCATCAGTGACGGTTCCCCTCACGGCCTTTCTGATCAACACATCTGAACCAGAGTCATCATCTTTCCAACATTCAATAAAAAAACTTTGTTTTTTATTTAAAAAAGGAAAAAATATACATATTGCTTTTTTAGGCAGTGATCTCTCTTATATTATTACTTGATGTCTTTAATAAAGCTTTGATAATAACATCTTTGCTAACAGATGATGTTTTTCTTCACAGCGTTTATAATGAAGTATCTAACGCTGAGGTTGCTATGGAGGTACTGCGTGCAGCAACAGAGCGAGCCGTGTAAGTCCAACGCAGCATTTAGCATCAAACGATTTTTACTTTTATTTTACCAATTTATTATTTTTCATGTTTTCACTGACATCAGCTCCCAGATACACGATCCTTTGGCGGTGCTTGATCCAGTCTGCCTCAGAGAAGCGCTGATGGAGTGGCTGCCGGTGTTGGAGCGAACTTTGGGCCCTGCTAACCTCCTGTCAGCTTCTGTAACCAATTCCAGCCTGGATGGATCCGAGGAGCAATGGGAGAGAGATTATCTAAGCCCCTGCACAGATCAACAACAACCAACAGAAAGTCTAACAGTAGAAGCCAAAGCCGTAGAACTAGAAGAAAAAGAAGTGGTCTGTGAGAAACCGCAGACGTTAAACATCAGTTCACTAGATGATCAAACCGAGCCGGTTCGAGTGGCACCTCCTACTCCTCTACCCACGGATCTGGAAGCTAATCTCAGCGAGCTAGCTACGCTTCACATGGAGCTGAGCTGCTTCAGGAACCAGCAGGACGTTCTGGGAGGCTCTACTTTCCTGCGTCGCTACTTCTTCCTGCTGGACACGGAGCGAGTGAGAAGAATGTGTCTTCTCTGTTACCGGCAGCAGCCCAAGATCATGAGCTCCTTCTCTGAGGCCATGCTAGGTACAGACGCCACAACGCTGCAGTTTCAAGCTTTTTCTTTAGTTTTTTCACATAAAGTCTCTGTTATTTCCCCGCAGAGCTGACTCAGTCCAGCAAGGTGGTGGAAGTTATTCAGAAAGGAGATTTGCTGAAATCTCTTCGAAGCCTTAAGGATCTGCAGCCGTGTGCAGCGTCTCATCTGCTGGCTCACTTCCACAGGTACCAGCATTCACTTTCTATAGATGCATCGTTTTACCAACACTTCTGCTGGTGACTCTGAAACAAGAGAATCTGTTTAACGTAGAAAAAACTATTTACTGTCTTTAACCCTTCATCCTAGGGATGCAGGATATTGGGATTTTGGCCGATATCCGATATGCCGATATTTTAAAACTCATGTAGCCGATAACCGATATCGATACCGATGTTAAAGCTGGACAAAAATAAGTAGTCATTGAAAATAGCAGTTTTGTTATCCATTTCTGACACTTTGAAAAATAATATACTCAAATATATTTTCATATGCTGATATCAAATAGATTTTTAAAAACGCGGTATCGATCTATTTTACTTTCAAAATCTGGTGAAATTTCATCGTTCTGTTACAAACTCTCGTGATATTTTGCAAATTCTTGTGAGATTTTGTTAGTAAAATAGATCGATACCGCGTCAATATATCAACATATAAAAATATGGCAACATTTGGTGAATTTTCGGGGGATTTCGTAGCATAACGATGACATATAGCAATATTTCATTAGTAAAAGAGATTGATATGGTGTTTTTAAAAGGCAATATATCAGCATAGGAAGATATTGGGATATTTTAATGGAACAATATTTTTTACCTCGTCTTTAGAAGTTTTTAAGTCTGTAAAAAAGAAGTTTTTGAGGAAGAAGAAGAAGTAGTATTTTCTTTTTTTTTTTTTTAGACTTTAGAAACTCAGAAGCTGATCAAATATCGGGTTAAATATCGGTGGGGTGGCCGATGTCTGATATTCAGTTTTAAGGCCGATACCGATAGGGGGCCGATTATATCGTGCATGCCTACTTCATCCATTTTCGTCCATGTTGAAATAGTCCTTTAGGTAGAATAGAATAGAATAGAAAATTCCAGCAGTGTTACAGCAGCAAAAGGTTATAGTAGAAGTGGTCAAACAATCTGGATCTTAGAAAGTATAAAAATAACAGAAGAATAAACAGAGTGAAGAAAATAAACAATAAAATCCTGTAAAGTGTTTTAATAATATAAAACTGGAGAATAAATAACCAGATGTGCAGAATGACAGCAGCAGGTTATTTAACTGACTAAGGTAGAAACTGAGCAGAATCAGCATGAATGGAAGAACTGATTGAGGTTGTTGGGAACAGTGTTGGGAGCACTGGTGGATACAGTGATGGGAGCAGTGGTGGGAGCAGTGGGTTGGAAGTTCTCCACCTTATGAATCTCTCCGTTACATTGCAGGCTATATGAGAAGCACGGGGAGGCAGCCGTCCGCTCGTTTGCCCAGTTCTTTCCTGTGATAACTCCTGCTGACGTGGCGGCGGTGGCTCAGCAAAGCCACTTTCTGGCTTACCTGGATAACCTTGTGCAATCAAGACCCGAGGAGCACAGGTGCTACTTTAGCGTTTGCTAAATAAACATTTCTGCTTTTGTTGGGAGAGTTTATAGCATTTTTATTTTTCCTTTAGGTTATCGTTTTTGCAGTCGCTTCTCGAACCTGAATCACTGAGACACGATTGGCTGGAGTTGGCGCTGACTCATGATGCCCCTCAGCTGACCGATACCCTGACCTCTGATGGACGGCCCAGGTACTACGCCGGGATGCAGAGAAAACATTCCTCAGTGTAGACTCTGTCATAGCATGATTCAGTTTCTTTCATTTGTTTAAAATAAAGACGGAGGAAATGCTGCATTATGAGATATCTGGGTTTGATTTACTGATTTAAAAAAATATCATTCATTTTTTGGCTTTTTTGGGCCGATTCTCCAGTCGTGCGAGAATGTTTCGATAGGCAGCCTTTCATCCTCATGGTGCGTGGTGTAGCTGTACAGGGGGTAATGAGGGGCGATCAGCCTCTAGTAGCGTTCCTTGACAGCGTCGTTTCTCTGTCACCAATTTAGCGCTACTTGGTCCCAATGGAATTTCCCATTGGGAACCTGCTAGCGCTAAGATGCTAACTGATTAGCAAGATGCTTCCCACAAACCGGCCACATTTAAACTAGCTTGTGAACCTTCCGCCACAACAATCCCGCCCCCTTATAATTGACCAATCACATTCACTTTATTCACTCGTGTAAAATCGGCACCACTCGGGAGAATTCAGAAATGCAACGGTTGTAACGCCCGCTTCCCTACGACTTTAAAAATGTTTCGTCTTGCTGCAGGTGGCATTCACACCGCTTCACTTGGGGCTACCGACGTCTGCTGTCTCTCCTGATTCGCCTTCCTGCAGACATTTCATCTAAAGAGAAGATGACCGAGATGTGCCGCAGTCATGGGTAGGTTGGGTTTTCACCTCATGGGGGTTTTTTTTTGTGTTTTAGATATGATGCAGCCTGCTAGATGTTGACATGTGTGCAGGTACTGGACGGGATACCTGTACCTCTGCAAAGAGCTGCAGAGTCGCACCGAAGCGTTTTCCACCATCTGTCAGCTGGATGACGTCAGCCTCCTGGAGGATCCTGATGGTAAATCTGTTTGCATCAAATGTGATGATAATCCAATCAAATAAATCTCTTTAAATTAAACTTTAATTCACTAAACATTCAGCGTTGGATCATTAACATTTAATAATGCAAACATCCAAATTTATTTATTTAAACCAACCCTGAGATGGAAACGCTGAGTTTTCATCCAACACCTCTGGTTTGGTTTTGACTTTTCTTCCAAGGCCGTTTTTTTCCTGCCAGTTACGACTAACTGAAGACGTGACTAAAGCTGCTTATGAAGCAGCGATGCTAGCCGGTAATAACCCAAACATTCATGAGCCGTAGAGCCAGTCAATCATGTGATCTTCAGATCTACGTTATTTTCACTGTTTGGGAACCTTATGCCCCCAGTGGTAAAACTTACCCGACTGTAATTGTGTTTTTTTTTCCTTTTTAAATACTTTATAAATTCCAGCCTTTTGGATGAGAAATAATGTTTTGAAAAATAGGTGATGAAGCACTTTGACCACTGAAATGATTTCCATTAAAATTTCAGTTAGAGATACTCAGCATAGATATGGCTGCAGGTGTTATTTTTGCCTGGACGTATTAACCCAGCCCTACATTAAATTAACCCTTTATAGGCACTCAGCTAAATACTTTGAAAATCAAGATTCCAAGCAAATAGTGTTGTTGGAATCCAGGATCAGACCTTATTTCCTTTGTAACATTAAAAAAATTTATATTCTGACAGCAAAAATGAATGTAAATGTAATAACTAGAAAAACCAACTTGCCCGAATATATTAAGAAAAATAACAAAAGTGTTTCTATAAGAAATTCATAAAAAACACTCTGAGTGAAAGAAAAACTTTTTTTTCTGGTCCAACATAACCTTAGAGACATTAATGCTGAGACTGACAGTTTTTAGTTTTTTAGTCGAAAAAAAAAAATACAACTATTGACCCCAGTTAATAAACGTCGATTGATGGATTTCACTCAGTGGCTCCTCCCTCTGACCTCCAAGGACCTCCATGCCAGAAGTCCTCACTCCCCTAAACTTCTTTTTTTTTCTTTCTTTTTTTTAACAGTGTCCTGTCTGGCAATGTGGCAATAAGAATAATTGTCTTGATGCCAAAAAGAGCCCAACAGATTTTCCTTTCACCAGTGGAGCAGTACGGCTATCGCCATATAGCTCCACTTGTTTCATGCATATAAATTGCTTTATTATAATTATGCAGGGAGTTTTACAGTTTATATGGACACTGCAATGTAAGCAGAGCAGAAAAACAGAAGAAGAAAAGAAAAAGTGAAAAGATGAAAGAAAGAGGAGATAGAAAGGAGACAATGACAAAACATTTTCAGTCTGCTTCATCACCTGCAATGAGATGAAGAAAGAACAGCCCAACCGAAAGACATGGTACGAGATATAAAGCAACACCTTGAAACTATCACTAAAGTAATATTATTAAGTCTGACATGTACTCTGTGTTCCCTTAAACTTCTAAACGGGGTACTGAGGCTGGACTGCCCCCCCCCTGGGTAATACCTGACCCTTCTGACGATCGATGACCTCGGAAAAAATCAGTCGCAGGAGAATCCTGCCCTCACAACGACAAATAGTAGTCGGCAAAAAGTATTCTACTTTTCACCCCAGTTAAATAAACGGAGATCGATGGATTTCACTCAGTCTGCGTTTTATTTTCATATCTTTGCAAAGAGGGAACAGTTCATCATGCGGCCCTTAATGCATCGTAATCCTGTTCTGATCTGAACAGCGTTCGTTCCTCCTTACTGACAATCATGGAAATTAGTCAGAGTCAAAACTAATTACAGACACTTTGGTTAAACAGCAACATGTTATGAATAAACCTGAGAAATAATCTGGTTTGTTATGGGAAGAAGCTACGTCTACAAACATCCTCACTCTGGGGAATTGTTTGGCCTTTAAGTTGAAACAGACTGAGTGAAAACTTTTATAGTGAGTAAATAGCATCAATTTATATTTGAAATAAGAAAAATCTAAGTTTTACAACCACAGTTTATAAACCTAAATAGAATTGTTAACTAGGCTTATTAACTTTTTAAGTTTCCAATTAATTCTTCAATTCTTGACTTAACTTTTTTTTCAAACTTAATTTCCAGCAGGTAATCTATCATTCAAGGGATCATCTAACTGGTCAAATGCAAAAATTAGATGTACAGTCAGGTAGCAGGATCTTTTCTGAATGGATGGATATAGATCTAGTGCTTCTAGACCTGAGGTGAGGGATGGGGGGGGGGCTCTATTAGTGATTAAAAACAGTAGCTTCCCATTAAGTTGGAAAGAAAAGTTAAGTAAAAAGAAGGGAAAGGGGCCAATTGAAAAGTTAGTAAGTAAAAAAAAAAAAAAAAAGTATTATTCCCTGCATCTAAAATGTTGTTTTATATATACATTAGGGCACGTTTCCTTTTATTGTTGTTAGGTTGACTTAAATTTTTTTCCATCTAAATATCCATATTTTCTAAATGTTACAAAAGCAATAAGTTGTTGGTCTGTTCTATAAAAACACTCTTAGCTTAAAATGTTTTATTTTCCAAGGATTTCACGGAGTGCTCTATGAAGGTTTAAAGAGGCCTTTCTGATGATACTGCCCCCCTGTGGCTAAATGAATTTATTTTATTAGATCATGTCTCTCACAGAGGACATGAACCTTTTCAGACGCCTCCATGATTTCTAGGAGGGGGAACGTGCAAAAAAGCAGGAAGTTCAAATATTCCTGACTGTATATAAATCACCTGTGCAAAGCAAAGCTGAACAGAACAGGTAAAACAAAGTAGAAAAATCACCAAGTAAATCATTTATTTTATGTTCAATTTTAATAATTGTTCCAGAACCGTTTGTTTCTGTATCTTTAAAAGGTGTCCGTCATTAGAGCAACTTGACTAGTGGTTGACGGCTGGCAGCCATGTTTGTTTCCATCCAGCAGTGACCTCTGATCATCTCCCTGGTTTCAGGTGTTGAACCTGAAACCCTGGACGAGTGGAAGCTTCTGCTGCAGCTCTCTCAGCAGTACTGCGGTGTGGCGGCTGCACCGCCGGCCGCAGACGTTAACGGGACCGGCTGGTCCAACGGTTCCACAGACTGCCAGGGACGGATCACCCCGGAGAGCCTGACCCTGATGCTGGCTCGCACGGTGGGGCCGGACCGGGCCCTGGCGCTGCTCCATGAATGCGGAGTTCAAGTGGTCCTTTCCCCCCATTCCAAACTGGTGTGTGACCTGCTGAGAGTCACGGAGAAGCGGCAGAGGTGGGTCAGGCTCCAACGTGATATATTTCTATAGATTCAACCCTTTATAGTCTTTTTCTATGTCTGCTTCTGTCTCCTTGAACCCCAGTGGGCCTCAGCAGATGGCCGCTCACACTGAGCCTGGTTCTGCTGGAGGTTTCTTCCTGTTCAAAGGGAGTTTTTCCTCTCCACTGTCGCTACAAGCATGCTTAGTGTGAGGGATTGCTGAAGAGTCAATGAGTCGATGCAATCAGCTGGTTTTCCTTAGATAGAAAACTTTGAATCAATCTGACTGGATGATCTGGTGAACTGGAAAGTGACCTGAGATGACATGATGTGAATTGGAGCTATAGAAATAAACTGAATAGAATTAGATTATAGAGCAAGTTGCCGTCGTTGATCACTGCATCCCCCTTACAAATGGAGTCCCCTCCCAGTCCCTCAGTGAGGCCTAGAAGCACTAGATCTATATCCAGCCATAGAGCATAGATCTTGCTACATGGCTGCACATGTTATGTTGGCATTTTACCAATTAGATGATCCTTTAATGATAGATTACCTACTGGAAATTAAAAAAAATAAAAAATAAAAAATGTTTTAAAGCTACTTGTAAAGTTAAAAAGTTAATAAGCCGAGTTAACGATTATATTTAGGTTTATAAACTAATAATGTGCCAGTATCAGCATTAATGCCTCTAAGGTTACGTTGGACCAAAATGTGTTTTTCATGAATTTCTTCTAGAAGCAAGTTGTTTTTTCTTCTTATTACATTGGAATTCATTTTGACATCAAAATATCCAGATTTTTTTTACGTTCCAAAGGTAATAAGGTCCTGGATTCAATAACACTATTGGCTGGAAGGGTTGATTTTCAAAGTATTTCACTGAGGATCCTATAAAAGGTTGAAACTAATGTATCATTTAACTTATTTTTCTAAGAAAATCTGTTTTTTCTTCTTTCTGTTTTTCAGGGCGATGATTCAGACCATGCTGGAGCGGTGCGATCGGTTCCTCTGGTCTCAGCACGCCTGAATGCTGACCGGTGCATCATTCGCTGACTCAGCACCTTTTAAACTCTCCTCAGCTCTTCAAGATAAAATCTTATTTATTCCACCCAGGCCAAAACGATGCACTTGTGCTTTAGTGAGAAATGTTGTCTTTTCCTTTAAAGCAGCGCCTCGTCGCTTCTGTCAGTATTCATGCGCTTGTTTGCATCATTCTCTGTCTATTTCTGTTTTTGCATGCTTGTACGAGTACTAATATAGATGCTGTAACTTATCTTTCTGTTGTTGAAGGCCAAAGAAATCAGTCTTCCTGCTATGAAAATAAATACTTGAAGTAATTAAAGGGTTGTGTTAAAAGCAAGTTTTATCAGGTGAATAAAGTCGTCTGTGAAAATTTAAGAGATTGAAGGTTTTTACTCAACTCAACTCAAACTTTATTTATAAAGCACATTTAAAACAACCGGGGTTGACCAAAGAGCTGTACAGGAATCACAGTTAAGGAACATAAGATAAAAACTGAAGGCTAAAATACATAAACACATAAAAATAGAATAAGATAAATGTTTCAATTAAAATACATTTTAGAATAAAATAAACTTTCAAATAAAATGTTGCCAAATGTCCACTTAGACATGATTAAAAGCCAGGGATTGTATTCATGTCATGGCTGCACAAAACAAGGTCTAACTTAAACCCTGATGGAAAACTATGAGTAAGATTGATTTAATGATTGAATGATTGACTTTATTGATCTCACAGTGGAGAAATGTTCTCGTTTCTTCAGCTCAAATAGTCAAAGACAAGAAGAATGTGACAAAGAAAAAGGTGCATGGGGTATATACAGATATATATACAACAAGTAATTTTTTTCTTTAAAAAAAGTGAGACACTTTGCAAATGAAATGAAACAATTTACACTAAAATAAGAAAAGATTATTGCTTTGTCTTATTTCAAGTGCATATTGTCTAATTTTCTTATTTTAAGGTTAAAAATACTCATTCCATTCGCAGATCATCATATCTACATATTCAAATTAAGAGTACATACTTAATTTAACACATTTTTACTTATTTCTAGATTTTTTTTGCAATGTATTATCCAGGGTTATTGCACATGGTGTTTATATAGATGGATATTTATATATACAGTTATTTCACAGGGTATTTAATAGTAATTATTCTCCATTGCAGCAGTTATTGTGGTTGTAATGCTGCATTGTAGAGTCTGGTTGCAGCAGGATGAATGACCTGCAGTGGCGCTCCTTTTTTCAAACAGGCTGTAAAAGTCTTTGACTAAAGGAGCTGCTCAGCTCCTCTCCAGTCTGCTGCAGAGGGTGGAAGGTGGCGTCCATGATGGATGGAAGCTTGGACAGCAGCCTCCTCTCAGCTACTGAGTCCAGAGTGCAGCCTAGGACAGAAACGGCCTTTCTCAGCAGGTTGTTCAGTCTCTTTCTGTCCCGCTCTGAGCTGCCAGGGGCCCAGCAGACAACAGCGTAGAGGAGGGCTGATGCCTCCTCAGAGTCAGAGAAGGTTTGAAGCAGGAGCTGCTCACTGCAAAGGACCTCAGCCTCCTCAGGAGGTGGAGGCAGGCGGCTCTGGGCCTCCTTCTGCACCCCGTCGCTGTTATGAGTCCAGTTTATTATTGAGGTGAACACCCAGGGATTAAAACTCTCCACAGTTTCTACAAGGTTACAAATGCATCAACTAACTGCATCCAGTTAGACTGAAAAACGAAAAGTTAAAATGCTCTGAGAATCTGAACATCTAGAAGCCAAAGTTTAAACCGTTCCTTCCTCTTTTATCGACCCAATGTTCAATAAAATGACACATTTAAAATTAGCCGTACCTTAGCCGTACATTCTGCTGTGACCAAGTGCAATATAAAAAAAGGAAATTACTGCAAAAATTTACAGAGAAAGACGATTAAATGAAAACAGATTAGTTTGAACTCTGGTGTTGCATTAAAAACCTGAAAGTAAATGTTTTAGCTGAAAGACAAGTTTTCCATAACTGCCCCCCCACACACACACACACACATAATGTGTTTTTTTAATAAGGGAGCAGATTGTCTCTGATCTTCTAGCATTAGAGGATGAGTAATGTAGGTCAAATGAGAGAAAATGACTCAGAGAGAAATGAAATGAGGTCAGTGACCCATTTGATGTTATCACACACCTGCAGCAGCAGAGAGGAGCTTTCTGATGCGTCACGTTTGACTTTTAAAGACTGAAACTTGGCTAATTCACTGAGTGACGAAGACCAGAGTAATTAACTGATACCCCCCCCTTAATGTCACGTTTTGCTTCTGGTTATTTCCCAGAATCCTCTGCCTTTCCCGTCTTCCCGCTCATCCACCTGTCATTGGCATCGAGACGATCAGATGTGAACTGGTTGCAGGACACAGAAATCTATTGTATAAAATATAAAAGAATTCAAACTTTAAACCTTTTTCCATTATTTTTTATTATTTATTTTCTTTACATCGCAGCTCTCTGTTTAAAACTATTTTGTTGGGATTCATTTCCAAATAAACACAGAATATAGTAGATCATGGTTTTGAGCGTTGTATTAAAAAGATTTATTCTATTCAGTTTATTTCTATAGCTCCAATTCCCATCATGTCATCTCAGGTCACTTTCCAGTTCACCAGATCATCCAGTCAGATTGATTCAAAGTTTTCTATCTAAGGAAAACCAGCTGATTGCATCGACTCATTGACTCTTCAGCAATCCCTCACACTAAGCATGCTTGTAGCGACAGTGGAGAGGAAAAACTCCCTTTGAACAGGAAGAAACCTCCAGCAGAACCAGGCTCAGTGTGAGCGGCCATCTCACCAAAAATACAGCTTTTCAAAAAAATAGAATTAAAATCAATCCACTGGACTTTGTTTCCAAGTTTGAAGACGTTTCTCTTCCATCCAGGAAGCTTCTTCAATTCAAAATGTCAGAAATAGCATTTAGTTCCAGGTTTTATCCAGCAGCCCAACAAAGCCTGGTTTTAGTTTAGAAAACATGGAATGGGGACCAGAATGTTCACATTTTGGACAAAGCAGACAGGTTGTTTGAGAGGGACGTGAAGGAAGCCATCTATGATAAGAAAGAAAAACCAACCTCAAACAGAGGGGGGGTTAATTAAAAATCATTGGGGTCCGAATAAAGAAAATCATCAACCCATTAAAGGTCCGGAGACATTTTTAATTATAATCTGTTACTTTAAACATAATTTAAAACTAAAATAAAATGAGGTTTTTATGCATCCATGTTATACATTGATTTTTTAAATAGAAAAAATATATATAAAAAAAATCTAAAGTGTTTATTTTTTAAGTGGAGAAGAACAATCGTTGTTAATTAGAGATATTGGTTTATAATTGGTTCGGCAGCGTCTTTCACCTGGGATTACTTTTGATATTTTAATTTGATTGGGGAAATGAAAGACAAATTGAAAATGTGGCCTAATGGGTTCCTAATGAAGATCAACCGTGTGTTTATTTCGCCTCCACATCCCAGCTCTGTCTTTAAGATGATTGAAGGCTTTTTTTAAAGGAACCTTCTTGGGTGAAACACTTTTTTTTTCTCCAACTATTAATAACGTCATATCATAATCAGACATGTCGGCTCTCTCATCTTCAGTCTCTGTTCTTATGAGGTTTAAACATGAATTTATTGGAAACGTTGGCTTGACAGAAAGTTTTCATCATGGGTGAGAAGACAGATTTGGAAGGTTGTGGGTTCGAGGCAGGGAGTCAACTGTTTGATGTTGCCTCTCTGTCACCAGAAGCAGAGATAAGGAGATTCTGCACATACCTGCTGCCTCTGTATACAAAGCATCCCCAACACTCAGAGCCCATCACTGGGAAACCTGCCGCCTCCAGGGACGAGTCAGAGAGAGGTCTCCTGTTAGAAGCCTGGCCGGCATACAGAGCACCCAGAGTGAGTTTTTCTCTTTATTCTCAATATTTTAGTATTAATTTCATTTAGCAGCATCATATCCTTTGCTTGAATCACTTCATTTCAGATGTTTGCATCTGTGGTTGGACTTGCTGTTGTCCTAGTCACGTTTCCAGAGCACGGTGCATTTAGTAAAGTCTTCAACAGAACCTCAGGTAGGAGTTTCAGCTGATTATTTCCAATAAGTTCTCCTCTGACTGCCCCTTTGTTTACAGAAACCGCCTATTTGGGTTCAGCGTTTGTTCACCTAGCTCTTCAGAGAGCGATTGATCTGACGGATGCTGCTTATGCTCACACTAGAGAGAGGTATCATCTCCTAATATCGGTTTAACAGGAGCCTGAAAACGTCTCACTGGAAAACTGTTCTCATTTTTTTAGGGTGAAGAAGTCGTTTTCTGAAGGAGCTCTGAGACCAAGTGACCTGCTGGCCCAGTTTAAACAGGTGGAAACCAGAACCAGGACTCACATTCGCTCTGCTGAGCTGCTGGAAAACACAGTGGAGCTGATCAGAGAGATGGTCTACACCAGCACCATGCTGCAGCCCAGTCCATCTGGTATCAAACACATTTCAAATCTGATTACACTGCAAAAACAATCTAGATAGAAGTCAACATTTCTTAAATTAAGTGTAATTAGCCTTAATTTGAGTAGAAAACTAAGATTTACCAATGGAATGAGTATATTTCCTCTAAAAATAAGATAATTAGATATTATGCACTTGAAATAAGACAATGCAATTGTTTTTTCTTAATTTAAATGTAAATTGTCTTGTTCCAAGTTTTTGACTTACCTTCTCAATTTAAGAAAAAAATACACAAATTTTAAGAAAAACTGACTTATTGAGATTTCATTTTTTTCCACTTTCAGAGTATTTAATGTCTGTTTAATGTCCCATGTAGATTCAGGGAATTAAAAAAATAATAATAATGAAGGACCTATAAATGTTTATGTGTTTTCCAAAAAAAGTAAAAAAAAATCATTTCACTGGACTTTGTTTCCAAGTTTGAAGACATTTCTCTTCCATCTACACTGCAAAAACGATCCAGAAATAAGTAAAACATCTTAAATGAAGTATATTTACCCTTAATTTGAGCAGGTAAATAAGATGATCTGCCAATGGCGTGAGTATTTTTACTCTTTAAATAAGATAGTTAGATAATATGCACTTAAAATAAGACAATAATATTGTTTTTTTCTTATTTTAAAAGGACGTCTTGTTCCATTGGCAAAGTGTCTCACTTACCTCCTCAATTCAAAGAAAACTGCTTTTATTTTAAGAAAAAATAACTTATTGAGATTTCTATTTTCGCGGTGCAGGAAGCTTCTTCAATTCAAAATGTCAGAAATAGCGTTTAGTTCCAGGTTTTATCCAGCAACCCAACAAAGCCTGGTTTTAGTTTAGAAAACATGCAAATAGAAACGGATGAACGGGTCCCCCCCCCCTTTGGAAAAAAAGTCCAGTGGATTGTTTTTCATTTATTTTGGAATGACTATAACCTGGTTGACTGAGAATCTTCACCAGCAGACGAGTGTTTTATCCCATCTGTCCTCAGAGCTTCTGAGTGAAGGGGACGTGGAGGACCTGCTGCAGGTGACGGGCTGCTCCACGGAGCTGCACTCGCCCAGCTGTCAGACGGACTGTCTGTCTGAGCGCTACAGGTCCATCACAGGAGAGTGCAACAACAGGTGAGATCACATGGCTGCATGTGATTCAACTCCTTACAAAATAATTGTACCAGGGCCGTTCAATAAGAAATACTCCTGACCCACTTCCAGTTGCTTCAGCTAGATGAAATTTTGCAGGTGGAATTATTTAGATCTCTATAGATTAAGTGGAAAATTAAAGCTCTGAACTAACAGTGGTTTCTGATTTAGAGCCTGTTACTGAGCAGTGATCTGGTTTTCCTTTGGCCTCAAAAGGCCGTATGATGAAGCATCATCACCATAAATTACTGTCATTTAATCAAAAGTCTCCTGTTCGTCCTTTCAAATACAAAAAACTGATTTTGTATTTGAAGGTCACATTTTCTAAAGCTGCAGCTGATCATTTTATAGTATTTTATGGGTTTAACCTTCTGCCTTAAAACAGGTGCAAACACCTTTTTTACATGCAGAGTAGATCTTTTCTCTACGGTTGATGCGATTCGGTGGATGTAGAAGATTCTCCTTCAATTTTGGTTTATTTCATAAAGTTCCATCAAATTTCTGCCTGTTCTGTGTCTCCTTCAGGGAGCATCCAAAATGGGGTGCTGCAAACATCCCGTATTCCCGCTGGCTGCCTCCAGAATATGAAGATGTGTGGGGGACACCCAGAGGCTGGGAGCCCAAACACACCTACCACAATGTCAGCCTGCCTCCTGTAAGGGTCCCACTGCTGCACACACTCACCCTCCCTCCACCTCAGACTCCATCAGTTCTCCTCTAACTTATCCCGCAGGTACGGCTGGTGTCACAGGAAGTTCTGTTCACCCACAATGATAAAATCTCGGCAGACTCCTCTCTGTCCCACCTGCTGGTGGACTGGGGTCAGTGGATCGATCACGACATGGTGCTGACCCCTCAGAGCCCCAGCACAGCCACCTTTAAGACGGGTGACGACTGCACCCGCAGCTGCAGCCGGGACTCACCCTGCTTCCCTATTCAGGTGAGCTTCACTCGCCCTGGAGCACAACTTCAAATCTGTAAATCACCGACAGCAAGCACCTCAGTCCTTTGCTCCCCATCCCCGTAATCCTCCCTCTGCCTGCTCCATCACTCTGCCACACATGTAGGTTTTTGGGGAGGGGGTCGTTACTGGAAAGCCACACCTTCTGATGACGTCCCCCACCCCAATTTTATTTTGCATTTTAGACACTTCCATCTATCATTTTCACAACACACATCTATGTAGGGCATTTTTGGGGGGTGGGGGTCAGGGCCACCGGGGGCGTGCTTATTTTATGGGTGAGGTTGAAGCGGACTTTCTTTTTTTTTTTTTTTTTTTCGGGGAGGGGGGCGGTTCTGGTTGGGTGGCCGGCGCGGGATGGGGGGGCCCCGGTCCCGGGGGGGGCTCTTGCTGGGGGTGGTCAGGTCCGTGTGCGGGGTGGGGGGCCGGGCTTGAAGCAGGAAGGAGATGGGTAGGTTCACTTATTGGGTCATCCGATAGTCCCGGGACCGACCACCGGTGTCACCGGGGTTTTGGTCCTGGTATTATTGGATGTGAGTGTTATGTGTGAATGTGTGTCCGCGTTGTTATTTTCTTTATTTATTCTTATTATTATTATTTTATTTAATTAATTAATTTATTTATTTTTTTCTCTGTGGTACGAGTGGGGGCACTAGGGAGGGAAGGCATGACTGAGATGGTGTGTTTTTTTTCGTTTTTTTTTTTTGTTTTGTTTTTTTTTTCCCAGGTTGGGGTCTCAACCGCACCCTCTCCCAAATACATCTCAAGTCTCCGCTAAGTGCGGAACCCATTCCCCCCGTCCTGCTCTCCCTCCGCTGGCTGGCGTCGGGGCTCACCGGTGCACTGGTGGAGCTGGGGGTGGATGCCCGGGGGGCTGCTGGCTCATTCCTGGCGGCCTCTCCGCTGGCCCCGGCCGGCCGGGGCTTTGCTGGGGCTCCTGTCTGGGGGTCGGGTGCCCTTGGGGCCTCGGATCCCTGGGGCCCGGGACTGGATCCGCTTCGGGGTGGGGCTGGGTGTTGTTCGGGGATTTTCGGTGTCGGTGCCGGTGCCTTCGCTACGATGCCGGTTCCTGGGCGGTGTTTCTTTCCTATGCCGGTTCTGTGGTATCGGTTCGGGGGGGAGGGGAGCTGCACGGCATGGTGGAGTGCGAGTCTTGGGTCATATTTTGGGCTCCGATTTTTCCGCTCCCATTTCTCCTCTTGCATATTTATTTTAATTGTAATTATTAATTTATTAATTAATTTATTTACTCATTTATTATTATTAATATTATTATTTTTTTTTTCTTCTTCCTCGGTGGGGGGGAGTGGTTGCAGGCGGGTCGGTGTCTGGTGTCCACTGTCGCATTGTGGGGGCTCCTTTTTTTTTTTTTTTTGGGGGGGGTTTGGCATGTCTGTTTTCTCGGGGGGCAGGCGGGCCTGCTGGGTGGGGGTCCTGCTGGCAGCGCGCCGCTGGTGTGTGGGGGTCTGGGCGGCTGCGGCGGGGGTGGTGTTGGGGGGCCGGTGTGGGCGGGCTGGCTGCGCTGATTGGGTATTCGGGTGGGTTTTCCCTCTTGGAGGCATGGCGGAGCTGCTCTGTTACCGCTGATCGCGGCGGGTGAGGCTGCGGGGCGGGTGGGGGTTGGAGTGGCTCTGGCCGGCGCGCGTTGGGGGGCCGGGGCGGCGGCGCTGCTCTGGCCGCGTGTCAGGGCCTGGTGCGGGCGGCGGGGGGGGGGACGTGGCTGTGCTGCTTTGGCTTCGTCCGGTGGGGGAGCGGCGTGGTTCGCTCCGCTCTGGCTTTGTGCTGCCCCTCGGGCTGCGGGGGGGGGTGGTTGCGCCGGCTGCGGTCTGCTCTTCTTGCGGGTTTGCGCCGGGCGGCTTTTCTGCTCTTGGGCTGGGGGGCTTCTTCGTGGCTGCCTCTCCTCCTCCCTTGGTGGGGGTCTGATTTCCGGGGCTGGCCCCTCCTTGGTGCCTTCGCTTCTGGGGTCCCCTTGGGCGCCCGGGGCTTTGGGTCTCCCGGCGCTGGACTCAGTGCTCTGGGGGGTGTGCCTCTCCGGCTCTCCACAACCACTATTGAGCATTTTTTCTATGGTTAAAACTTTACATGCACAAGTTCACCCTCACAAACAATTACAGGTGCTAGGCTCCAGGTACTCAGAGATTCACTTCCAAACAGAAACCCCACATTCATATCTTCAGGTAACACAGAGTACATGTCAGACTTAATAATATTACGTTAGCGATATTTTCAAGGTGTTGCTTTATTGTATATCTCGTACTGTGTCTTTTGGTTGTGCTGTTCTTTTTTCATCTCATTACAGGTGATGAAGCAGACTGAAAATGTTTTGTCATTGTCTCCTTCCTATCTCCTCTGCAATAAAAAGTAACTTAAATGACAGTTAACTCGCTGTTTGATGAAAACCATAACAGACAGCATTTGAAAAACAAACAGCATCATGAAAACCAAGAAACACTTCAGGCAGGTCAGAGAAGAAATGCTAAATTCATCATCCAAAAATGGTTAGAGTGAAAAATAAGTGAGAAAACCGAATATAAACGGTGACAAGAACACTAGTTGTGTTCGGATATTTGAGGAAAAAACGTACAGATTTCTAGCTCTAATGACCTAATAAGGTTTATTATTTAAAACATGATTCAGTTTATTTCAATTGTGCATTTTATTTTTATTTTCCTGCTTTGTGTTTTTCTTTCATTATCAAATAAAACTTGGGGGAAAAAACTAGAAAAAACACTCAAAGGGTGCAGAGCTCCACCAACCAGATAATTTCACCCAGAATTGTGACTTAAAGGTATAGTGGAGGCAGGGGGGGATTTAATATTAGTTAATAGTAGGTAGTTGCTTAGGACCCCAAGTTCCTGGGGGCCCCATTGAAGCCAATTCCTTTCTCTAAAATGCCATCAGAACGCTGATAATATTAAGTGTGTCTCAGCCCCCCCCCTTCAGTGTCCACCATATTGGATCAGTCCATTTGCTGCACATGTTCAGAAAGGTCCAAACAGACAGCAGCAAACCATTTGAAAACAAACCATGCAAAGAGCAGTGTTGCCAACTTAGCGCTTTAGTCGCTATATTTAGCCACTTTTCAGACCCCTCTAGCACTTTGATTTCTAAAAAGCTCCTAGCGCCAAATCTAGAGACTTTTTTCTCTAAGAAAATCCTCCACTATACCTTTAAATCTATGGCTAAAACTCACAAATGTTCTGGAAAATTACCAAATATAAATGAACTGTTCGTTGGCACGAGGGGCACCTCGGGTAAAAACAATGACATAAAATCTGTTCACAAGTTTTCAGTTGATCCTGCTAACAAACAAACAAACATGGTTCCCTGAGTCCGATGCTGACAATACTCACTGCTGCCCCCCTCTGGTTAAGCAGGAAACTGCTAGTTCTGCAAAATATCATTATCTAACAATGTTAGAGAATCTTAAAAAAAAATCCCTGAATCCAGATTATGACCTGGATCATCACCAAAATGTAAAAATTTCCCATTTTCCCAAATGTAAAAAGTTAATCAGTTTCAGCTGCTTTGGTGTTAATGGAATGAACAACAGGTGAACTACAGGAATGGTTTTAAAGGTGGAGGCCACTGACATTTTCCCCTCCTCATCTTTTCTGACTCTTTTTCACCAGTTTTGCATTTGGCTAGGGTCACTGTCATTACTGTTAGCATGAGGCGCTACCTGGACCCTACAGAGGTAGCACAGGCAGTCCAACTCCTCCAGGATGGCGCATCAATACGTGCCATTGCCAGAAGGTTTGCTGTGTCTCCCAGCACAATCTGAAGAGCATGGAGGAGATTCCAGGAGACAGGCAGTTACTCCAGGAGAGTTGGACAGGGCCGCAGAAGGTCTACAACCCATCAGCAGGACCGCTATCTGCTCCTTTGTGCAAGGAGGAGCAGGAGGAGCACTGCCAGAGGCCTACACAATGACCTCCAGCAGGCCACTGGTGGGAATGTCTCTGACCAAACAATCAGAAACAGACTCCACCAGGGTGGCCTGAGGGCCCCACGTCCTCTAGTGGGCCCTGTGCTCACTGCCCGGCACCGTGGAGCTCCATCTGCATTTGCCGCAGAACACCAGAATTGGCAAGTCGGCCACTGGCGCCCTGTGCTTTTCACAGATGAGAGCCGATTCACCCTGAGCACATGTGACAGACATGAAAGGGTCTGGAGAAGCCGTGGAGAACGTTCTGCTGCCTGTAACATCGTTCAGCATGACCGGTTTGGTGGGGGGTCAGTGATGGTCTGGGGAGGCGATACCCCAGGACGCCATCCGTCGTCTCATTAGGAGCATGCCCTGACGTTGTCAGGCATGGATACACGCACGTGGGGGCCATGCAAATGGCTGAATATTATTTTGAGTTGCTGCAATGAAATTTCATCAAAATGGACTAGCCTGCAGCATCATTTTTTCACTGTAATTATTGGGGTGTCTTTGAATTCAGCACATCACCCAGTCCATATCAGGATAAATAAACAGCAGGATTTTTTCCCTGATTGAGTTCTGATGGGTTTTCAAAGTGTTCCTTTAATTTCTTTGAGCAGCGCATATATAAAGTAAGATTGCTGAATTTCCCTGGATAAGTGTTTCTCCAGCAGCTCCAGTCTAATCCTTTCCCCCAGATCCCCTCTTCTGATCCTCGCAGCGGCATCCAGAGCTGTATGCCTTTCTTCCGCTCCGCTCCCAGCTGTAACAGCAGAGTCCTGCCTCGTTCCCACCGAGAGCAGCTCAATGCCATCACCTCCTTTGTAGATGCCAGCATGGTGTACGGTAGCTCCCCCAGTTTGGCTTCAGCTCTCAGGAACCTCTCGTCACCTCTGGGCTCCATGAACCTCAACTCCCAGTTCTGGGATGAGGAGCTGCCCTACATGCCATTCCTGCCCCGCGTGCAGGCTCACCTGGACCCCTGCGGCCCCCGTAACTCCACCACTTTGGGGCCATCTAGTAGATCTCCGCTCCTAGAGAACACCACTTCATGCTTTCATGCAGGTGAGTGAAAAAACTTCTAAATCATCCAACCGTTTGCAGATATTAAGTCCTTTTTTTATGAATGCTTACATTTGCAGGGGATTCAAGAGTTAATGAGCATCTGGGACTGATTGTGCTGCACACACTTTTTCTGAGGGAGCACAACAGGCTGGTGAAAGAGCTGCACCAGCTCAACCCTCACTGGAGTCCAGAGACCCTCTACCAGGAAGCGAGGAAGATCATAGGAGCCATTCACCAGGTGTTTACAGCAGCTTCAGCTGGACCCAGAGCAGCGTTGGCATTTTAGGCCTTTTTGAAAGAATACTTCTTTTATCAGCCTTGTATGCTGGTGAAGATGCTCAGTCATCCAGGTCATATTTATTCCAAAAACTTCCACTAGCTTTTTCTATTCAAAATGTCAGGAATAGCGTTTAGTTCCAGGTTTTATACAGTAGCTCAACAAAGCCTTGTTTAGAAAAAATAAACTTTAGAATGGCTCAACACAGGAGAGCGCCCTCCTCTGGACAAGACTCTGCACTACATCTACACCTGATGGACAAAGGACATTCTTTGGAGGACCAGAATGTTCACATTTTGGAAAAAGAAGACAGGTAGTTTGAGAGGAAGGAAACCATCTTTGTTAAGAAAGAAAAACCAACCTTAAAGGGGGGGGGGGGGGGGATCTCAGATTTCAGCTTTCAAAAACCTGCAATGCAGCAATAGAGTTGATTCCTTCCCGCTTTCATCGCAGCTCCAACCCCTTTACAGGAGAACAGAAGACCTCACCTATTCAGCCAGGCCAACTATTCCCTCTAACGACCCCCCCTTTCAGAGACATAGACAGGTATGGGGCATTGCAGGCTAACAAAGAAGCCAAACGACCCCCATTCCAAAGGGGGGGACCCGTTCATCCGTTTCTATTTGCATGTTTTCTAAACTAAAACCAGGCTTTGTTGGGCTGCTGGATAAAACCTGGAACTAAACGCTATTTCTGACATTTTTAATTTAAAAAGCTTCCTGGATGGAAGAGAAACGTCTTCAAACTGGGAAACAAAGTCCAGAGGATTGATTTTTTTACTTTCTGGGGAATCATCAGTCTTGTATTTTTTCTTTTAGTTTAGTTTTATAGAAAACAGGACCACAGACCACAAGTGACCTAATATTAAAAACCTTGTTTGGACACCATTTAATTCAGTCAGTTTAATATCGGTTTATAAGGAAATATTTGACTATTTTTCACGGTGCAAAACCTGTAGCCACTCAAATGTTCAATCATTAAAAATAAATAAATGAATATTTATTCACCTTATGAAATTTTAACCTCAACACAATTTCATAGATAAAGGTTTGGACACCACTCTATCCTTTATAGCTGAATACCTGTTTTTCTAGCAGTCCAGCTAAATCAAACTTGTTAAGAATTCCAAATATTAGGGGCTTTTTTTAAGATATCTTATATTTTCCAATTGGAGTCTTTTTTAAAGAACCACAAGAAAAACAGAAAACTTTGCAGTCCTCCCTGGACCTCTAAATAAATAGAGGAATAGAATTTACTTCAATCAGAAGTTGGTATTTGTTGTAAATCATAAAGCAATAAAAATAAAAATAAATGTAGAAATATAACACTGGTACTTTTCTTACAGTTCCTAACTTCCTTTTTCCAGATCCTAACCTGGGAGCGCTACTTGCCACGAGTGCTGGGTGAGGGCGCCATGACCCGGCTGATGCCGCCCTACCAGGAGTATGATCCAGACATGGACCCAAGTATCGCCAACACCTTCGCTACTGCCGCCTTTCGTTTTGCACACGTCACCATACAGCCCATGGTGACCCGGCTGGGTCCAGAGTACACCCTTAACCCCAAATATCCTCCTCTGCCTCTTCATCACTCACTGTTTGCCTCCTGGAGGGTCGTGGAGGAAGGTGAAGGAGGTCCTATAACTAAACTCACCTGCATTGGTTAAGTTTTAGTGTTTTATTCTCTCCTGGCGTTTCATTAGGGGGTATTGACCCTGTGCTGCGAGGCATGCTGCTCTCTCCCGCCAAGCTGCAGACTGCAGGTCAGATGATGGTGGAGGAGCTCACAGAGAAGCTGTTTCAGGCACACGGAGGGATGCCTCTGGACCTGGGAGCGCTGAACCTGCAGAGGGGCCGGGACCACGGCCTGCCTGGTAACCAGCTTTTATAGTTCAGACACAGAGAAGCTTTATCACTGTACTTTGATGACCCTTAACCCCCGATGGCTCCCTGGGTGCTGCATCATCGCAGCCCCACCCCCTTTACAGGAGAACAGAAGACCTTCAGCCAGGCCAGCAATTCCCTCTAACGACCCCCGTTCCAAAGGGGGGGACCCGTTCATCCGTTTCTATTTGCATGTTTTCTAAACTAAAACCAGGCTTTGTTGGGCTGCTGGATAAAACCTGGAACTAAACGCTATTTCTGACATTTGGAATTGAAAAAGCTTCCTGGATGGAAGAGAAACGTCTTCAAACTTGGAAACAAAGTCCAGTGGATTGATTCCATGAACTCATAGATTATAATGTGGGTTTGCATTATTAGCTACGGTTCTGGCGTCTTTTGGGATCATAATTTATCTGAAAACTTAAATCTATTTCATAAATATTGCTGCATTATAGCTGCTTTAAAGTCTAAACACATGAGATAGAAATGATGCATTGTTGTTGCTTTGAACTGTGTAGAGCAGGCATCCCCAAACTCGGTCCTCGAGAGCCGCTGTCCTGCAGGTTTTAGATGTTTCTCTGCTCCAGCACAGCTGATTTTAATTAATAGTTGATTAACAGGCTTTTGCTCTACTGCAATCATTATAATCAGCTGTGCTAAAGCAAGGAAACCTCTAAAACCTGCAGGACAGCGGCCCTCGAGGACCGAGTTTGGGGATGCCTGGTGTAGAGTTTGGAAGCTGAGGCAAAAGCATTTCTTGCAAGAAATAAGGTTCAAATTTATTTAACGTCCTCAGAAGGAGAGATAGAGCTCTGACTGAGGCAAAGCTCAGTAAATACATTTATACAGCAACTCCCAACACACACTCTCCCTAGGAACTATCCCATCCCTACATAAAGAACTTTCTCACAGACGAACATTTGGTTATTCCCATGAAAAAACACTTCAATTCACCAAGGACATAAATTTTAGGCAGATAAACACTCAGAAAGAGGCTGTGAACTCATTCTTATCTCTCATGCATACAGACTGGTACAAGACTTCTAAACAATCTCCCCTATTTATGCAGAGAAAAGGCAAACTAAAAATGTTTTATCTCATAAATAGGCCAAGGAAAAATATGCTTCCACAACAGTTTCACCTGTCCTCAAGAAACCACTGAATTCTTTTTCTTTTCTGTATTTTCTTTCTCTCTCCTTTGTCGTTCATCAGGTTACAGCTCATGGCGACGGTTCTGTAATCTCTCTGCTCCCAACTCTACCTCAGAACTGGCAGAAATTTTAGGGAACTCCACCTTAGCTCATAAATTTAATGTTTTGTACGGGACCCCGCACAACATGGATGTGTGGGTGGGGGCCATATCTGAGCCCCCTCTGCCCGGGGGCCGAGTGGGACCGCTCCTGTCCTGCCTGCTGGCCAAACAGTTCAGAGCACTGAGAGACGGAGACAGGTAGGACTACAGAGGGAGCCAAACACTTATTGAAGAGGTGGACATTTTAATGGGTTTTCTTCCTTCCAGGTTCTGGTGGGAGAGGAACGGCGTCTTCACCAGAACCCAGAGGAGACACCTGCACAACGTCTCCCTGTCCCGCATCATTTGTGACAACAGCCACATCACCCATGTCCCTGCGGACCCGTTTTCACGGACGGAGAGCTCAGAGGACATGCTGACCTGTTCCCATCCACTCATCCCCCATCTGGACCTCAGCCCCTGGAAAGAGCCGCAAACCGGTGAGGAAGTGGAACTGAGGAGATGCTGAAATCTGCATTTTTAAAAATAACTGTCTCCTCCAGATCCCATCTGTGGTCCGATACCCAGGATCCACTCAGGCTACTCGCTGCTGTGCAACTCTACAGTCCTTTATGAGTGTCAGGCTGGATTCAAGCTGCTGGGCTCTCCACACATTAGATGTGATTCAGAGAGCCAGAGGTGGAGCTCGCCGCCTCCAACATGTCAAGGTGGAGGAAACATGTCTGAATCCCTCATCCTTTGCAAATTGCTAAAATGAATGAAATGATTCATTTTGCATGTTTACAGCAGGATCACTACCTCTAAACAAAGTTGGTACTAAACCTTCTCTATAGGGAGGATTGAAGAAGTATCGGTTAAAGTGCAAACTTTATTCTCTACAAAAGGGGAAAAAGTAAAAAAAATCAAGTCAGTTTTAGAGCAAATAGATTTAATATCATTTAATTTTAAAGATATATCATATCTGGTTTGCAGATATGATATATGGCTGAGTACAGTCACCATTTTACTGGATTTCTATATTGATTCTACGCTTTAAATACCAGAAGTATTCTGGATGGGGCCAGCTTTTAAAGTTGCCTTTTGTATCTATGCTTCTTTTTCTATGTCTGCTTCTGTCTCCTTGAACCCCAGTGGGCCTCAGCAGATGGCCGCTCACACTGAGCCTGGTTCTGCTGGAGGTTTCTTCCTGTTCAAAGGGAGTTTTTCCTCTCCACTGTCGCTACAAGCATGCTTAGTGTGAGGGATTGCTGAAGAGTCAATGAGTCGATGCAATCAGCTGGTTTTCCTTAGATAGAAAACTTTGAATCAATCTGACTGGATGATCTGGTTGAACTGGAAAGTGACCTGAGATGACATGATGTGAATTGGAGCTATAGAAATACACTGAATAGAATTGCGTAAAATTGCACCATGTGCATATTTTTATTTACAGTAGAATGTAAAGAAACATGTATTTGGCATGAATATGTTTTGGAAACTCTGTGCACTTTTGTAACGTTGCAAAAATGTAAAATCACCACCTGAGAAGTTCAGTTGTTAAACAATTAAAAGTTCTGGTCTGTTACATCTGGCTTAATGTTTGTGATCATTTTTGTTTTGTAGACATTAATGAGTGTGAAGGACTGGTTTCCTCTTGTCCACAGCATCTGGAATGCTTCAACACAGCAGGTTCCTTCCTTTGCTCAGGTCAGTTCACAAATTACATGTGAATACAGAACACACTAGTGACATCCTTGTGTTCTAATGGTGACCTGCTGTCATCCAGAGCCCGTCTCACTGTCTGCTGTCTCCATTGTGGCTGCGGTGATGGTGGTGATTGGTGGTGTAGCTGGGCTGGTGTTGGTCCTGATCTGTTATCGAAGGTAGGTTAGTGGAAGTTACAGACTTGGAAATGTTTTCATACATTTTTATCACATTATTAAAACCACCTCTGATTTATTTATTTTAATTATGTTTTTGTATTAATTAGATCAAAAAAATCCAAAGATTAAAATGGTTTAATAATAATAATACAAGGTTTTTAGGATAAATCTGAGAAATGAGCATGGGGTTGTGCTTCACACCTAGAGGAAATGTTGTGCAATCTGCATCCTTCGAGTTACCTAATCAGAAACCCTCAACACACTATCCACATGCTAAAACATGGTGGTGTCAGGATGGTGCTGTGGGCCTGTTTACCTTCATTAGGAAATCATGTTAAACAGAGCTTAACACAGAGGAATCATGGAAGAAAAACTATAGATGTCCAACTTGAGAAGCAAGTGCAATAACGTGCAAAAACATGCAATAACGTGCAATATTGTGCAACAATATGCAATAACGTGCAATAGCGGGCACAAACGTGCAATAATGTGCGAAAACGTGCCATAACATGCAATAACGTACAATAACATGCAATGACATGCAATAACGTGCAATAATGTGCAATAACATATGACCATGTGCAATAACGTGCAATAACATATAATCATGTGCAACAACATGTAATAACGTGCACAAACGTGCAATAACATACAATAATGTGCAAAAACGTGCAATAACATGCAATAACGTGCATGACATGCAATGACATGCAATAATGTGCAATAACGTGCAATAACGTGCAATAATGTGCAATAACATATGATCATGTGCAATAACGTGCAATAACATATAATCATGTGCAATAACGTGCAATAACATGCAATAACTTGCAATAACGTGCAATAATTTGCAATAACTTGCAATAACATGCAATAACTTGGAATAACGTGCAATAATTTGCAATAACTTGCAATAACATGCAATAACTTGGAATAACGTGCAATAATATGCAACAACTTAAAATAACATGCAATAACTTGCAATAACGTGCAATAATTTGCAACAACTTGCAATAACATGCAATAACTTGCAATAACGTGCAATAATATGCAACAACTTAAAATAACATGCAATAATTTGCAATAACGTGCAATAATGTATAATCATGCGCAATAACATGTAATAACATGCAAAAATTTACAATAACGCGCAATAACTTGCAACAACTTGCAATAATGTGCAAGATGTGTAATAATATGCAATAACATGCAATAACGTATAATGATGTGCAATAACGTGCAATAACATATAATCATGTGCAATAACGTGCAAAAACATGCAATAACTTGCAATAACATGCAATAATTTGCAACAACTTGCAATAACATGCAATAATTTGCAATAACTTTCAATAACATGCAATAACTTGCAATAACGTGCAATAATTTGCAACAACTTGCAATAACATGCAATAACTTGGAATAACGTGCAATAATATGCAACAACTTAAAATAACATGCAATAACTTGCAATAACGTGCAATAATTTGCAACAACTTGCAATAACATGCAATAACTTGCAATAACGTGCAATAATATGCAACAACTTAAAATAACATGCAATAATTTGCAATAACGTGCAATAATGTATAATCATGCGCAATAACATGTAATAACATGCAAAAATTTACAATAACGCGCAATAACATGCAACAACTTGCAATAATGTGCAAGATGTGTAATAATATGCAATAACATGCAATAACGTATAATGATGTGCAATAACGTGCAATAACATATAATCATGTGCAATAACGTGCAAAAACATGCAATAACTTGCAATAACATGCAATAATTTGCAACAACTTGCAATAACATGCAATAATTTGCAATAACTTTCAATAACATGCAATAACTTGCAATAACGTGCAATAATTTGCAACAACTTGCAATAACATGCAATAACTTGCAATAACGTGCAATAATTTGCAACAACTTGCAATAACATGCAATGACTTGCAATAACATGCAATAACTTGCAATAACATGCAATAACTTGCAATAACGTGCAATAATTTGCAACAACTTGCAATAACATGCAATAACTTGCAATAACGTGCAATAATTTGCAACAACTTGCAATAACATGCAATGACTTGCAATAACATGCAATAACTTGCAATAACATGCAATAATTTGCAACAACTTGCAATAACATGCAATAACTTGCAATAACGTGCAATAATTTGCAACAACTTGCAATAACATGCAATGATTTGCAATAACATGCAATAACTTGCAATAATGTGCAATAATTTGCAATAACGTATAATCATGCGCAATAACGTGCAATAATTGGCAATAACGTATATCATGTGCAATAACGTGCAATAACATGCAACAACTTGCAATAACATGCAATAACGTGCAATAATATGCAATAAAGTGTAATCATATGCAATAACATGCAATAATGTATAATGATGTGCAATAACATGCAATAACGTATAATGATATGCAATAACATGCAATAACGTATAATCATGCGCAATAACGTGCAATAATTTGCAATAACGTGCAATAACGTATATCATGTGCAATAACGTGCAATAACATGCAACAACTTGCAATAACATGCAATAACGTGCAATAATATGCAATAAAGTGTAATAATATGCAATAACATGCAATAACGTATAATGATGTGCAATAACATGGAACAAAGTGCAATAATATATAATGATCTACAATCTACTATCAATAAAGTCAATCAATCAATTTTCCTTCAACTTCACAACTGCATGAAACACAAATACTCTGTTACTTCATGTTACTTGTTTTACTTCTAGAAATGTTGGCTATCTATACTTAGTGGGGTAATTATTTTCGAGACAATCTTTTACTTTCTTCTCTTTGCATTTTAAAAATAGACTTTTCTATTTTCTTTATGGTCTGTTGGTATTTAAAAAAAAAAAAATCATCAAAATAATTAGTTTCATCCAAACAATTAATTTCTTTGTGGTTGGACTCGGTGCTGCCCCAACTTGTTGCTCACTACATACCAAAATAAATAGTTTTTCCAGATGATGCAAAGTTAAATGTGACGCTGTTACCATTCGTTATAAAACTAAGAAAATAAAGTCTAAGGAAGTTATCATCCAGAATTGTAGAAAAATGTTTCTTTAATAGAGCAGAGCAGTAAAGCTTCTGGCCTAAACAGTTTTTTCCTGCATTACTTTTACTTTTATACTTTAAGTAGTTTTACAAAATGGTACTTTTACACTTTCACTGGAGTAAAAAGCTGAAGTTGATCCTCTAACTTCTAAAAAAGTGTTTTTAAACAGCAGGATTTATACTTCTACTTCAGTAATAAATATTAATACTTTTGAAAGCTCTGAATAAGAAACAGAGACCGCTTTATTTTATAAATGAAATAAAAAAAGCCAACATGTTACTTTAGCAAAAAGCACTGAATAAGTTAGAAGCCTTTTATATTTCCATATATTTTTAAAACAGTTGATTCTTTGTTTTTTTCTATTGACTTGCAGATATTTTCCAAAGTCTGAAGAGCTGATTTCTGCTGAATGTCGCCATGGGAACAGCTGACCTCCTTTAATCTGCTGTGATGGAAAGTTTTAGCTGCCTTTTTTATAACCGAGTCACAGAGTGGCTGAACAGGTCTTTGTTTACTCATCAGAGACGTGTAATGTCACATGGTGTCCCCGCGTTACGCCAGCGGCCATTCATAAAACCCCAGGCCAAACGATGCTTACGGTTATTTGTGCAAACAGGTCATGAAAACAGGAACCTAGAGAAGTTAATCCAGGAAACTGGAAATCTGAAAGCTCCAAAAACAGATTTCCAGTCTTTGTGAGCCTGAGCCTGATTACTGCTAACAAACCTGTTGGGCAACTGAGTCAGAAATGGAAATCCAGGGTTGTGTGAGGGCAGTTAGGGCTTTCAGAGCCCATTTTACTTTCACATTAACATCTTTCTTATCATCCATGCAGCCTAAACTGCTGCCTGCAGTTCAAACTGTCCTTATTGTTGACACTAACTAGCTAGCCAGCTAACTAAAGGTTTCTATTATTGGTTAAATGTTGATTTATTTATTTAAGAGAGCTGTAACCAGGGTTAACATTTATTCATTTGATTTAGATTAGGGCTGCAACTAACAATTATTTTACAAACCAATTAATCTCTCGGTTATTTTTTCAGATTAATAATCAAATATAAAAATGTTCATTAATTAAGTCTTTTTACAAAAATAACTAAAACTTTTCCCCCTGAGCATTTCTGGATAAAGCAGATTAACAGATGGAAAAGATTTTTTAATCTTAAATGCAAAATGTATATATATTATTTTACAATCTTTGTATAATTCCTGCTCTAAGTGGGTTACTCAGTCACTACACCATACTATATTAATCAATTACTAAATGATTATTTTAATTATAGATTAATCCGTTAGTTTCAACACTATTTTTAGGCGGAATAAAGAGGAGTCAGATCAATTAGCTGCCCTTAGAAAAGGGAAAGTGGCAGTTATTTTGTAAATAATTACATTTTGCATGACGTGTGACGCAGCTAGAGGACAATCACCTTATTTTAGGAAAGTCTTTTTATTTAAAAATCCACCACAAAATAGAATCTAAAGGTTTTAGATCTATGTGCTCTATTGTGGCCCTCTGTCAGCAGCAAACAAGGTCCCTAAACATTTTTTGGGTCAATATTCTAGTCTTTTCTGGACAGGGAGGAGGAAACGAACACCAGCCATTGATGGATTGCATGAGGACACAAGGAGGAAATAAAGGAATGGAGGTTTGGAAGCAGGTTTTTCTTCGGCCTAATTGGGGTGAAAGGAAGACTAGGAGTGATAAAAGATAAGAGTTTAATGTTTCCACATCGTCATTCATGCCACGCAAAGACGACGCCTGTTCTGAGTGTTTATCTGCTTAATGAAAAATGTATGTCATTGATGAACTGAAGTTGTTTTCCTCCAAATGTTTGTGTGTTAGGAAGATCTTTATGCAGGGGGGGGGGGGTTATGGTCCCACGGGAGAGAGTGTTTGGATTTGTACAGAATAAATAGGTTTGCTCCAGTCAGAGCTTTTCTCTCTGTCTAAGGACGTAAAATAAATTTAAACTTTCTCTTGCAAGAGTCTCAGTTTCTGCACAGCTTCACAGAGGATAGAGAAAAGTGGAGGAAGGAATGATTAGGAAAGAGAACAAGGATGGAAACAAAACATAAAAATAATATAAGGCACAAAAAAGGAAAGATAGAAGACAGAAGTTTAAAAAGTCCAAAGCAAGAAATAAACTATGATCTACAAATAAATATATTTCTTAATCAGACCTGATATATACCAAAGCAGATTGTTTAGGTAGGATTTGTTCACACAGCAGGAAAATGCTCTTTATAAAAAAAAAACATGCAAAAAAGTAGAAAATGAAATCAGAATGGAGCCTCCATACTTTCAGTGTAAAAGTGAGTCTGTTTGTTTTATAAGTCAGGTTTGCTTCTAGAGCATCACAGAAAAAAACGTATTTAAGCAACAATACTTCAAAGTTTATTTGGAGTGTTTTTCCCACTGATTCATCGTTACAGAGTTAAAAACAAGAAAAAAAACAATCATCTGCCTAAGAAGCAAATATTGCACTAAATTCTTCATTTTAATGATCAAAACACTTTGATTTAAAACAGCAGAACCAAACTGGGAAATCAGAAGGTCGGCTGTGAGGTAAATCTTCATTTTTCTCATTTATGGCTTCTTTATTCTACTGTTCATTGAAAAGTGCAAATGTACGTTTGAAGCTCCGTGATTATTGTAATAAAACTTTATCTTCTGAACGCCGTGAAGCTTGAAGGTTTGATTAGCGGTTGGATTAAACAAAGGCAGTGGTGAGGAGGGCGGCCATGTTGGATGGGATACATGAGCATTATATTTAGTGTTGCACCGATACCAGTATAGGGCACCGATACCATTCTGAGGCTAAAGTTTCTTCAACTATTGTCACTCATTCCAGGTCGGCAATAAAAAGTTCTACTGGATTCTCTTTGTTTTAGTCTGTTTCCTGCTTCACTAAGGAAGGCAGCAGCTTGAAGCCATGATAGTAATTATTTTACATCCCAGTAGTTCTTCATAAATAAACACACATCAATTTTAAACAGATGGAATCGGCCGACTCTGCACAGCCAGGTATCGGCTATCGGGGCCGAAAATTTGCATCGGTGCAACACTAATTATATGTTTAGAGAGGAACAAACGCTGCATTTTTCAAGTAAGAGGCCATTTAACTCCATGAAAGGTTTTTATTCTGCAGGATCCAGAGTTTCAGCCTGTTGGTGGATAAGTTGAGCTCCGATACGTCTACTGCTCGGTGGAATATTTCTATCAAAGATTGAAAATAATGGAGACGGCAGCGCAGCAATAATCCCATCAGGTCGATCGTCTCGTTACACTTCCTGCTTCCATTGACTCACTTCTGAAAACTCCTCGGGACTCGGTGGTTCTGCCGAGTTATTTAACTCTGGTCTGTGAGGTAGAAGCCCAGCTTAGCCACGGTCATCTCTCTACGAAGTCGCATCACCTCCCAGAACATCTGCTCCGCTGAAAGAGAACAGAAAAATAAATGAGCTTCTAAATCCGGGTCTACAAAGCAAAGCTGCCGGTCGGGTAGATTTACCGTTTTGTCTCACCAGGCCCTGCTGGATGTACCGGATGTATGTGAAGAAATTACACACCGCCGTGATCTAGAGAGACGACATGACACATTCAAACACGGTAGCGCTTTTTCTTCTTTTTCTCAGCGGCGGAAACGTTTCTAAAGAGGAGTGTAAATCAGAGAGCAGCCGTACCCGAGCTCGGCTGGACGGAGAGATGTAGTAGTAGCTCCCCTTGTCGCCAAGTTTGATGCGATGTCGGCAGACTCGTGACAAACCGCTTAAAGCACATTTTCTGCAACAAGACAAAGAGATTTTCACCTTTTATTTATTTAACAGTATTTAACAGACCTCTATCAGGAGTAGTTTCTCATTTGATGACATTGCAACAATAAATCTATGTATTCTGCTGGGATTTAATGGCAAAACACAAAAATAGTTCACAATAATGAGGCGGACGTTAAAGAAAAGGGTAATGCTTCAATGACCATGGAATAACTTAGCAAGTAACATATTACTAGTTAACAAGAAACACTTTATGGAGAATTTAGGTCAGACTACTTAGATGTCAAACTGTTATTGCCAGGAACTTTTCACCAACAGCAGTAAATTAATGTGTTATCCATAAAAATGCAGTTTATAAAGATTTATTAGCCTGATCATAAGTTGCATCATACTTTATAATCTGTTGGTAGGTGGTATCCAATAATAGAAGCTGTTATTTGGCAACATGCAGGTAATTACTCACCAAAAGTCTCCATTGTTACATAGTAAGATACAATTGTAATAATTACATGCAGGTAATTGCCTGCTTATATACCTTAATTATTGGTTATTACTAAATAAAGTTTTTCTTGTACTCAAGTTATAGTGTGACTTTTCTATCTTATTACCATGTTGTTACAAGGTTATTGATTTGCCGTAAAGAAAGCGTTACGTATACATCTAGATAAGAGGTCTTCAACAGGGGGTCAGCGACCCCTGGGGGGTCCACAGAGGTACTGCATGGGGGTCGCTAATGTTTTCCATCATCCGTCATCCATGTTTGTCAAAGAACACTACTGCCACCTACTGGTTAGTGACGTCACGGTGCGGTATCGGCTGTTGATCAAGTCCCAGTGCTGTATCTGGTGTTTGTCACAACGCGCTATTATCCAAGTCATCTTGAAAACATTCTTCTTCCAAATGTTGGCTACATATTACGGGTTTTTTCTCTGGCCAGAAGTTCGATGGCAAATCCTCCCTCTACAAGTTGGCGATCCAACGACCAACCCGTCCGTGGAGGATCAGGAATCAGAAAGGTGGATAACTCTTTTTTTCACTTTTACCCGATGTATTCCAGCATCCAGCTGCCATGCACGTGGGCATTGTCAGTTTCACTATAGCTCTGGTGAATTTCAATGGTGAAGTCCTCTGGAAATCTTCAATAATTGTTGTTGATTGCAGATGTGTCTAGTAGTTCCCATTGATTTAGCTTGTAAAGCGGGGAGAATGGCGCTAGGCTAACCGCACCGTGACGTCACTGCTGGAAGATGGCAGGAGGGAGGGGCTACTATATTTGGGCACTAAATTCATTAAATGACGGCGAACGTATTAGTTTTAGGTATAAATACTGATGGATTGATTATTCCTGCTGACCGACTTTTCCTTTAACACGCAGCAAAGGTCACTATTCTGCGTCTTGCTACGCAGAAGCAGGAAGAAAAACAACAACCATGGCGGACGATGATGCGGAGAGCAGTCTTTATTTTTAAACCATCTTGGAAAGGCTGAGTTTCTAAGGTTGGGAAAGATTGCTAGATGCACTCCAGCGCTGCCATCCATGTTTACTTCCAGAAACACAGAGCACGCTGGATGAGGGGATTAGGGACCCCTCATGTGCGTCCAGCTGACCCGATTGCCTTCACCCCTCCTGGCGTGGTGATTTTTTTAGCCCCCCTTTGTGTGCGAAATGTTTTTTTTTAAACAGACTTAAATCTTTATTGAATTATATGCATATTTGCAGTGTGATTTATATTCAGTATCCACCCAGGTATTTGGTTTTTCCCTTTCCTCCCTATATTTCTGCATACTTTTTTTTTTTTTTTTCTGTGGAGGAGCATTGCTATGCGAAGGTGCACCTCCCCTAAAAGAAGCGTCAGCATTTAAATTCCTCCGATCGTCCCCCATCCTGCTCTGTTGTCTCCTGCTATCTTATCCGTGAGGAACACTTGGCTCGACCAATAGGATGAGGGGATTCTGGACCGTTCATATATTTGTCAGCTCATTGGTCACAACGCTGGACAGGGACAGGAACAAGTTAGACTGACTATTTTTTTAGTCTCACAGTAATACGGGACAAAGTGCCTTTCTTTTCCACTAAATATGGAACAGGTGCTTCCATTTCTATATATGGAACGATTCCGTTTTTCAAGGGACGGTTGGCAGCACTACTTGTGATGTCATTGCGTCCTCTACTGCGCATGCAGCACAAGCTGTGTGAATGTAGTTCACACAGCTTAAGAAATGGGATTGCACAAAAAAATCTGAACTGGCGTGCAGTGTGAACGTAGCATTAATGGCCTTTCAATCAAAGATGGAAGCAGATCACCTCGCCAACAACCTGGTCTCTTCAGATAAAGCTTCGGCTAAACACAGGATTATTCAGATTTACACCCTGTGGTGCTGGGAGGCTATTGGAGGATGAAGACCTAATCAGTTTAACTCACATCAATCCTCTCAGGATTTCGAGAACGCAAATTTTATTTTTTGAGGTTATTTATTCTGTTATCATGAGAAAACAGCTTTCCTTATCTTTAGAAAATGATAAAATGAACTTCATCGTAAAGAAGTGTGGGAGAGACACGACGGCCCTCAGCTTCCATAGGTGGACTTGGACGTCCATGTCCTGGTGGCACACGTCGGCCGAAAAGTTTTTTCCATTTTCAGACGACTGACTGACCAAACCTCAGAGACGTCCAAAGATTGATGCTACTTAGATACTCATTTTCTATTCCTTTAAATATGAAACTGCTTTATGATTTTAATCAGACAAATCCCAGCATAATACATTAAAGCCACAGTGACTAAAAAAGAAAGAAAGTTTATAGGTATAAATATCTGCATGGCATTGCTCCAAAGCCTAACAGAGGAATACAAACAAATTGAGCTAAATGTTGTTCGTTAGTCACAAAGAAGCAAAGGAGGAGTTTAAGGATTTGTGTAAAGACATGCGACTTTTAAAGAGATGGTTTTTAACATCTGGATGCAGAAAGACGAGTTAGTGGAAATAAGAAGGGGACCCATTCCTGAGGGAACTTACGTCTCTACTGAAGCCCTAAATCCACTGGAAAAGAAAACGGTGAAAGATCAGGTGTTGACAGGAAATGTGCTCTTTGATTCAGCCGCTCTCAGTGAGAGGAGCAGGAAATTAACGCTGAATCAATCTAGATAGAAACAGTGATCGGTTTGGCCCCCAGGTAGAGAAACGGAGGACGGAGCAGGAATCAAACAGACATGCTGACTCACTTAGGGCCTCCGTACTCTAAAGCAGATGCTTTAACCAGGGGTAAAGCCGACATGGCCACAGGCTCCATGGTCAGGGAGTTATTCTCCACTGCTCTCTGGACCAGCTGGGACAGCTGTGGGAAACATCAGTGTTAACCTTACAGATGTTAGTGGATTGTCGTTCAGCAGTGAGGCGCTGACCTCTGATCTTGTGAAGGAAAGGCAGGGCGATATATCTTCTCGGTAAATGCGACTCAGGAAGGCGGAGGATCGGTCCAGACATGGATGCTCCTTCCACAACAAAAACTCTGCAAACAGAACTGAGTCCATCTGCAGAGAGCAAGAAAAACAGATCTTTTAGTTCTCAGGCTCCTCTCCTGTGGAACCAACTACCAGTTTTAGTCCGTGAGGCAGACACCCTGTCTACTTTTAAGGCTAGGCTTAAAACTTTCCTTTCTGATAAAGCTTCTAGTTAGAGTGGCTCAGGTTATCCTGAACTATCTCTATAGTTCTGCTGCTATAGGCTTAGACTGCTGGAGGACATAGGGACCCCTTTTTCATCATTCTGCTTCATTCTATCTCTATTCTCCCACTCTGCAGAATCTGTTAGTTCAATCTCTAACGTTCTGCTCTCTCTGCTTTTTCTCATAGTAGCTTCATCTGGTCTGTTCCTGTTTGGCTGTGACTCCATCCTAGACAGAAATATCAGCTGTGCTGCTGCCATCAACACCTTTGTTTCTAGATGTTGGAGCTTGGTCTGTTTTTCAGTGTAGTCCTGTTTCACAGCAGCAGATGTTGGAGTTGGAAACATTGAACTTTAGCTGCTGGACGCGCCTCATCAACCAATGAGAGAAGCTGATCTGGGAGCTGGCAGGGAGTCAGACGCAGCACTGCTGATGCAGAGCGCTATGATCACTCCTCTGAAACAGTTTATTAACGCCTAAATTAACTTCAAATGTAGAAACCTGCCGGCAGAATATGTTGGCTTTTATTATCCTGCTGCCTGCAGTTTGTAGCACAGACCTGAAAAACGCTAACATCTACTTCCAGCCGCCACCAACAGGAGGGGAAAACCCTGGAGAGGCGAGCGGGCCTGAGGCAGCTGCTGCTGGGGATTCCCAGTGACAGCGCAGCGCCGGTATGTGGGGGTCTGAGCGGCTCCCACAGAGAAATAATCTTTGAAGGCAGGATGGCAATCTGGATGAACTGACTGCACAGACCATGTTTTCAGGAGGACTTTCTCACTTCAACATAGATTCTAACTACTTTCTACCCGCTGATCACAGCTAATATAGCTGCCATTGTTCCAGGCAGAGAAAGGATAGAGTAGCTCCGCCCACCACGCATCAGAACCACTTTAGCACCGAGCAGCTAGAGCAGCAAAACTTGTGCAAGCCTAAAAAAATGAAGCAGCAGACGCGTTTTTGCTCCTCCTGCTGCGTTTGATGTGAACGTAGCATAAATATAGCGACTAAAGCGCTAAGTTGGCAACACTGCTCTTTGCATGGTTTGTTTTCAAATGGTTTGCTGCTGTCTGTTTGGACCTTTCTGAACATGTGCAGCAAATGGACTGATCCAATATGGTGGACACTGAAGGGGGGGGGGCTGAGACACACTTAATATTATCAGCATTCTGATGCATTTTAGCCAAAGGATTTTTATCAAAAACAGAATTAATGTGCACAAATAAGGAATAGTTGTATTAACTATACATGTAAACAGACATCTAAACAACTGCCTAGTATTGAGTAATGGTTTAGACGTAAACAACTGATTAAAATAGTTTTAACTTATCAAATAAAGGTCATGTGTCTGGCTCTGACTAAGAAACCAAACAGTATCAAACAGAAACATTCGTACCATTTGAACATCTTTTCATTGCAACCCGACTTCATTGCACTAGAGTACTTTTATAAGACAGATCAACAGAAAAAAAGAGGAATAAACTGTAAAGAGGAAGGAAAAGGATGCTTCTGAGGCCCTCACAAAGCAGCTGCATTGACACTGAAATTCACCTACAAATGGCTAAAACAGTTAGCAGTGAAAACAACTGAATTCCACTGTTACATAGCAAACAGAATGATCAACAGTCATCGTTTTGTTTCCCATTAGGCACCTCCAACATTAGAAAACACTTTAAACAGTAGGAAACGTCAGCATGCTGAAGCTGAAAATAAAAACACATTTATGTCCAGTTTTTGTTGATGAAATATCACCAGGTTTTAGTTTAATGCTGTAAATTGAAAGGAATAATATCCATTTAATCTCAATGAAATGCTTTTTGGGTTATGATGGAACTAATCAATGGAACTAAACCAATTCTTAGCTTTTTTATATTGTTCTAAAAACAAAACAAAAATCATAAATGGTCATAAATGGTTTGAATTGTCCAAAAATGAAATCCTTTCACCAGAAGCTCTGCAAACAGGATTTTACCGCATTTTTCAGACTATAAAGTCGGGCATACACTGTGCGATATTTTCAATCATTCCAATCAGCTACTGGTCACACTGTACAATGAAACCGCAGGGTTTAAAAGTTCGCAGCTTACGATGTTTGTTCTCACACTGTACGTCTAAAAACCAGGTGGGACTCAGCTCCGCAGTGAGACGGCGCGGGGTTGATAGAGGCTGATCGCCCCTCGTTACCCCCTGTACAGCTACACCACGCACCATCAGGATGAAAGTCGGCGCGATCAAAAAAATTAAAAATTCCACGACTGGAAAAGAGGAGCGAAAAGGGCACAAAAAAAAAATCGTACAGCGTACGTCTGGCTTTAGCCGCTACGTTTTTTCCCAGGCTTTGAATCATGAGGCTTCTAAGAAGGTGCGGCTTTTCTGTGGATTTATCCTAACCACAAGAGGGGGAGGGGTCAGCTGAAACGAATGAATAACATGCTAGCATGTTGTGCTAAATGAAAATTAGCCCAACGTGCTAGCAGCAGGCGAGAAGGAGAACAAATTTCCCAAATTCACACATTTTTCCATTTATTTGCCGGATTAAACCAATAAAGAGACTGAGCTCAACTCCTGCAGAGCTGAAATAAAGAGCTGATGAAGCTCCATCTTTCAGTAGAAGCTCCTACTGCTGCGAGCTAACAAGCTAACGGGAGCTAGCATTATTCTTCCTCCATACTCCAGGGGCTTTATGTAGAGCTCCCCCTACAGGTTCAGTAGCTATCAGCAGCTTCATCTTTCAGTGGAAGCTCCTACTGCTGCGAGCTAACAAGCTAACGGGAGCTAGCATTATTCTTCCTCCATACTCCAGGGGCTTTATGTAGAGCTCCCCCTACAGGTTCAGTAGCTATCAGCAGCTTCATCTTTCAGTGGAAGCTCCTACTGCTGCGAGCTAACAAGCTAACGGAGCTAGCATTCTTCTTCCTCCCTACTCCAGGGGCTATATGTAGTGCTCCCCCTACAGGTTGGGTGGGAGACAGTTCAGTAGCTATCAACAGCTTATATATGTACATTTCCTTTTTTTTTTTTTTTCAACAAACTTAGTGGGCGTGGCCTCATAATGAGGTGTTGAAGAGGATTCAGTCTTTCTGGCTTTTTATTTTTCTAAATACGCCGCACTTTCAACTGTTTTTTATTTAAGCTTTAACCAAGATATAATCAAAAGATACTGGGAACTATTTTTGTAAATCAAAGCATCATACATTAAACATTTTCACATTACAACCTATGCTATTCTTAAACTTTAAGAAGTTTAAAAACCAGGATCTAAAATAATCATACTTATACAGAGGACAAACTGCAGTATAGAGAATACACGTGTTATGAGCAGTTTACCTGTTTGTTGTCGGTAATTAGCCCCTCCCCCTGGTGCTGCCAACGTTTACATTGACTGACTGCCCTGATAGCAGACAGAGAATCAGACAGAGGAGAGCAGCTGAGAAAGGAAGAGGCGTCCATTACAGACAGGAAGAAAAAGGTCAGGAAAGGGTTAGAGCCTGCAGAGAGAAAGAAGAAAGCAGCACAACGTAGGAGATGATGGAAAAGAGGGAAAAAAGAGGAAAGCAGAGGAGAGAAGCAGAGCTCTGTAACTTGCCTCCCGCTCCTCTTTAGCCGCCGACTGAATGGAAACAGGTGAAGGTTCAGGTTTTCCAGGTGAGCTCTGAAAGGCTCCACTGGCGCTTTTGTTGCGGATGTGGCCCGCGCCGCGTTTGTAGGATCCCTGTGAAGCGGAGGACTGCAGCTGAGGATGCAGCTGCCGGTTAGGCGAGGAGGGCGTGGACGTCAACACCAGAGTTTTCAGCGCGGTCACCTCCGCTTGCAGGACGTCAATCTGGGAAATAAACGCCAGACCCAAAGCGTTCATTAACTTACAGTGGAAAATAAAAGGCCTTCATGAGGACATGGAGATAAACAATAACTTGGCGCACCTTTCCTTGAGCTTCCTTCAGTTGTTTCTCTGCTCCTGCTTGCTTAACATTAGCTTCACGGACCATCTTATGGGCTTCCTGTCAAAATAAAGTCTGTGTGATTAAAACAAGACAATGCACTCGCAAATGTTCACTTTTTAAAAAGAAGCTTTTAAAAGATTTTTATAAATGCATGCCTTAATGATATAGAGTAGGATTTTTTTTATTTCCGGGTGGATCATCTCAATCAGTGGTCATCCTAACTGTCAATCATTCTGGTCAGATGCTTACGTAAGGCCATCCTACGAGCACGTCCCGCTAGCAAGGATTAAAGCAAAAAAAATACTGAGCCTGAACTTTTTCGACACAGACAAGAAACTCATGATTCATGCAATCCAATGGATAATACTGTTAGTTTCAGTGCGCTCCTTTGCTACCAATTTATTTAACGTCAATTTATTTTCAAGTAATTTTTTTTACCCTCTGGCAATCGCTACGAGCCGGAAATCCAGCCTGAGGCCAGAATACTTTAATCCCTGCTATAGCTAGCTTTTTCTGCGCACTCTCAGGCTTATATCTGTGGTGAGCTACGGTTTCAGACAGTCATCGAAGCTCACCTTTCTCACCGCCATACTTTGTGAGAAGAAAAGTGTTTGAGAAGAAGAGAAAGGCCTCGGAAGAGGCAGATATATCCCAGAATGCTTTGCATGGAGAGCTCTCCTCGCAAAGCATTATGGGATTTGCTGTCACAGCGGCCCACTGTCGCCATATACTTATACTTTTTTCTTCTTATGCTTTTTTGTACATTATACACTCTTTTTATATAGTCTGTTGCATTTTTATCTTCAATGGCTTCTTGCTTTAACTCTTTGTTCTCTATATAAACTACTGGAACCAGAATATTCCTGAAGGAGTAATCCCAAGGGAGAAATAAACCTGAGTCTAAGTCGCTTTAGGCTGTCGCTACCCGACAGCGGCGACTAATAACAAAGATGGCGCAGGCACCACGCAGTGGAGGCGGAGTTACGTGACCAACGGAGCAAAAAGCAGTGATCATCAGTCTGAATGGTCAGTGAACTGAGTTCACTATAAAGTTCACTATAGAGTCCCGGCTGTATGTGGAGCTTACAGTTAGCTATGAGGACAGCACATTTTAAACAGGGTGTGCACCAGGAGAAATGGGCTCGTGGACCCCCTCTGTTTAGGGGAATCTTAAACAGGGGGGGTTGAGGGGGCTGAGAATCTTCACCAACAAGCAAATTTGCTACTTTCAGAAGTTTCAGTAAACAGTTAGCAGCTGTCAAAGTGGGCTCAGCAGAAAGCGAGCTGACCTCAAACAGACTGGCAGTCAGCTCCTCCAGCTCCTGCTCCAGCTGATTTCTGACTTGCGACAGACGTTCACACTCCTTGTCTTTTAGTTTCAGTTCCTGTGGTGCAGAAAGCAGCAAACGGCATCCTTTTACGGGGTGGAACATCTGCATAGTCAGCTTTTTGGTTCCCATTTTAAGCTATAATCATGCATGCAAACATGGAGAAGTTACGACACCCTCTTGGCTGCATCCAGCTGCTCCCGGAGAATCTCGGAACCCTTTTCTCTGATTTCTTTTTCTTTAATTTCCAGTGAAGAGCTGCGGAGTCCGCAGAGATGGCCGTGAGGTCGGCCTGAGGTGGGTCCATCTCGGCCTCCTCCCTCCACAATAGTCACTGGTTCTGGATCCAGATCTACCAACCTGCAACAAAAATAAATACATGGAAATGAGTCCTTTAGAGAATCTTTACTGCTTAAAAAACAGGAACGTTCCAATAAGCTACACAGTTAGCCTAAAGATGATTTATTGGAGTATCTGTTAAAGGCGTGTAGAAAGCAATAAAGCTTCGTTTTTACTGCGGTAGCATAACGTCCCACAGTTTCTAAAAGTTATAGCTAAAAAAAAACAAAACAAAACAAATAAATAAACAGATCTTTGCTGACTGGACTTTTCCTTTAACTAGAAACATACTTTGTAAAGTTTGAGGCAAAAGAGAATATCTCACTTTATACATTATGAATAATGTTTGTAATTTTAATAGTTTAGATTTTATAAATAGTTGATTTGTATTGTTAACAATTCGTATTGCTTTTCTCATATAGATATAAAAGGTTGGATAGTAATGATGTTCGTTTCCCCAAACTTCTTTAAACTTCCAGAACAAATGTGTCGGCTGTGAGTTCAGTGATAACAGGTTTAATCTGGTCTGATAATCCATCCACACTGAGCCTGGTTCTGCTGCAGGTTTCTTCCTGTTCAAAGGGAGTTTTTCCTCTCCACTGTTGCTACAAGCATGCTTAGTGTGAGGGATTGCTGAAGAGTCAATGAGTCGATGCAATCAGCTGGTTTTCCTTAGATAGAAAACTTTGAATCAATCTGACTGGATGATCTGGTTGAATCATCTCTATAAAGTGACCTGAGATGACATGATGTGAATTGGTTCTATAGAAATAAACTGAATAGAATTGAACAGGGAAGCAGAGCAAACTCCAGTAGATCAGCAGCATTTCTGTTCCTGCTAAATCAGTGAATGTGTTTAATGAAGGAAGTAGGAAGGGTTGAAAGGATCTCAGTTGAAGCGAACTGACCTGGAGCAACTTTTATAACCTTAAGGTCTTAAATTTTAACCTGATCATATGACCTGCATCATGTGTTTATCGTTTAAATATTAAAACTTTTTCATAGAAAACTGCTTAGATCAACATAAATCCATAGGAACTTCCCTGCCTTAATGTTTGGCCCCATTTACAACAGCAGGGACCCCAGAGGGCCCCTGAACCACACATAGAGAACCTCTGATGCAGTTTTATAATAATAATGCTAATTATTTAGATAAAGTGCAGAGCTGTAGCTGAGCTAGCTAGCTGTCAGAGTGAGATGTTTCCAACCTTACCCTGCCAGCCGCTCTTCTCTTCCAGTCTTCTTATTTGATGTAGAGTCGGTTAAAAAGCAGCGCTAATGTCAGAAAGTTAGTTAGTTTCACTGAAACTCAACCAGCTCTTTAAATCACAGCGGAGGAATGCGGACGCTGACGTCAGCAAGAAGGAGAAGAAGAAGAAGAAGAAGAAGAAGAAGAAAAGCAGCCGCAGGAAGAGACGCGAAAGGGAAGGAATGGAGAAAGGAAGCTGCTTTAGGAACCTTTTCCAGGAGTATTTTCTCTCCGTTTCTCTAATAAATGATAGAAAGCAGCAGTCAGAGGAAACTTCTCTCTCCTTCCTCCTCCCAGCTCACATGACGTCACTAACACTCCCAGTTTCCTAACAGACTCATCCAGCAGGACATTTATAGATTGAGCACTTTTTGTTCTATGACTGTTGAAACTGTAACCCATTTGTTTTAGCATTGAACTTTTAGCCGAAATATCTGGTCTGACATTTTTAAGTTTATTGCAGAAAAAATTTAGAACAATTTTAAGTTATTTTGGAAGGATTTGGACTTTATGACCTCAACAGTACTAAGAGTAGACCAAATGAAACTTTCATTATTAATCTCATTATTCTCTTGGATAAATTCTACATTCATAAATGTAAGTTTACACATTCCAAAATATCTTTAATTGCTTTAAAAAATGAAATGAGGTCAAGCAATATATCAACACCATAAAGTTTTCTCTTAATCAAAAGGCAACAAAAACTGTAAATGTGTGTAAAAAATTTAATATCTTTTTATAAATTTGTACTTTCAAAATGTGATGATGTAAATTTTCATTTTTGTTTTATGTTAAAACACCAGCAATGTTGGATACGGCACAGTGTTTTATTTTCACAATGGAGACAAATGTTCATGTTTTCATGTAAACTGTGCAATTGTTGAATAAAAAAAAAAAAGACTCATTCAGCAGATATGAAACCAGATCACTTTTAAAGTACAGCTCAGGTCTATTTCATTATTTTAATTTATAATAAAGAAAAAAAAAAAAAAAAAAAAAAAAAAAAAAAAAATATATATTTATATATATATATATATATATATATATATATACATATATACATATATATATATATAACATATATATATATACATATATATGCGTGTATATATATATATTATATATATACATATATATATATATATACATATAGCAGGAGGAGTGGTGGCCTAGTGGGTAGAGTAGGGCTCTGTCCTCTGAGAAGGTTGCTAGTACCCAGTTCAATCCCCACAGACTGCCCCACTGGGTCCCTGAGCAAGACCCTTAACTCCACACTGCCCTCTGGGCGCTGCACCATGGCAGCCCACTGCTCCCCAAAGGGAATGGGTTAAATGCAGAGAGGGAATTTCATTGCTTTTTATTTGAAAATGTTATGACAATAAAGTTGAATTCTATTCTAATTCTATTGGTAAATACGTGTACATTTACTATAATAAGAGAAAGTGAGTCTAACCTTCCACCAACACAGCGTTCCTCCTCAGAGACTCTATCGGACCTGTGCTGAGCTGGAGGCACATTCGGAGTGGCAAAGAAGACTGGAGAGGAGTAGACTGCTAGTCCAGACCGGCCCGCCTTCAGGAGCTCATATCCAGGGACGGAGGAGACTGAAGAAGGTGGAGATGTGGAAATATGGATGCTGTGTATTCCCTCAAAGGTATCCATCCGTTTCTCTGAGTTAGAAGCAGCAGCTTAGTCCTTGGAAGATTCAGTTCAACGAATAGTTAAAATGAAGTTGGATAAAACAGTGATTTCTGTGTTTTTCCAGCACATAGAGAAAAAGCTGAAATAGTAACTTAAATTACACACCTTTTTAAATAATGCTAAAGAATAACATCTCTTGAAGATAAACAGGTTCACTCATAAACTATTGTAACTCTGCTTGTTTCAGATGAAATTAGGACAAAGAAATACAAAGTAAAAACTCACCAGGATGATTACTTGATGCCAGAGCAGAAAAACTGCTAAACAGCACTTTTGTGCTTAGTTAATCCCATGAGTTGAGCTCCGCACTTCGCCCTGGCCTGAGCCTCAGCAGGAAGGGTTAATCACTAACTTCTGACCAGTAAGAACTCAGCTCTACACATTTCTTCCAGCTGAGGGGGTCGGACATCGCTTCCACCTGAGGACCCCTGGTTACTTTGGTTAAGACATCAACTAATCAAGTTTCCTGACATTCAGAAAGGATCATATGATCAGAAAAGCTTTTTCTAATGTACTGAAATAAATGTATTTATTAATTTATGGAATTTACTCACTATAAAAGTTTTCACTCAGCCTGTTTCACTATTAACAATTCCCCGAATGAGGTGTTTGTAGACCAGACATGCGCTCTTCCAGGGGGGGATTTATCATTAGGCAATACTAGGCAGCTTCTTACAGCCCCAAGTTCCTGGGGGTCCCATAAAACTCTGTTTCCATGTATGATTAATACAACTATTCCTTATTTGTGCACATTAATGATGTTTTTGATAAAAATCCTTTGGCTAAAATACCATCAGGACTCTGATAATATTAAGTGTGTCTCAGCCCCCCCCTTCAGTGTCCACCACATTGGATCAGTCCATTTGCTGCACATGTTCAGAAAGGTCCAAACAGACAGCAGCAAACCATTTGAAAACAAACCATGCAAAGAGCAGTGTTGCCAACTTAGCGCTTTAGTCGCTATATTTAGCCACTTTTCAGACCCCTCTAGCACTTTGATTTCTAAAAAGCTCCTAGCGCCAAATCTAGAGACTTTTTTCTGCTACTGGAGACTTTGGAGACAACATCTAAAAGCAGCGAACTCTGCTCTCCAGAGCGAGTAGATTGGTAACCCCGCCTCCTGCTCTCCTCTATCTTGTCTGCTGTCATGATTCATGCAGCTATTATTTCATCCAAATGAAAAATGGAGAACAGATAAGCAGATCATGGCTTGTCTACAGTGAAAAGAAGGACTGGGTTATTTACTTTGGCCTTTTTGGAAACACAGGAAGGAGCAATCAGCTAAGTGAGCTTAGTGCTTGGAAAAAATCTTTCATTCCTTTAGAGACAGCATGAAAAGTCAGCTGAGTACAAAACATAGAGAGGAAAGCAAGAAGAAAAGGGACAAGAAGAGAGGGACACAACCTAGAACAGATAATGGATGTCTATTCTATTAACATTTCTCTATTTGGGGAATGGATCTGTTTTAGGACAATATTGTTTTTCCAGGTGGATCATCTCAATAAGTGGTCCCCCTAACTGTCAATCATTTTTGTGATATGTTTCTGTAAGGCCATCCTTTGTGCTCACCCTCATTTTCACTTACCTCACTGGAAAAATGATCTAGAAATAAATAAAAATTTCTTAAATTAAGTGTATTCACTCTTAAGTTGAGTAGGTAGGTTTTATGTGTTGTCTTCCCAGTTCATAGGGCCCCATGCCTGTCTTTACTAGGGGCCCCAAATTCCCTAAACCCGCCCGTCCCTTCTTCACATAACCAACCAGATTCTTTCTCAGGTTTATTCATAACATGTTACTGTTTAATCAAAGTGTCTGTAATTTGTTTTTGACTCTGACTACTTTCCATTATTGTAAGTAAGGGGAAGCGATTGCTGCTCAGGCAGAACAGGGCTGATTAGGATGCAATAAGGGCCGTTTGATGAACTGTTCTGTCTTTGCAAAGATACAATTAAAGTGCAGACTGAGTGAAATCCATCGATCTCTGTTTATTTAACTGGAGAAAATAGTTGACTCCAGGGTCTATAACAATCAAAACACTAGCAAGTTTTGGTCTTTAGAGTCAAATCTTTGCAGCTAACATTCAGATCTATTTGTGGCAGCTCTGCGGTGCTCAGATTTGCTCAGATTAACTGGATCTGGCCTCACAATGCTGCTTTGTTGCTCAGACAGATTAACACATCAAGTGACCGGAGGCGTGGGAGAACCTTGCTCACTTTCTGCTTTCCCATTTCTTACACTGGTCACTGCCATCCCACATCCAGAGCAACAGCGTGTAGAATGGCCAGGTTGCTTTGGTCATTTCACAGGTGAGTGCAGCGGTTCTGATCATTAAATTGTAAAGCTTTGAACGGTTTACTTTAAGCAAAGACTTTATGGTGGATTTCATCTGTTTAATTTAGGCAGCATTAAATAAAATTACTATTTAACAACAATTTGACTTAATAAAAGATTTTACATCAAAGCAGATTCAGCTTCGCAGCTCATTCAGCAGGAATTCTCCCTGAATGACGAAAGAGTCATTTATATCATTGATGTCTACTTTTAAGGCTAGCCTTTAAACTTTCCTTTTTGATAAAGCTTCTAGTTAGAGTGGCTCAGGTTATCCTGAGCTATCTCTATAGTTCTGCTGCTATAGGCTTAGACTGCTGGAGGACATAGGGACCCCTTTTTCATCATTCTGCTTCATTCTATCTCTATTCTCCCACTCTGCAGAATCTGTTAGTTCAATCTCTAACGTTCTGCTCTCTCTGCTTTTTCTCATAGTAGCTTCATCTGGTCTGTTCCTGTTTGGCTGTGACTCCATCCTGGAGAGAAATATCAGCTGTGCTGCTGCCATCAACACCTTTGTTTCTAGATGTTGGAGCTTGGCCTGTTTTCCAGTGTAGTCCTGTTTCTCTGACTGTGACTAACTGGATGTGCTCTCTTGCTTTGCCTCAACAGATGGCTGCTCACACTGAGCCTGGTTCTGCTGGAGGTTTCTTCCTGTTAAAAAGGAGTTTTTCCTCTCCACTGTCGCTACAAGCATGCTTAGTGTGAGGGATTGCTGAAGAGTCAATGAGTCGATGCAATCAGCTGGTTTTCCTTAGATAGAAAACTTTGAATCAATTTGACTGGATGATCTGTATCTATAAAGTGACCTGAGATGACATGATGTGAATTGGAGCTATAGAAATAAACTGAATAGAATATCATAAAACTAAACCTTCTGTTCATTTTTATGGAATTGCTTCCAGGTTGACCTTATGAGGTCCAGACGCTGAGCTCCAGGGAGGCCATACGAACCCGGAAGCTGGTTTCTTTCATGTTGGCAGCTCATAGGTTGCTCAGGAAGCAGCAGCAATGACGGTGACATATTCTAGAAGAGTTGCTGATGCAGGTCTGGGAACATTTTTCCACCTCCTCCTGCGATGGAAAGGCAGCATCTATAAACTCCTGTACAGAGAGCTCTTCATCTTCACGGTGCTCTACTACTTCTTCAGCATCGTTTACAGGTAAACACAGACGGACATTTGGTGAGCTGATCATTCACACCCAGCAGGGCTTTTCTCTGCACTCAACCAAATAAACACCAATCAGATGTTTTCAATCAGAAACACTTTTCAGTGCAAAATAAATTACGTTTTTTTGTATCTTAATTATATTAAGAATCCAATTTTTCCATTTATTTATTGTAGATATGCTACTTTAAAACATAATAATGTATGAAAACAATTAGTTAAATAATGTGTCATATAATAGATTGAAATTCTCTAAAGGATGAATTATTACATGCTGATTGTTGATCACAGTCATTATTTCCTTAAATGCAACATGAAGCAAACACTAAACAAGCACTAATTCTATAATCTGATCATACAAAGGAAAATTATTCTAAAATAAGAAATTACTCTTTAAGTATAATTTGAGCTCATTAAAATGTTTGATTTAATTAAAGGTTTTTTTTAGGCTTATCATTGGAAGATAAATAAAATCCTTTTCATCCTGCTGTTTATCCAAATGTTAGTTTTTGGGAAGAAACTTTGCGAAGAACAAGAGGAAGTTTGAAAGTTTATGAACTTTCTGATTATCCAACCAAGTGAGCTAACAGTCCAGTTAGAGGACAGAAAGATTACGCCTATTATGGATCAGATAAGGCTGATTACTTTCTGTGAATCACTTTCAGGTCCGCCTCCTAGCGTTCATCCGTTGGTAGGATCGTCAGAAAGCTCTAATCCTAGTTCTTCTGTCTGTTCGGTGGCCCCCACTGTCTGCCATCGTCCACAGTGGGACAAAGTTCCTCAACAACAATGTAAATGTCAGATGGTTTAAGGGACAGTTAAGGGTCCTTAAAAAGCAATTCTTTTTGGGGCTGATATTACAATTAGCTTGGTGATCAGAAATGCACTAGTGACAAAAAAGCAGATGGAGGAAATCTGTAAAGGTTGCAGAAGCTTTTTCAGTGGATTGAACTTTAACACATTATCAGGTATTCATTCAACATTTCCTATGCTCTTAATATCCTCCTCATTTTGGGAAATTCTCGCCTATTCTGCATACCCAAACGGAAGAGCAAATAACTGAGGAACTGTAAGCCCAAATTACATGTGTGATACATTATTTAAAGGCTAACACCTTCTAGTTTCTGAATATATAAATGAAAATTGGGTGAGTAAAGCACAAGCCAAGCTGCATCCGTTCAAACATGACTCAAAGTATTTATTCTGAAAATAATCGGTCTTTTTTGAACAGCAGTAATAACGACATGCTTGCTAGCTGTGTCTGCTTTGTCATGTTTACATTTTGACACGCTGCTTTATCTGTGTTAATTGTGCTTTGGTGCTCGCTGTGTCCATAAAATGAACTGTTGGTTGAACTGTGGAGAATCTAAGCTTTCCAGCGATGTCTATATTGGTAAATATTTATATTTATATGGAATTTTCATGCGTTCTGAGTTATTAGATGAAAACGCTTTAAAAGCAGCAACCCGGTGGGTTTTGAGAGGCTAAAGCGGAATGCCTATGATAATAAAAAAATCAATAAAAAAATCTGTTTAAAAACTAATTTGAAAAAAATACATAAATAAATAAAGCAGAACGCCTCACTCAGGGTTACATCAAAGAGGTCACACAAAGGCTACCTTCACACTGCAGGCATTAATGCTCAATTATGTTTTAGTTTTTTCCGCATTTTCTTCTGCATTGTTTACATTTCCAACTATATGCGACTAATATGTGACCTCCTGTGTGAACTGCATTCTTACAACTTAAGCTGAGCTTAGACTGTGCAATTTTTGCCCAATTCAGGCCGACTTTCCAGGCGTGTGAGTCACACGCCTGGAAAGTCGGGTTTTACC